TCTGATGCGAGGAAGGTGATTGAAGAAACCGGCACCTACGTCCAATGGAAATGGATGTGGTTAGGTGGCCAGGTTATCAGTGGTATAGTGCGCCATTATTTTAAAGAAGCAACGGCAGCAAACACTGAGGCTTCAGCATTTGGAAAGTTGGGTGAAATCACTGTCGGCCACAGAATCTCATACGACGACAACCGGGTATCCCCAGCTGAGTCTTACATGGGAGCCTACGAAGTCCTGCAAGGAAATCTCACCGCAGCAAGAGCACATTTCCGCAAGAACATGCTTACAGCGCATGAGATGCTATCAGACGACACAGATGAGAATGATGCAGATGCGTATTTCGTCCTGTTCCAGTGTCTACTTCATACAGGGGACGATATCAATGCTTTAATCGCCTTTGAGCTTACAGGGCCGATAGAGAAGACGGTCGAAATGAGGCTTGGTGAGATTCGGGGCGAGGATAAAGCCGCCGCAACGGAGCTTCTTGAGTTTGTGAAGGAGAAGTTTTCATCGAGCGATTCCGCTCCTACCAGGTATATGGCTGTCCTTGAGGAGTTGCAGCGACGGATACCCCTGGAGAATGACAAAGATGAGAAGACCGCCACAACTGAGTCCTACCAAAGGATCTACTCGCTTCTGGTCCAGAAACGACCTGCTGCGGAGGATGGAAATGGGCCAAATGAGCCGTATGAGATCACGTACAGCGATATTGTGATCAACTGGCGATACTATTGCAGCGGAAATTGCGGAAGGACCTGGGATTTCGAGACTGACATCAACATCTGTAAATACTGCTGGGACACTCCGTTTTGTCAAAACTGTTTACCGATTCTCCAGCAAGGGACGTCGAAGATGTTGGCTTGCGATGCAGGCCATAAGTGGCTTCATGTTCCGCGGTGGAACTTGAGGGAGAGCACAGGGCTGAGGGACGGAACTGTCATAATGGGAGGCGAAATTGTTGATGGTCGACACGTCGGAGGGCAGAGAGTCAAGATCAAAGAGTGGTTGAGCACCATCTGGAAGGAATGGGATATAGAGTAGCATCAGTCGGTTTGAGTTGTAGCCCATTTCCCAAAAATACATTCTTTTGTACCCCGCTGCAAGGTATACGTAAGGGAAAAACCGAAACCGATCGCTCACAACAAGGATCCGAAGGCGCGATAGTTCAAAAAGTTTATACGATGGAGAAATATCGCGGCCCGAAAATGATACGCATCCACCTTATAAGCACGCAATTTGAGTTCACCATGTCGTTTCCCAGTGACCCCTGATGGGAAATCCACAAGAAAAAAGCTTTCATGTGGCTGATATTCATGACGTTCAGTGGCAGTTCACGCCACAAGCTGCTTTTGTGTATCAACACAAAACTTTGTTGTTCTGGAGATTGTTGTTTTGGTGGTCAATAAACCTCACGAGACATACGTGGCCCGCCTAAATGTTTTCTATTGCGTCAACGATGATGAAGATTGATCTATCATCCTCTGGAGGAATAATAGACCCTTGCAAGAAGTCCTTGAAGAAAAACCCTGAGCATCTGGATCCTGTTATCAATTGTATCTCTTAGTTGCTCCATCGCCGGCCCGACAACCCACACGGCCCCATACGACCCTACCAGGACAAACATAGACATTGAGCCCGTGAGCATAGACGATTATCGTGCGCAATTACTCCATTCAGAACTCGCCAAGAAAAACGTGCTGCAGGCAACTGGGTCGTGATCGGCCTCGTCCGACCAGATCTGCAACGCCCTCTATAAGATGGCTCCCCAATCTTCTGACTCTCAAGGCGCAATTGCCGAACCATCGCAATCCAACACAGACATGGCGTCCAATTCTGAAAAGGTCGTCACCGGTAGTGGCATTCAAGCGACGGACAAGAGAGAGGGGGATGTTGGCTCTACAGGGTCTCTCAAGAATGAGCCTGTAATCGGAAGAGCTCAGATCTTGGGTGCTACAGCAGAGGAAATTATCGAAGCAGAAGAACATGCGCGTACGATGGACTTGGATGAAGCAAAAAAGGTGAGAAGAATCAATGCTAGCCCTTGATAGTCGCTAACATCGACCCAGCGCGCTGAAAACCTGATGTACCTTCATGAGCACGATCCCAACTTCAGCTCAGAATCCATCATCCGCATTCAGGAATTTCTAAGCAACGAAGACATCTTCGCCAATCCTCAGAACCACTCAGATCTCATCTCAGACATCAAGACTGAGATTTCACTTGCCACCATCAACTCACCCTACGCAGAAGTCCGCGCTGTAGTAAGCAACAAGGACGACCCATCGACACCAGCTGGAACCATCCGCGCCTGGACCATCGGTTTATTCTTCGTGATCGTGCAGAGTTTCGTGAACCAGCTGTTTTCAGTGCGACAGCCGACTATCCGACTTCAAGCACCTGTCATTCAACTCCTCTCATTCCCGCTGGGCAAAGCCTGGGAGAAATGGCTTCCTGTTGGCGAGTTCACGCTGTTTGGTCAGAAATTGAAGCTCAATCCCGGAAAGTTCAATCAGAAGGAGCATATGCTGATATCAATCATGGCGAATGTCTCGACGAGTTTGCCGCATTCGCGATATATCATTTTCACTAGTTGGTTGAAGAAGTACTTTGACTTGCCATTCGCTGCAGACTTTGGCTTTCAGATCTGCCTCTCGGTAAGTAAAATTTCGATATAATTCTCACTGAGATTTACTAACGGAGATAGCTGGCTATGAACTTGCTAGGCTTTGGTCTTGCTGGACTGGCGCGACGATTCTTAGTCTACCCATCATTCTGTATCTGGCCTCGCTCCCTCGCGACCATCGCGCTCAACCAGAGTCTACACAACGGCAAGTCCCTAGAAGCCGCATATCTAGTTTATAAGTTAACTGACCGCCGCAGAATCTGGAAACGCGAGCGTGCCTGGTCCTTTCAAGAAGATGTACAACATGTCCCGGTATCGCTTCTTCATGCTCTCTTTCGCTGCCATGTTCGTCTGGTTCTGGTTCCCCGACTTTATCGCTACAGCCCTGTCTCTCTTCAACTGGCTTGCATGGATCTCTCCCAACAACTTCACCCTTGCAGCTATCACTGGTGTAACCAAAGGCCTCGGTTTTAACCCTCTTCCTACATTTGACTGGAACGTTACCACTTACTATATTGACCCTCTTTTGGTTCCATTCCATGTCACCGTCAACATGTTTCTTGGTGCCTTGCTGGGTGGAATTACTATCATTGGGATGTACTGGACCAACACGTACAACACTGGATATCTCCCCATCAACACAAACACCATGTTCGATCACACCGGAGCCAAGTATAACGTAACTTCTATCTTGGATGACCGCGGACTACTCGATGCAGAGAAGTATCAGGCTTATAGTCAGGTCTACATCGCGGCTTCATCCATCACATACTAGTGAGCTCTTATCTTTAACTCGTAATTTGCATGTCACTGACACGAATAGTATCTACTTCTTCGCCGTGTATAGCGCCATTATCTCTTATGCAGCTCTGTACCACTGGAACGACATCAAGCTTGGGTTCGTGTCGCTCTGGGAAAGCTTCAAGAAGAACAGCAAGATCAATGAGTTCAAGGATGTTCACACTAAACTAATGGAGCAGTATACCGAGGTTCCTGAGTGGTGGTACTTAATACTCAACGTAAGTTCTTTAGAGAATTATAGTAACCTTGACTAATGCGATGTAGATCGTTGGAGTTGCATTTGGCATTGCCTCTGTGGCGGGATGGCCCACAAACACCAGTGTCGGCACCGTCTTCTTCGGTCTTGCTCTAGCCATCCTCTTTACTATTCCGACTGGAATCATCTTTGCCACCACAGGTATCGAGGTTGAGTTCAATGTCCTCGCTGAGTTTATTGGGGGAGCATGGCAGCCTGGTAATGCCTTGGCTGTAAGTATCTAGTCACCAAGACCTTATCTTCACATCTAACATTAGTAGATGAACTTCTTCAAAGGCTTTGGATATGTGACAGTCGCTCACGCTCTCGATTTTGCTAATGATCTGAAACTTGGTCACTACCTCAAGATTCCTCAGCGCCAGACTTTCTGGTGTCAGACAGTTGCTAGTAAGTAAAACACTTCCGTACTTTGTTCACATCCAATGACTGTCAATAGCTATTGTCTCCGCGTTTGTTTGTACCGCAGTCATGAACTTCCAGATCCTCAACATCCGCGACATCTGTCAGCCTACCCAGAAGGATCGCTTCACATGCCCGGGTGTGGAGTCTTATTTCACTGCCGCCGTACTCTTCGGCTCTCTCGCACCCCAAAGAGTCTTTGGAGAAGGCGGATTGTACACCGCCCTCCTCGCTGCATTCCCGGTTGGATTGGCCTTCCCCGTCGTCTACTACTACGCGACCCGCAAGCTGCCCAAGACTCATTGGCTTACAAAGCTTCACCCCGTCGTCATCTTTAGTGGTGGCCATATTTGGTCTCCCTACAACCTAGCTTACGTCTGGCCAGCTGTCATTCCAGGCTGGATCTCTTGGGTCATCGTTCGCAAGAGATACCTTCAGTTCTGGGGAAAGTACAACTATGTTCTTTCAGCAGCCTGGCAGACTGGAATTGCTCTCGCTGCGGTGGTCATCTTTTTCGCTGTGAGTTATCATGGCGCGTCGATCAATTGGATCGGCAACAGTGCAGATAGTGGTTGTGAGGCTGAGACCTGCACTCGCCTCAAGGTTCCCAATGGAACCTTCTTTGGTCCTCAGCCAGGAACCTTTGCCTAGATATGCTATAAGTTAGATAGCCGATTATATAGCGACAAGTAAACAGGATATGCTTTTATTCTCAAACATGATAAACGAGACTAATAACGCCTGGGCAATGTTGAATACGTGGCTGTGCCGCTGATCCTACGACACCATAATGCCCATACTCTAGGCAGAACTCGCTTTAGCGCTTCCACTGCCTCAACCAAGTTTTTTGTATAAAAATGCCACATTTCTCTTTTTCTTTGAACAGAGTATGCTTGACATGTCATTTTGAAGTTCGCTAAAATGGTTTATCTACCACCCAACCAACATGGCAATTGCTTCCAATGCTATCTTACCACTCCATTTACAGATGATGAGCTGAAAGCTTTCAAGTCAAGGTTTGAGCGCGGCGCATACTACAAATCCGCACCCTTGATGCAAATCAAAATTATGCATGCACCTGACGATTATTTAGGCAAATCGCATCAATACATGCGCGCGAAAGAAACTGAAGCTGGCAACACGGATCCATTCATCGTCGTTGACGAAGAAGCCAAAAGCAGACGCGCAGTCTGGTACATTGACCAGTTCGCCAACGAAGACCAGGTTAACGACGGCGTGGCTGAGAGCACAGATGTTGTTATGAAGATCCTCATCCAAACTGAGTGCTTGGCCATCAACTATATATTCTACATCACGGCCAAATCGAGTATCGAGGAAGGCCTTGAGAATTGCTTGGTGGAATTACCGAGGATGCTGCCGAGTATTGGGTTAGTCAGCTCTTGGACGGTTCCGGGCGATGCAAAGTCTGTTGATCTGGCTCAAAGACAGTTTCCCGAGAGGAGTGTTGTTTTGCAGCAAAAGTATAAGCCCGGCTTTCCATGGCCAGCAGACTCACTGTGATAAGGTTGAGAGGCTCTCAAGGGACTATAGGCGGAAGATAAACCGTCAAGCGGAATGAAGTTAAAGACGAGCTTCACTAAGCATCCTTGTCTTTTGATAGGTCCTTTCAACCACCAATAATATGTAATTACGCGCTTTAGCTCCGCCCTTTGAGTGATGGTAGCTTATCGCAGATGATATTCCCCACGATGTCGGAACCGAGCATATCTCGACTAAGATAAGCGGGACAGACAAAGACGATCCTTTCCCAATACGCACCTTATCATCAGTCATTCTCACTTCTGCGTTACGCTTTCCCACATTCAGAAAGTCCATCCTAGCCGTTGAATGGATCCAACTTCCAAACGGAGCAATTTTTGGAGAATTGTGGTGGGGAGGAACGGGTGAATCATCATCTCCGCACCCAGACGATTAGATCCGTCATGAATGATAAATAGTTTGCAACTTCGTCAATTATTATTTTCATCCGATTAACAACGGTTCCAATATCACAATCATGTCTTCTGCTCCCCACCCGCTATGCCCGCTGACGGGCGATGAGATTCAGGCTAGCGCACGCTTGATCGAGAGCGTTTGGCCACAGTCTGTCTCACTATCTTTTAAGGTTATAACGCTGAGCGAGCCACCAAAGGAGAAGCTTGCACCGTATTTGGAAGCCTTCGACAACGGAACTTCCCCTTCGCCGCTGGAGCGTTTGGCTTTTGTTGCGTATTATATCCGTGGAACGGTGAGTTTACCCCACTTAGGTTATTATCATGCATGATCTGACAGTCACAGGATATTTTCCATGAAGCCATTGTCAACCTGACTAATGGAAGAATTGAGAGCAATGTGAAGCTTGGGCCGAATGTTCACGGGAATGTGGACTATGATGAGGCTCAGAGAGTTGAGAAGCTTGCGCTTCAGGATCCGCAGGTCTTGGCTGAGCTTGAGAAGCTAAAGTTGCCGGAAGGGACTGTTGTCTGTGCTGATCCCTGGATTTACGGTAAGCCCATTGATACGTGGTGAGATGGAGTAAGAATTGACATGCATAGGGTCCGACGGAGTTGAGGATGATGTCCGTATGTACCAGGTCTTCCTGTACATGCGAGACCCCGCAAACTCTGGCGAAGCTGATTCCAACCACTACGCATTCCCCTTGCCCGTATCGCCGGTCATTGAATGCGTCAACTACAAAGTCATCCGAATCGATGTCCTCCCTACTGGCGCTGATAATACTATCAAACCGTTGGCACCTTATCAACCCAAGCCAGCGAATGAGTATATCCCAGAAGCACAAGAGCTGCGAAAAGATCTCAAGCCACTGCACGTAAGCCAGCCAGAAGGGCCAAGCTTCAATGTGACCCCTATTGGTGAGACTGGAAACGTTATCTCGTGGCAGAAGTGGACATTCTTCGTCGGTAAGTTGCTACGTTGTCTTACTCAATCGTATCTCAGCTGACATAGAAAGGCTTTAATCAGCGCGAAGGAATGGTGTTGTACAACGTCAAATATGACAACCGACCCTTGTTCTACAGACTCTCCCTATCGGACATGAGTGTGCCCTACGGTGATCCACGACACCCGTTCCACAAGAAGTCAGCATTCGACTTGGGTGATGCGGGTGCTGGTGCTACAGCAAACAACCTCAAGCTAGGCTGCGATTGCTTAGGCAGCATTCAGTACCTCAGCGGAGTCATCTGCGATGATCAAGGCAGGCCGTTACCAATGGAGAATGTCATCTGCATTCATGAGCAGGACGCTGGCATTGGATGGAAGCACACAAACTACAGAACTGGAAGGGCTGCTGTTGTACGAGCACGTGAACTTGTGCTGCAATCCATCATCACAGTCTCGAACTACGAGTATATCCTCATGTTCCTCTTCAACCAAGCAGGAGAGGTCACATATGAAGTCCGCGCCACAGGTATCCTGTCTACACAGCCGATTGACCACGAGCTGGACAAGACAGGAGTTCCATTTGGAACTGTCGTACACCCCGGTGTCCTAGCTGGCGTTCATCAGCATATCTTCTCCCTACGAGTTGATCCCATGATTGACGGCCATACGAACCAGTTGGTATACAGCGAAGCCCACAGAATACCTCGTGATCCCAACCTGAACCCTCATGGTACCGGCTACGAAGTTGTCGAGAAGACCATTGACAAGACAGCTGGTTTGGATATCGATTATGACCTTAGCAGGGTCTATAAGATCACCAACCCCAACTCCCTCAACCCTATCAATGGCAAGCCGGTGGGCTACAAGATTATGGCCCCGCCTTTCCAGAAGCTCATGGGCGACGAAGATAGCTTCTTGCATAAGCGCGCCGAGTTCGCAGACCATAACATTTATGTCACCACCCATCGCGACCGCGAACTGTACGCGGGAGGATGGTATACCAACCAGTCTCGTGGAGACGCAGGCGTGAGAACTTGGGCACAGAGGAACGAATCACTGACACCGGAGTCTGATATTGTGGTTTGGGTGCAATTCGGTATCAACCATATCCCACGCATCGAAGACTTCCCTGTCATGCCAGTCGAGATTCTCAAGGTGCATCTCAAGCCCGTAAACTTCTTCACCAAGAACCCTGCGTTGGATGTGCCGCCTAGTGAGCAGAGCGTGAACAAGAGCACTCTTATTGAGAACAAGAAGGCAGAGGCTTCCGATAGTTGCGGATGCGATACATCGAATGTTCCTTCAAAGCTGTAGTTTGAGGTTTTAGTAAGAGATGCCTCACGGCCGTGCAAAGAGTTATGACATGAATGAAGCAATATTATTATTATTCATTTACTGAGCCGATTATGGATAAGGCCCTATGCGTTCAACATGAACTGTTGTTTCTTCTGATATCTGTATCCCATCCAATCCCTCGTTTACTGTTGGTGGAGGCGTTTGATGTCTCCACGGACTAGAAATTGTGATTTCTGTCCCGTAACTCCACCCAGCATGTGAAGCCTCAATGTCGTATCCCGCTGGGATATCATCGTTCATTACAAATTCACACACGGAACTTGAGCCGTTTTGCACTGATGCTTTAGTGCCGCGGCTGCCCTTGATGCCGTATTCTGGTGATAGGGCCGAGTCGACGACTGCTCGCTTGCTTCTGTGAGAGGCAAGGAATGAAGAGGGTACGATCTTGCGAAATACGGGTCGCAGCATTGGTAGCGAAACTGAAGCACGTCAATTGAGGTTTGTAGTATTGTACCGAGGTGATATACCCGAAACATTGGCGAGATTGCATTCGGCTGCAGCCAAAGACCCGTGATAGCCGATCTTGAGGGCGATTTCTTTTGAACTGCCATTGAACTGGAAGGAATTATGAATGACAAGAATCGTCAATACACAAACACTGTTCACACATTAGTCAAGGACAAGAGGTATCACACACGGGGAACACACAGAGCACCGAAGCCAAAAAGGGCCATGACAGCAAGTTTCTGACCAAGCGGAAGATGCATTTTGATGACTTCAATCAGCGGTAGTACAAGAATGACAATATCCAAAACAGCATGCGTCAGACCGGTAGAGAAGAAATAAATATTGCTCGTGACATGGCAATGGGTAGTTCGTCGGGCAAGATCCCAGTAGGCTGACGTCGGCATACACGACAATGTTAAGAGGAGTATTCGGACGATGAACCACGCGACACAAAGCACGAAGACAACTTGGATTGCGATGCGCGAACTAGAATATTTGAAGAGCCGCCAGTAAAATGTCAAAATGGCGAATTTGGCGAAGCCGATGCCGATGGTGTACGTTAGGCTGCTGAGCCAAATGAGGAGGTATGATCGTTCGAGGCGTTCTTCTTCGGTGAGATGCGACGGGCCATCTTTCAGCGGGCGACCGAGACCAAAGCCGAAAAGAACTAAAAACGCATTTAGTTATCGCAATTGATGTTGTTTGAGCAGGCATGTTCTTACAGACAAGGTTGTCAATCGAGTACGCGAGCGCTCCAATCTACACATCAATCGTCAGCGATCTTTCAGTGGCGAATGTTAAGCATAACGCACAAACGCAACAACGGCCAACCAATCATCAATCCCATAACCCGCCCTCGTCGACCGTCTCGCCAAGAGTCTCAGCACCAGCACCAGCGCAGCGAGCGGCAGGGTAATAAAGATGGAAGCATAGACATTCGGTCTATAATCCGCTTCCATCGTGCATTGCCAAAGACCCCCAAAAGAAGAAGAAGAAGAAGAGAAGAAGAAGTTTAGAAGGAAAAAGAGAAGGGATGGGGGGAGGGGAGATAAGACGAAAAGCAACTTGTCTCACATTGAACCAGTCAGCTTGGGCGAATGATTCAAGTGAGGACGCGCTAATGGGCTCGATGATGTTATCCTGGTTGCGCTAGGGGGCAATGGTTCGCGGGGGAAAGGAGATGCCGGTGCGGGGGATTTTGTCCGTTGGTGTTTTTACTGGTCAAGGGGAAACGCTTTGACTTTGTTATGACTGTGACTGTTGTTAGTGTGAACATTATTTGTCGGGTCAAGCGGGTTTAACGTTGCCGCACTCGTGCTTAATTTCCAGAAGTTCCGGAGACTTAATTTTAGCCCTGTTGATCCCTCATCACTGAATTGAATGCCTTGACAAATGCATACTGAGTCGCATTTCCTCCATTGAGGACTTGCCAGCTTCTGCATCATCAATACGTAGACTAGCCAGATCATTCCTGGCAGGCTCAGCACCCTTCTGGGCAGCAAAACATCCTCAGCTTACCAGAATTTAAGGACATGTCAGAATGACCCGACAAAACAAGCATAGCGTCGCTTTTCAGCTGCGACATCGCTAAATTCCTTACATTACGACCAACAAATCCCAATGAACAGAAAATCTCCTGGGCATCCAAGGTAACTTATGCTTATGAGTGCTGAGGCCGCCGGGCAGCTGGCCTTGTTCAGCTAGCCACACAAAGCAGGCAAACTAATTCAAGTATGGCACTTCTTTAATCGATGAGAAATTATGAGTTTTGGTTCTATCAGAAGAACGAGACACAGCTAAGTATTTAAAACCGTCTAGCCCTCACGTAAATTGTCTTCTACATTTTGCCTGCTGGGCTTGTTCAAATGGGCGTATTCCAAGACTTCCTTACAGTTAGGGGCAACTTGGAGGGCTACATACAAACAAGAGCTTGAGATTGAAACTGAGTTCTCTTGGGTGAATAGAAATATGTTCATATGTTTGCGTTGTGCCGACGCCTGTGCTTACTGTATATCATAACGCCTATCTCGGACATATTAAACAGCAGGCTTATCAAAAACATTAATCATCGTCCCCATAGAATAGAAATCCTCCCACTCAAAGAGCGGAAAGAACCATAAGAGAATAACAATACTGACTCGAGCAAATAATTCGAATTTCAAGAACTGTAAACGCCATCAAGTATAGCCATTGTGGATTTCGCTATGACATTCCGGCGACACCTGAACTTGGACAGTGTTGCAGCATCAAAACCTTCTGCGGTACGAATACTAGTCTCCAAGAAACGGTCGGGACCAGAAAAACGCGCAAGCACATAAAGAATTGACAGTAAGCGTCTGCTGTACGGGTAGTGGGTATGTTGCCGGAACTGTGTTTATGAGAGTGCCAATGTGAGTTCAACGAGTTGATAGCTGATGCTTGCATTATACACCAATCTTGGGCAGTCAGCAGCTGAGATATCTCGAGCAATACTCGTAGATACAACCAACCATAGGCATGTGCGCAGTGAACCCGGGAGGGGAGTGGCTAACTTCAGCATGGAATATGCAAGCGAAGCTGAGCTCCAGAGCCGACGAGTAGTGGAAACGAGAACAACGTGAGACCCTCTGTTCAAGCCCACATGGGCTTGGATTTGACACCTCGCTCCTCGTCTTATTTCGAGTCTCCAGACGAAAGGTCTTGGTACCGTGATCATTGGACCAAGATTAATCTGTGGCGTAGCTGAAATTATTGACAGACCTTCTCTCTAATCTAGAGCTGAGGCTTTCTGGAGGGTATTGGCTGGGATATTAGCCTCAGTATAGTAACCATGAGGACCCGGTGAATATACTCCGTAGCTATCTAGGTTCCCCACAAAGCATGGAACGTTACCGACGTTCCATTAGCCGCCAGGTCCGAAGATGCCGCAGAGGATAGTTCAATGGTAACACTTAGGTCTGAGGGGTCCCTGCTGGGCATTGCGGAGTGCGCGCCAGGAGTCTGGGAGAGCCTCAAAATTCACAACTAGCCTGCCCTTTTTGCGTGATTTGCTACTAGGATTTAAATGCCGAATTCAATGAGCATATTATGCAATAAGCGACAGGTTTAGTGTATTCGATATTTGGGTATGGCGCAATCCGAATTGGAAATTGGCCTCACGGTTTGAGACATGTCCGCCCCGAAACGGTATAGGCAAGCTCTAACGCCAGCTGAGAACCCCTGCTGAATTGCCAATAATATACTACAATTTGCTCTTTCAGTTTGCATTCGTCATTCAATAGTTGTGGCGGTCTCGGCCCGCGCCGTTCAACCTCTCAATTAGTGTAGATTGCGAGTCCAGGCTTTGTATCACGTACATTGTCACCATAGAATATACTGGAATCATCGGCAGAGTTCAGGACCCCAGATTGTATTGCCACCACCAAGATGCATCACAAACCCCTCACTGCAGCTCTGGTCACAGGCGCTAAAAACCAATATTCCCTATGCCTGCTGCTGAAAACGGCAACTGTGATGTCGCGAGCGTGACCTGGCTGTGCGCAATATGTGATCTCGGGCCTGCTATGGCATGATCTGAAAATCTTCAGAGTTAGATTATGCAAAAGAGGATAGCTGAACGGTCAGCTGGAACTGAGACAAACATGATCAGCGTTGAAAGAGCAGGCGTGCTAAACCGTCTCAGGATTTCTTCACCGACGGCTAAGCGCCGTCCATGAGCAATGTCATGATGTCAGTTGGGCTTGGACTTTCGTTTGTCGAGAGTGCTGGGGTAACTGGTAAGAGAAACGTCTTTATCAACCTCGGGACAAAATCTATATAAACTCTGGGAAGGCCCAGTCATTAAGAGATTCAAATCATCGTCTCAACTCTCAAATCTTCCCAACAACCAGCAGCAACTTCACTACTTCTTCATTTTTCCAAACCCATCAGAATGGCTACCATCGGTTTCCCTCAGTAGCAGCAGCAGCCTCAGCAGCAGGCTCTGCCCATTCAGTCTGCCAGCTCTCCATCTGTTGACAGCAACCTGCTGACTGCTCTCGCAACCTACATTACCACCGGCCTCGATGCTAGTAGCACAACTGAACGGGAGGTCCAGGAGCTCGCTACCCAGGCCATCTCCACCCCCGGTGGCAGGGCTCATCTCGAGTCCATCCTTCAGTCTAGCGACTCCATCGGCCACAAAGCCTGGAAGAACAAGGAGGATGCCAACGGAACGATCACGGTGACCAAGACTACCATTGAGATAGCCCTTGGTGTCCCTAACATCAAGAGATCGTTCACTGGCAAGGGATATGGTATCTTCGTCCCTGGTAAAGCGGCTATCCCAATGTAAGTAGCTCCCTTAGTGTACCAAGACAATGGAGACCGAAACTGACGAGAGCTTCTTAGTGGAACCTTCTATTACCAGGACTTCAACCAGTTGGGCGACGGAGCTGTAAGCTATGAACTGCACGTCAAGGGCGTAAGTAACCGACATTCTCTCCTTTCAAGCGAATCGAGGCCAAAGACTAACACAAATAACAGCTCGATGTCTACATCAAGGTGTACCGCCAGCAGCAGCATATCGCCACCTTCTGGTTCGCGAACATCCCCATCGTCTTCCCCCCCGTCACCGTTCATCTCACCGGTAGTATCTCTACCACTGAGTAGAACTGGATGTGTCCAGTACGATGTGATCTCTGGTGATCAGAAGCCAGTGGCTCGGACCCTGGCCTTTAGTTCAAACCATTTCCTTAGTTTATCTTTGTTTTTAGCTAGCTATTTCGCTCCTTAGTCTGCAATAATCTTTCCCGGGATTAATCACTTTCCATTACCATGTGACTCTGGTGCAAATCCGACCTAAAATGTGCTCTCCTAAAGACTTTTTACACATAGCGGGCTATCCGAGTCGAACCTTTCTCCACATCCTCAAACATTCCTGTAGATCCATAGACACTGTTCCCTCCAGAGCAGTAGATGTATCTCGAATCATAGCCACCAATAACGACGCATGTGCAAAGTCAACTTGATCATCTTGAACTGCCTGGTAGTCAGACTGTTTCATACCACCGACATCAGCCCAAGCCTTCCACTTGTCCAGCATCCGGAAAATGTTAGCCGCGAACTCCCCATCCAGAACCATGCGATGCAACATGAAGCCAACGACATCCTTCACAGTAAGCGAGTCATCCCACTGGCCTTTCCCTTGCAGCCATCGAAGGCAATGCTCAGCAACAAGCTTTGTGTCCCACTTGGGGCTGCGTAGGGCTTCCATCATGCGCTGGTCGCGTCTCAGCTGGCTTGTTCTGAGTCTCTCTCGCACTGTAACGTTTCATGTCAGTAATGAATTCGGATCCGTGAAAGATTGGGCTGACTTACTCTCCTCCATCCGCTCCTGGTTCTCCTTTTGCATCCGAGCCTGTGCTGCCGCTTGACGTTGAGCAGGAGGCAATAGTGCTTCTGCAGCCATCGCAGCTCGTTGTTCTTGAGACTTTCGCGCAAACTTGTGGATGTCTGTTCCATGATCGTCATGCCTGGTTGCCCAAGTTGGTGTCTCGGATTCGTCAACGATGCCTAGAACAACCAACACTCCACATGGAACTGTCTCCTTGCGTGCAAAGGACAGAATATCGTCAGGAATCTTATAGTTCCATAGAATAGTCTGACTGGATGTACCAAAGGCGGTGGCTGCGCTGGAGAACCAGACACCGTCGGATTTGGCAGGCTGAATTCGTAGATGGTCGATGTAGAGGCTTTCTAGGTTCAGAGTCGTCTGGGCACCATAATGTTCCTGCTCGGTCAGCGCCGTGACGATCCCAGACATGGAAATTTGACAAGTGATTGCACTCGATTGCGCGGAAGCATGGTTAGTTCCTGGGCGTGAGTCGGCCTCCTGGTTCTTCCCTGTTGTTAGTCCATCTGCTGAGTTCCGATCCGAGTGCTCTGGGCCCTCAGACACGCTTCCAGCTTTGTTGGTATTGTCTTTCGGAGGTGGTGAGGGTAATCGGACCCAGTATGGCGGCAAGTTGGAATAATCTCTTGTGATCCAAGAACTAGACCAAGCAACAGTCAAGGAGAGATTACCATCAGAATCATTCGTCGGAGCGATCGTCAGCGCGTCTTGCCGACCTTCGGGAGACATCATCAAACAACATCCTACAGGTGCCCAAAGTCCAGCCGATCTCAGTAACTTCCATCCGTGCGGATTCGGGACAGCGCCAAGATCGAGAAGGTAAGAAACAAGCTCATCAAATGCTACTTCGACTTGAGGCTGTCGGACTTGATCAGCATACTCAACCCGTTGAGTCTTCATACCAATCGAGTGAGTCTTCCAGTTGAAAGTGGTCCAGCTACCGCCAGGGATAGAGCTGGGATGACGCGACAGAGTCCAGTACTCGGAGCGATCCTGGAATCTGTCCAGCGGCATGACAGCATAGCGCGGAAGCTCTATCTCGATGACTCTATTGACGATATCACTCCGTGTAAGTGCTGTAAGACGACTATGCCGCAACATACGCTTTATCTTGGAGAGCGAGATGAGCGTGGAGAGCGTGTTGTACAGAATTGGGAGAACTGCCGGGGTAGTTAGTCGCTTGGCATGGGGAATACGTGGGGAATAGCGGTATAGTTACCTCCCAAGACTGCCAATGGCACACCGATATAGGTGATGATGTCGGTTGGCGACTTGCCATTGTCTGCCATGCTGAAGTCGCGATAATTGCCTCTTTGTCACGAAACATTTCGAAATTGCGAAAGGAGTTTTCTGGGAGTTCAGCTGAAATGAGAAATACCAGCTAGGCTGATTCGGGTATGATCTGAAGCTAAGACAGCCACATGCCGATAGCGGAATGGTGTCTTTTATCATGCCTTGTACTCCGTAGACTTGTAGTGATGGATTTCCAGATGTGGATATATTTGTTTGTAGTTTTAAATGGTTTATTATCAGGAATGTTTGTTAGTTAGTGTTTGCTATTGAGCCGCCGCTACCTTGGTGGTCGTGTAGCTAAACATAGGTATTGGACACAGCCCCATTGCTATGCATTTATGTTTTTCGTCGTTACTGTCAACAGTGATCAATTATGTTACATCTACATGGAGAAAAACGAGACGCAAAGAGAGATATCCAAGTCTTATCATAATAAATCTCATACATCCCTGGAGACAGTTCACACTGAACATGCAGAGAAATGGCTCAAGATATGATAAGAGCTGAGCTGCTTCAGGGTAGCGCGAGACGCGAGGCGCCCTTGCAGCAAATCATGTGCTTCGAAATTTTATTTGCTTTTATTATCAACTCATTGTTCCCCGCCTTGACGCCCAAAATTTTACAAACATCGCCTCTCTTCTCACAGCCGCCTAGCATGTCAGAACAAATTGTAATAAAGAACACCGTTTTCTCAGGCACTTGCTAATTGAAGGGCAGGCTGTTGATTTGGACTACGACTCTGCTATCGATATAGTAGGTCCTTTCTGGCCCCACCAAAGTCAAGGTTCTGACAGAAAAAGCCACTTGATGGTTCTTTAAATTTATCACTTCGATCAAGCCTGCTTCATTTCGCGCAAGAAAATGGCCGAACTTACCATAGGTTAAGTGAAGGGAGTAAGAATAGACGTTCGTTCAAATTGACGCTGGCTGATGGAAATAGAGTATGCCTACCCAAATGACGATGTGAGCTCTTCATGCAACAAACTGAGTGCTTGTTCTGACCGTATCGGAGATTGAAAACGATAGACTCGGTAAGAGAACCCTTCAACGCATTCTTTCTAGTGCTGATATGAGGTAGACCTGCAAGACGGCATGTATATCATTACGCTTGAGGGGAAGAGGGCTCTGAATCCGGGAGCCGATACAGCCAAACGAGTTTTAGATCTGGGTACCGGAACAGGGATCTGGGCATTGGAATTTGGTCTGTTTCTTATAAAGACTTTTTCATGGGAGTTGACTGACTAGATCCTAGCTGAGGAACACCCGGCTGCCGAAGTATGCCACTTGCAACCTTCCACTGACTAGCCTAATGTCTTGATAGGTGATCGGCGTTGATCTGAGCCCCATCCAACCTCCATTGTTGGTCGCAACGTGTCTTCAACCATCACAGTATCTATCTAACCTCTAATACAGCGTACCGCCAAACTGTAGTTTCGAGATCGACGACCTTGAGAAAGAATGGACATGGTCCAGACCATTTGACTTCATTTTCTCTCGCATGATGACAGGAAGCTTCTGCGTCCCGGAAGCGATAGCAAAGAAAGCATTTGAGTAAGCTCACTGAGAGGAGATTTTGATCTGCGAACACTCCAGTAACCCATTGTAGTGCCCTAAGCCCCGGTGGTTGGTACGAGATCCAAGACATCCAACTCCCCGTCTTTTGTGATGATGGAACTCTCGAGCCCGAAACCTCTCCACTAATGAAGTGGCAAGAGTGCCTCATCGAAGGCTCACGTAAAATTGGTCGGCCACTTGGAGACTCTGACAAGTACAAAGCCATCGTCGAGGAGGCTGGATTTCATAATGTTGTTGAGACTATCTACATATGGCCTACCAACGGCTGGCCCCAAGACCCGAAACTCAAAGAACTTGGGAAATGGAACCTCATCAACTTTGAGTCTGGTCTTGAGGGTGTGAGTTTGGCTTTGTTCACCAGGGTGCTTGGTTGGTCAAAGGATCAAGTGCTATCTCTTTGTGCAGATGTGAGGAACGAGTTGAGGAATCCGAAGGTCCATGGGTACTGGAAGATGTAAGTTGCCCTCGTCATTAGGTTGTTTTTATACTGAAAAAAGAAGCTATGTGGTGTATGGTCAGAAGCCTTAGAAGGAGGGAGTCTGGTAGAAGGAAAACTAACCTTTAGGTCGTGCACGTTGACTATAAAATGGCTAATGCCTTTTCTGTTCGATGTGTAGCTTAGTGGAGCCTCTGTTTAATATTCAGTTCAAAACGGCATGTCAACGAATCGTTTTATCATGCTGAGAAATGTGTTACGTGAAAGAAGAGCAAGGAACTTGCCCATGAGACCATCCCGATGTCGCCATTCTTCACAATACTCGTGAACCCAGGATCATGGGCTGACCACAACGCGTTCCGAAGCCATTCCGCCTAACTATAAATGTCACGAGCAAAAACAACCATACGACTGATCCGAAATAACTGGTTCGTTTCCAAGATGCTGTACCCGAACCAATCGGTACCACCAAAAGCTACCCCAGGTTTATCTCGGGGCAGCCGGAGCCGGAGTGGATAACAGTCTAACCCAATCCTCGCCCCGACACAAAATCAGAACACCATCTCGCCCCGTCCAACTAATCCCAACACGCACAGAATGAGGGGGAGCCCTGCAAAATCCGGGGGACGACGTCGGACGGACGCTGCATGCCGTCTGGGGTCCCAAAGTCCGGTCTACCACGACGGTAACATGCATGCAACTCGACTTATATAAAGACCCCCTTGAGCTTGGCCCTTTGATCGACAGTCTCTTCATTCTTGGCCTTCAAGTCTCCACTGATTGACACTTGGACAAAATATGGACTACAAAGCTGATGAGAAGGTCGCTGTTGACCATGGTGATGAGGTTCATGAAGCTCATGTCGCGGTGCAGCTTGCGCATGATGTTGAGAATCAGAAGTTGTCGCCATGGACGCCTCGTATGTTCAGGTTGTACTTCATTCTGGCTTGCGCATACCTCTGCGGTTGCTTGGTGAGTTTTTCTCGAGAGGATAATGAGCGCGTTGCTAACTTGGGAAGAACGGATATGATGGCAGTCTTCTCGGTGGTATCAACGGCATGAAGGCATACCAGCGCTACTTCAACATGTGTGTGAAACCACCAGGAAAAGGTATTTGAACTAACCATCGCAGGTCTTCCGAGGGTTCTTCGACCGGTATCGTCTTTGCCATGTACAACATCGGTTCCATCGCCGCCGTATTCTTCACCGCCCCCGTAAACGATTTCTTCGGCCGACGATGGGGCATGTTCACCGGCGCCGTCGTAGTCATCATCGGAACATGTGTCCAAGCTACATCCACCGGACGAGGCCAATTCCTCGGCGGTCGTTTTATCCTGGGCTTCGGCGTCAGCTTCTGCTGTGTCTCTGCCCCTTGCTACGTTAGCGAGATGGCGCACCCCAACTGGCGAGGCACCATCACCGGTCTATACAACTGTACCTGGTACATCGGTAGCATCATCGCTAGTTGGGTCGTCTACGGCTCCAGTTACATCGATGGCGAGATTGCCTGGAGACTTCCCATTTGGTGCCAGATGATCACCTCTGGTATCGTTGCTCTTGGTGTTCTGTGGCTGCCTGAGTCTCCACGCTGGCTCATTGCGCAGGACAGAGTTGAGGATGCTGTCAAGGTTCTTGCTACATACCATGGTGAGGGTGACGAGAATCATCCCATGGTTGTGCTGCAGATCAAGGAAATGACGAACCAGATCGCTGCTGATGCTACTGATAAGTCTTGGTGGGACTACCGTGGACTCTGGAACACCCATAGTGCGCGACGCCGACTTATTGGAGTCTTGGGTATGGCTGTCTTTGGACAAGTCAGTGGAAACAGTTTGAGGTACGTCCCAAATTCTGCCTAGTCTCTTAACTTTGTCTAACAATGTCTAGCTCTTATTATCTTCCCGTCATGCTGAAGCAAGCCGGCATCACTGACGAAAAGAAGGTGTTGGCTCTTAATGGCGTCAACCCTGTGCTCTGCTTCTTCGGCGCCATTCTCGGAGCTCGTCTCACTGACGTTATTGGTCGTCGCCCTCTTCTGATTTACTCCATCATCTTCTGCTCCTGCTGTTTCGCCGTCATCACCGGCACCAGCAAGCTCTCCCTCGACCAGCCTGACAACGCATCCGCTGCCAACGCCACTGTCGCCATGATCTTCATCTTTGGTATCGTCTTCTCTTTCGGCTGGACTCCTCTCCAGTCAGCATACATCGCTGAATGCTTGTCCACCGACATCCGAGCCAAGGGCACTGCCGTCGGTAACCTTGCTAGTTCAATTGCGTCGACCATTATCCAGTACAGCAGTGGTCCCGCTTTCGAGGACATCGGTTACTACTTCTACCTCGTGTTTGTCTTTTGGGATTTATTTGAAGCTGTCTTTATTTACTTCTTCTTCCCCGAGACCAAGGATCGTACTCTCGAGGAATTGTCGGAGGTGTTTGAGGCACCCAACCCTGTTAAGAAGAGTCTTCAGAAGAGGGATGCGCAGACTGTTATGAACACTCTGAATGTGACGGGAGATGCGAAGCTTGCGGGAGAGGTTTGATTAGGTCAATGTCAATTGCCTTGTCATGTTTTAGGTAGCCATACTGAAGATAACTCTATCGCAATCAATATGATGCATAATGCACTATTATTTTACATACTTTATCTATCCAACGTGACACTTGAACCATGATCAACCCAAGTCCAGCTAGAACAGTGTCCCGACTTCATTGTTTCAGCCCTCAATTGGTTTGCGACAATTTCGTATCGCGTGTCAATTGAGTTCCCATTAAACTTGTCTGCCGATCACCAAAGCCTCGGCCTCACTTCCCGATCTGCATACCACGTCGCAACGAGCAATGGCACCTTATGACCTTGATTTGGACCCCAGTATTTCCAAGGTCTCATGCCCATCAAGCTTTTGCACCAACCTCGCTCGCAGACCAAGGAAGTGTCCAATCGGACAAGGTCACAAAAGCTGGGGTAACTAAACCATTCGTTCCCCGAATGAATTCCCGCACCAATCACAAGCTTCAATTGACCTCGGACCGAGCATCCCCGTGATCCATCAGATGATTCACAAACTCGTTCTTCATTATCTCCTCTTTTCCCCACGTTCACGTCGGCCCGTACCGGGGCGAATTGCTGTTCAGTTTCCCAGCGCAATGGATCAAGCAAGTGATGAATGGCCTGCGAGGAAGAGGTTGAGGACGTCGCATGCAGTGAGTTTGCAATTCCTGTCTGTCTCACGTTGCATGAGCTGACCGACATTAGTGCGATGCTTGTCGTACCCGCAAGACAAGGTTGGGTGATCTACCAGAAACTTGACAGCTTGGCTGATAGCGATAGATGCGATGGGAACAATCCTTGCGCGACTTGTGCGTCGATCGGCCATGATTGTACCTACGGATCTGAAGCCAACTCGTAAGCCTCACTCTTCAACCTACTGCTCCGCTCCAGCAATGTAACGCTACTGTAGGAGGAGCAAGAACGATCTCATCCTAGAAAGTGTTCTTCGTGTCGAGAAGACCCTACACGAGTTAAGATCTGCCATCGTAAGCCACAAGCATTTCTTCTAGATGTTTGGCTTTGACCATTGTAGCCGAACGGTGTTCAACTCGCCAACTCACCTCAAACAAATCGCACCAACTCATTCTCGGGCTCGTCACCGGATCTGAATCTTCGTCGGCAGAGTCATGCGATTCAAACACCGACCAGTCAGGACCAACGCGAGAATGTCAACAACCTCGAGAATGCGGTCTTGGACTCTATGCATACCTCGACAACTGAGTCGATACTCCAATGGCCTCACTTTGACGTCTTTCCGCTGCTCCGACATGATGGAGACTCGATCTTCTATCTTGAACAAGCACGACCACCGCTAGTAGTGGCATCGAATCCCATGTACCCATACGTCGACGCGGAAGATATAACCTCCATGCTCGAGGCATTCGAACGAAACATCAATTTCTGGTACCCTTCCATGTCACAAGAACAACTCGGCAATATACGTGCGACACTTCAAACCGGAATGCCCTCGGAGGATACAGTTCACTCTTGTCTTTGTTTACTCACCTTGGGCTTAGGATGTGCAAGTCAAGCTGCTGAAGACCTTCGTTTTACAGCTGAGCCTGATGCAGCAGAGAAAGATAGAAGACTCCGGAAGCGGAAGCTTGGTGACATCTACTTCCAACTGGCCCTGAAGAAGCTTCATGTCGCACATCTGCAAGTAGACTCTCAAAGCACCCAATGTCTGTTCTTCACAGCGTAAGACTATCCTAACGTTCCGTAAAGCATCCTTTCTAACGTGTCAGTCTTTACTTCGCGTCCCTAGTCCGGCCACTCCAGGCTTGGGAATACCTCAGTGCTACTGCGACGAGATGCATGTTACTTCTATCCTATCCACCGAACACGCATGACGACGAGGCGGAAGAACGCATCAGAAGGATATTCTGGTCTTGCTACATTCTAGAAAGGTAAACCAGTGTTTCATACGTAACAAGGCTAAGATGAGGTACTGACACCTGACCAGTGACTACATGGCTGAGCTCTCAGCATGTCCCCCTTCAGGAATCGCTCGCGTCGAATCTTCCATCCCTCTACCAAGCACATATCACACGCACCCATCCGAAATCGTAGAAGAGGAATCATCTCTCTACTTCTTGGCCTGTATCAGTATGCGACGCCTCCTCAACAGAGTCCATCAACTACTCTACGCAAAAGATACAGGCGCCGCTTTCGATCACACTCGCTTTCCACGCATTGTCGCTGAACTCCAGCGGCAACTCGACGATTGGCGCGAAGTTTTGCCAGCTTCGTTTTCCTTCAGCATTGATACAGAGGAGGCAGCAACAGCGGCTGGCGGCTTTCTTCGACAACGATATCTCACCTGTAAGGGGGTGATCTATCGACCCTACCTGATGTGGATGCTAAGCACTAGCTATGCTGAGACGAGGGTGCCTTCAATACCAGATGCTATGCAGAACTGCAAGTTATGCCTCGATGCTTGTTTACTACACGCGTTAGATCTCAGAGGGTTCCCGCAGACAGTTCTGATTGATACCTGGATATGCTCCCTGTCGTAAGTCGATCAGCTCCTGAATCAGACCGTACTGACAAGGAATAGTATGTCTGGGGCAATGCTCATAATCCTTGCGGCATCACACGTGCCCGCTCTGAAAGAGTTCATTGGTTCACGAGCGACACTTGTAGGGAGTCATCTTGAGAAGCTGTTCCGAAACTGGCGAGAGGTATCATTTGGTGGAGACTCGCCGAGTGTTGATCGAAGCATGTGGCTCATACAACAAGCGGATAGTTATATAAGGGATTGCTATTGACTGAATCTCAAAGGTAACACGAATGATATGGTGATTTGGTGCATTGCAGGTGCACAAGTAGTTAGCAAAGCTCTGCGTGGAGCTTCTGATGTAAATTTGACTCTGCTATCCGTATATCGCAGATGTGAACGAAAGTATTTAGCCCATTTGCCCTGTATCGATCAAAGTCCCTGTACATTCAAACCAAACAGATCTTGAAAAGGACATTCAGTTAGACGCTTTATCCCGGGTACTTCAGCATTTTGACCTCTAATCTGGGCCAGCCTAATTCATGTCACCCTTGCCTCCCGAGTCGCAATGCTTGAAGCTGACTTTCGGTCCACAGTAAGCCTTGTGGTCAAAGTTGCTCGCCGGTCCAATGAGGAGATATCCGTGCCAAGTTCCACCATGAGTTAGTTCCAAACACTGAGTACCGCAGATCTTGTGTCCATGGTTGTTGATATGGTGTTCGATTGCACCTGCGATGGTTTCCTGCTCAGCAGTCGTGTCACAGTGTCTGCCAGTAGACTGCGGTTTCATTATCAGCATCGCCGGTTATGAGGGGGGCGGGGGATGCGTTTACATACACGATAGCGGTAGAAAAGGTTGCCGTTCGGGCCAGCATGTCCAGTAAAGGTAGTACAGGTCTTTTGGTTTGATGCGTGCTTGATAGCAGCGCCTGATCCCTACGTTAGCTCGAACCAAATATGATTATCTTATGCTTACTGATCTGGAGAATTCCGTCCTGAAATAATCGTGTTAGAGGCCTGTCAATTTGACCGAAGTTCTCTTACCTTGATAGCACCCCCGATGATAACGCAGTGAGAGGTGATGGTAATGATTCTTTCGCAAACCTTTCGAGGTATCAGTAATGTAGGCAATTTGCAACGAGAGGAACTTACTGTAACGTGCCTGCGCTTCTCGAGGGCAGAGTCTTCAGACTCAAAGTCCTCAAGGCGGTACAGAGCCAAAGAGTCCGGCAGCTTAACAGCATCGTCAATGTTAAGAGCCTGGGTCTCGTTAATGGCCTCTGTCACCTCTGTGGTAGGCATAGAGTAGATAGACAAAGGTAAGGACATTAAGACGAAGAAGTTCATAAGGGCGGGTTTCATCTTGACTGAGATAGGCAACGAGATTCGCTGCGAGAAGAACACTTGGGAGAATGTATCCAGCTGATGCTTGTACGATTTGATCTAGGAAATGAGGTTCGAGTTGAGGTGCTGGAGTCATTGGTATGGTTTGAACTTGAGGCCCTGGGAGTCAGTCGGTCTTTTATAGGTCTCTGAGGAAAGTTTTGAAGGATTTGGTGATGCAACGAGAGCAAATGCTGAATATCAGAAGATTTGGAGAACGAGGGTATCTTCGGCGTTGGGAGTGAGCATGCCGCTTATCCGACCCATGTGAAATGTTGTTGGTTCTACAAGCGGCACAGAAACTTACGAGGATTTTGCAGACGCAGAACCAACACGCTTTGACTGCAGCCTCGGACGGCTCTATATATGAAAGAGATCCATATGTCCCGGAAGACTGGCATCTCCCGCATCATAAGCGCCAGATACTCACGCACAATTTGATGGCACATTCACGGGGACTTCAGTGACAATTTCACACTCCTCGGGGATAAACTGCTGGCCTTCAATAGACTCTTTGTGCTGCCAACACGCATGCCTATAAATACTAGAGTTGTTGGAAATCCTCTTTCTCTACATGACCTTAGAAACACCCATTTCTCATAACTGACGATTGAGCCACTAACAGACCCGTGCGGAATGGATGCTCGGCCTTTTCTATATCCCGAAAAGCATCAGTCGAAGGATTCCATCCTTGTGTCTCTCATACAGCTGTCTTCATCAAAAGTCATGATATGTTGGCTGCAAGCACAATCCTTCGTCCTGTGCGTCTTTCGGTTGACCATTGAACGACGTTTTATCTTCGATTTGTGCCGAATTGCCGCTTGGTTGATAATATTGATGATTGGATCTGTCAACAATCACGAAGAACTTGCAGCCCACGTTGCCTCATTTTTCTACATCTATGAGTCGACAGGCCTGGCCCTGAGGAATCCGCAAGGACTCCCTGCTCTCTCCCTGCTCTTGCGTAAGCTGGTACTTTTGCAAGAGGATGGTGATTGGTGCTGCGCATGTTGGATTAGACTCCTCGTTGCGTTGGCTGCATTGCCAGGGTTAGAATTTAGCAGTTCAAGGAGCAAAGGACATTGTAGCCGTCTACGAGGTGTGTTCTAGATCCAAAAATCGTTCCCCTGGTCCCAAAGTCGGTCATATTCAGGTGAGTGAAGTGCTTCTACAGAACCATCAGACACGCAGTATTTCTAGTCGCTAGCAGTTCTTCCTACGACAGAGGAGAAACCCTGAGGGGATTAGAATAAGCATGTTTACACGGCTACCGGCTAGTGTTGTCTAAACATAACCCTAACCTAAATAAGCTAATTATCCCGAGGTAGGTCGCTTGGGCTTTTTCAGGGTACAGTGCCATTGGTTCCGGATTCCTTCAATTGTCTAGAGACGAAACCACTTCATGCTTCGGCGACATAAAAAGTGCCGAGTGAGTACAACTACGAGCATGCCCGGTATTCATGTCATTTGCTGCGTTTGCCATTCTTTAGACGCAATTATTCGTGGCATTGAGTTCTCCGATAATTTCTTCCCTGGCTTTCAGTCTTTTGACTTTTGGTGGCCCATCGAAAGTCTACCATTGCTTGAGTCCTCTTTTCCAAAAGACCATTCTCTATAGTTCACGGTCAGCCTGCTTCTCTTTCTCCTTCTCAGCTTTCTCCAAACTCTCCAAATCCCACATCATGGACACCGGAGTAACAATAAGCTTTGGCCCGCATTCTATCTCGTAGTCAAAGCCCTTGGTCGGTCCAATGAGTAGGTGGCCGTTCCAAACCCAAGTATCAGTTAGGTCCAAGCACTCGGTAGTCTTTAGAGCTGCCCCCTCTTTCTTGATTTGGCGTTCGATTGCCCGTTCCACCTCGATTTGTTCAATGACCGTATCGCAATGACCATCATCAGTCTGCTCTCTTTTAGCTTTTTGACATGAAGTTGGATAAAGATGGAAATACCTCATATTGATAGTAAATCTCTTTATTTGGGCCAGCGTAGCCACTGAAGTGTCCGCATTCTGCCAGACCGACGGCATGCTTGATCTCGAAAGCTAAATTCTCAGCTCACGTCCATATCCAAGTCACGGATCGTCTGCTTGAACTTACTCCAGCGAAGCCATATTACCTTTGATGTCTATGTTAGAACTTTTCTTTCGCGCTTAAGAGACCGGTTGTCTTACCCTTAATCCCTCTTTGAACTCATGTGATGGTGCAATAGCATCCCATGCACGGTCATATATCTAAAAATCAGTCATTAATTTATTAGCAAGCAGTAATCCGGTATTACTAACAGTTCTCCGTTTCTCGGGCACCTTATTCTTCGGCTCGCCATGCTCCAGTTGTTCCAGTGCATGAAGCAACTCAAGATACATCTCCTGGTTCGCCGCACTTGGTCGGGGCCCACTAGCCGAACCTGTCGCCTCTAAGATAGGCTCCAAGCAGATAGAGGTTGGCAAAGACGTTGAGAAAAGTAAGATCATAAGCTTTGGATGCATCTTTGTTGATGTATGTAATCAGATTCGTGGCTATGAGTAGGAGAGGCACGATATACCCGGCAGCTGCCCGGTTGAATCTATCGATAGTGCCGGAGTCGAAGGAAATGTTTGGTGACATCACAATATGTCGGGTGGTATTCCAAGGGTTTTGTGGCTGGATTAGCGGTGTTTGTTGGTGAAGGTCGAAGAAATGGGCGAAAGGTACTGGTGATATGACATGTGCAAACGGGGCTATGTCAGGCGATATGTGCCGGATATCCGGCAGTGGAGACCTTGTTGGTTGGAAACGCGTTGTCAATTACGAGGTTCATCAATATTCGCAACCAACATGGTCGAAAATAAACAGTCGATTGGTCGATAGTGCAGTATCTCTCCATCTCGGAAGTTCGGCAACTCAAATATGAAACGCGGCCACATAATCACATATCGACCTTATCTTATCGCAAGCGATCACTATCAAACTGAATGATATAATTTTAGAAAGGTTATGTTTTATATAAATACCTATGTATTAAAAATATGAACTGACTTTTAGAGGTAAGTATTAATTAAAGTGAAGCAATTATTCTTTTGCATACTGTAAGACGGACAATTTCAGGATAGCTGTTGAGTTACCGATCTCCACCACCTGGATCGTATGAATTCAAACCAGATGTTTGATAATTGTGAGGAGTTTGGATATATTTCATTGTGCCTGAAACAGACATTCACGCAGGTAGATATCCTTAAAGTCTAATAAACTTTCGGAGGTTCAAAGCTGTTCATAGAGAAAACAAGTGTTGTACTTAGAGCATACTGAATTCAACAGAAGATTGACCTGACATCTGAGACCAATGCCAAGGAGACTTCAGCCCTAATAGTGGACCGAGCTTCTAGATGGTGACTTAGGGGGCTAGAAGATTGCCTGGCTTCCTATTAATAGATTTTGATATGAAGATATGTTCTCTAGTTTGCCGGTCTAGAGGGCCCTTGGCCATGCCGAGAGAAGTAGAGAGACTCAGTGGCATAACCAATGGAATAACATGGTTTCAGCAAGTACTACACTTTATCATTCACTAGTATCTGTCGTCGTGCATAGTTTACTAGCATGTTCAAAGGCTTAATATGTTTGGTTAGCATGCTAATTCGCCTTCTACTGATCCAGTGTTGGACTTGAAACAGATTTCATTACTCTTGTCTGCTACTCAAACACATCTCGTTTCTACGTTTCCTGACTACTACCTAATTACTGCAAATACCGTTCCATTCAACTGCTCCCATGACATCGGACGCAGGTGGCTCGTAACAAATTTCTCAGACTGTTCCACTGTCGGGTAGTTAACCAGTGCTGCCCCGCTCCGGCTCCGACATCCCCGGACTGTGCCCCTCTAATCCCAATACGATTTGGTGCATTCAGGCTGTTCCACCAAACAAGACAAGATCAACACCAATCGAGCCACGTACCCGCACCTATCATGGATTCTAGTGGAGTCCTCTCTTCCCCGAGAGTCAATCCGAAGCACGTGTTGAGTAGGGACCAAGTTGTATCACGATGCGGGGGCTGTGCTATCGCGGAGGAAGAATTACAAGATAAAAGTCCAATAATTCCTGAGACTTGGTCTTTCAATTCATTTCAATCACTCTTCTTTCATCGTCAAAATGGGAGATAGCATTCAGCACGAGCCAAAGGGCATTTCTCTCCAAGAAGATCCGTCCCGCCCGGACTACATCAACGAGGCTGTCTTTCGGAGAAACACCCTCCCCACTCGTTCGTATCATATTCCTGATACTTCAATCTCACTGAACGGAACATGGGACTTTTCTCTCGCTGGCACAGTTCTGGAAGCACCTGAACCCGGCGCAAAAGATGTCGCTTATGGTCAGATCCAAGTCCCCGGTCATTGGCAGCTTCAGGGTCACGGAAAGCCCTGGTACACCAACGTTCAGTACCCAATTCCTGTCTGCCCGCCATATGTTCCTACCGAAAATCCTACAGGAACATATCGTCGAGAATTTCATGTCCCGACGGGTTGGGCTGCGGATTCTCAACTGAGATTGCGCTTCGATGGCGTTGATAGCGCTTATCATATTTGGGTCAACGGTACCTTGATCGGGTACGCTCAAGGTTCAAGAAATCCTTCTGAATTTGACGTTTCATCGTTTGTCAACCGCGAGGGCCCGAATGAGCTCTTTGTTAGGGTATATCAATGGTCTGATGCGACGTACATCGAAGATCAGGACCAATGGTGGCTGTCAGGTTAGTATCCCTCAAACCACTAAATAAAGCAATAGCTAATCATTCCAGGCATCTTCCGAGATGTGTATCTCATTTCCTTCCCAGCTGCCAGAATCGATGATTTCTTCCTCACGCCACACCTTGACGCTGACTACAAGAACGCCAAGCTAAACGCATCCGTCGATGTCTCTGCTCAAAAAGGCGTCGTTGTTGAGCTCACAGTCTCTGAGCTTGCAAAGAACGGAGGCGCTGTTATTGGGTCTACTGAGACCTCTTTCGATGGACAGTCAAAAGCTGCTCTCAGTCTTGATGTCGAGGATCCCAAGAAATGGACAGCAGAGACACCATACCTGTATTCAGTAGAGATAACACTCAAGTCTGCAGACAAGCAGACTGTTCTTCACAAAGTCCAGCAACGCATTGGATTCAGAACGGTCGAGCTGAAGGATGGCCTAATGAAGGTCAATGGTAAACGCATTCGTCTCCGAGGTGTCAACCGTCACGAGCATCACCCTCTTCTCGGCCGCTCCGTTCCTCTAGAGTTCGCCAAGCGTGATCTTCTCATTATGAAGAAGCACAACATCAACGCTCTTCGATGCGCTCACCAGCCTCATGACCCTCGCGTTCTAGACCTTTGCGACGAGTATGGCCTCTGGGTTATGGCTGAAGCTGATCTTGAGTGCCACGGCTTCTACGATGCTGTTGCTCGACCTCTCGACATTCCTGAGTCAATGGACTACGGCGAGCGAAAGAAGCTTGCTTTCGGAAAGGCTGCCGAGTTCACCTCAAACAACCCCAAGTGGAAGGACGCTTACCTTGACCGTATCCGGGCTGTCTTGAACCGTGACAAGAATCACGCCAGTGTTATCATGTGGAGTTTCGGTAACGAGGCCTTCTATGGTGATAACCACAGAGAGATGTTCAAGTACGCTACTGAAGCTGATCCTTCGCGGCTTATCCACTACGAGGGAGATATGGAGGCCGAAACAACACATATGTATAGTTATATGTATCCCACGGTTGACCGCTTGATCAAGTACGCCGAAGAAGAGGGCGTCAAGGACGGCAAGTACGAGAAGCCCATCGTTCTCTGTGAGTATGGACATGCCATGGGTAACGGACCCGGTTGGCTGGAGGACTATGAGCAAGCATTCCGCGACTATCCTCGTCTCCAAGGTGGCTTCCTCTGGGAGTGGGCAAACCACGGTCTGTGGAAGGATGACCATGAGGGGGCAGGATATTACGCTTACGGCGGTGACTTTGGTGACACACCCAACGATGGAACCTTTGTCATGGATGGCCTGCTGAACAGTCAGCATGAGCCTACCCCTGGTCTCACCGAGTTCAAGAAGGTTATTCAACCTGTTGGCTTCTCCTTCAACGATGGAGAGCTGAAGATCGAGAACTGGCATGATTTTGCTGGTCTAGACCACTTGACTGCATCTTACAAGGTGGAGCAGTTTGGTCAAGAGTGAGTTGATTACCAGAAAGTGAGTCACAGGACGCTAATCATGAAATAGGTCAACACTAATTCACTCGGGGTCATTCGACATCCCTGAGATTCCAGCTGGCGAGACACGTTCTGTACCTCTTCCAGTCGACGCCAAGCGATACAACAAGGACAGTGAGGTCTACCTTACAGTGACACTATCCCTCAAGCACTCCACCGCTTGGGCGCCCGCTGGCCACGAGATAGCTTGGTATCAGCAGCAGCTCCAGGCTCCACAGACTGATCCCAAGGCTGCTCTCGCCGCAAGCAACACCCTCACTTCTAAATTGTCGGTGACCGAGAAGGGCGCTACTGTGTCAGTCGTTGGCAAGAACTTTGAGTTTGCCTTTGATCGCGCTTATGGTGCTCTCAAGAGCTGGGTCTCAAACAACGTGACTCTCCTCACCTTTGACCCAAAGACCCAAGCTGCTATCATCCCATCGTTCTGGCGCCCCAAAACAGACAACGACGTCCCTGGAGCCGTTCCCTACTGGGAGCGATTTGGTGTTGAGCAACTACAATCTCAACTTCGATCTTTCTCCGTTGATGCCTCTAGCTCAGACAAGGTGGTTGTGAAGTCACATACCTTCATCACTCCTCCAGTTCTGTTCTGGGGATGGGACTGTGAGATTGAGTACACGGTGTATCTCACCGGAGCCCTCAGTGTTAATGTCAAGCGTCTGTCGCCGACAGGATCCTTCCCTGAGCATGTTCCAAGAATTGGTCTTAACCTCTATGGTAGCAAGACCCTAGAGCATGTCAAGTGGCTGGGCCGCGGACCCGGAGAAAGCTACCCCGACAAGAAGGATTCCCAACGCGTTGGGATCTGGAACGTCGAGTCTGTTTCCGAGCTCCAGACTCCTTACGACGTTCCTCAAGAGAACGGTAACAGAGAGGACACACGATGGGTTTCCCTTCGGGACTCCAAGTCTCCAAGCATCGGACTTCGTGCGACACGTTTGGATGGAAAGAACTTCAGCTTCTTGGCGTCACACCACAGGGACACGACTATTCACGAGGCTAGACATCCTCCTGATCTGAGAGAGGATGATGCGGTGTTTATTAGGCTGGATAGCAAGGTTGCTGGTGTTGGATCGGGTGCCTGTGGACCCGCTGTTCGTGAAGACCTCATGGTTAAGACTGAGGAGACGACTTTTGGATTCCTGCTGGAGCCGCTATGAACAAGATTGATAGACATTATGATTGAATGATAAGATACAGAAATTTGAGTCATAGATGTTGCTATAGTATTGCCCTTGTGATGTTTGTCGAGTTTTGCCGATCATCTGAAGCTACGCTAGTTTACGGCAAACTGTTTGCCCGTTTCACATTTCCCTTGCGCATTCACACTCTATGAAACTTTCGCACAAGCATGAAAATGAGCTTCATATGGTTTCTCGAAATTTCCTTGCCAGTAAGATTGGCATTTGGTAGCTTTAGGTTCTTTTACAGTCTTATCGTCAGTGAGCCATCAGGTCTTGGTGTTCATTCGCAGCCCAAGAATCCACCCGAATCATCATCGCTAACTTGGCCGAGTGGTTAAGGCGCTGTGTTTAGGTTCCTTATCAGAAACCAAACCCGCAGTGGGAAACCGCGGAGGTTCGAACCCTCCAGTTAGCATAACAAGCGATTCATTTTTTACTTTTTACGACGACAATTCTATACTTCTTATAGACTATTTGTTCTGGTGACTGACTACAGTCATATGTACCACGATGCGACTCTCCATAGACCCCACGTCGCGCCGAAAAGAGCAACCCAAGATAAAACCCCCTTCGCAATAAATACATATTTCACGATCTGGAATGTCTTTTTCTCATTCAATCGAGGAAATGGCTCACTCGGAACGTCTTTGCCCAAGAATTTGCAAAGAGGCTCCCATCCATCTTCTGCCTTGAACTGGAGAACCTCTCGATTCCTCTTCTTCGCCTCAGCTAGTACCTCTTCGTTATACTTGTTATACATTTCCGCCGAGAAGATTTCAGCTGAACCGTACTTCTCCTTGCCCAACTTAATACTCTCCATATTAAGCGTATACCACATCCGATCAGAAGACCAGAGCAGACCAACCCAGTAGAACCAAGGACTGAAGAAGAACCAGAAGCTTTCCTCCGCGCTCTTGGCCCAGACTTCAGGATCGGGTCTTTGGTTGAGCACAATCTTCGCATCTGGATATGCGTCCATCATGTCTGGAGTAAAGTACACGACAGGAAGATCGCAGATGGAGCGATGGCCGTGAATGAGTTGCTTAACCATCTTTTGTCGAACTTCAGGATTCTTCTCGCGCAGCGCGGCGATGAACAGGCGCAAACGCGAAGGATGGGGGAGGATCTCTGCCATGTGCATGCATGGTCCGCAGCCTAGCTTCTCAAACGCCGCTTGCATTGATGATGTGGCTGCGCGAGGGAGGCCAGCCCCAATGACCAGGAGAGGGACCTCCTCAGAGTTTGGGTCACCTAGACCTCGAGAATCCGTAAGGAAGCGCATCGCCACAACTAGTGATAGATAAAAGTCAGATAAATCAAATTGCCGAGACTCCTTGATCCTGTAAGAATGGGGAGCAGTCGGTTTTTAAAGCTCACATAATATTGAAGCATGAAAATAGTGCTGACGCCAAGCGGCACAGCGAATCTCTTGTCAGATTCTTGCTGACTTTGCATCGGCATACCGATTCTTGGATTGGTTTTTCATGCTTATGCAAAACTTTAGCCTCAAGCTATCTCTTTAGAACATCGGGAGTTTCCATTTCGAGCAATTGTGAGACTTAAGTTGTCAGGTTGTCAAAGTGCATGGTTAAAAATTAAATGGGCATGCTGGGCCTAGAACACAGTTTTCCAGTCCAAACAACTCGGCTTACATACCCTAAGTAAACTCTGACAGCTTCACAGGTCGGGTAAATGGCCTACAGTGTGATAGCAACCAATAATCAGAATGACAAAAGGGTCTTTGGCTGCGGATGCCGCAGTTCAAAGCATTGTGGCGCTTATCGTAAGCTTCATTTCTAGAGGATCGTCACATGTGTGGTGTCTAACTTTAGGCCAGCGTCACTAATCTCGCCTGATTGCTTCTTACGGTACTCAACCTCGGCTCCAAGCGAAATGGGAGATCGCGGCATCCGAGCTCCAGGTTCATAGCTTAGTGTTAAAAAGTACCGAACCTTTTGAAGCCACAATCGATAGTCCAACGGCTAAGAGTAACAATTACATCATGCAAATATTGCTAGCTACATGCTAAATAAACAGATCGGCTCTTGAATGTCGATTCAAGATCGGCTGTTCGTGTTTCGCGGTCTCTTGTCATGCTATTGTAGAAATTCCCCCAGAGTCTCACCCTACATGACGCCGATATGCACGAAGTCAGGGGAAAAGGCCGTTGTGGCTTGAAACTAATTAAACATCGTGGAGCCAAAATCCCATCCGTCGATCTTCCCATCAAGTTTTAGTCTCGTTTTCTCTCATCACTCGCCTACAGACTAACTCAATAGGTTGCGCTCAGACTCCATGCAGAATTTAACCTGACCTGAAACAAAACAAGCCCAGGTGGGCCTCAGTCTGCTGCTGTGTAACCTGTAAGCCAATGCGAGGAGACCCTTTTCTTTTCTTAGTATACACTGAACTTTGCTGGCCAATTGCAGGTCTGGTCTTTTCGTAGACCTGATATTGAAGGTGGTCGCCTCGATCCGCCTAGCTGAACTGAACCATGTGAGCTGAAAGTACGGTAGGTGTGATGGCTGCGGTGCGATGGATCTAAGGCTGTGCGTCTGATGTCAGTCCTGCTAGAACAAACTTGTACCAGAAAAGTAATTAATAAATAATATCATATCCTCCCACCAATTTGCTTCTGTTTCCAGTTCATTCCATTCGTTCACTTCTCATTCTTCTCCATATCTTACAATCATCATTCTTTTCTATTCCTTTCGCTACAATGAAGTCCTTTTGGACACTCGCTTTTTACCTCGGGGGCGCTAGTGCTGTCGCCATCTCCCAACCGGCAGCCAAGTCTGAGACTCCCGCAGGATCCTTGCAATTCTTGAGTCTCAGAGCCTCAGCTCCCCTCGGTACTGCTATCAACCGCGACAAATGGAAAGTCACCTGTGATAGCCAGCACGAGGGAGATGAGTGCTCCAAGGCCATTGATGGTGATAGCAACACCTTCTGGCACACTAATTGGGCCGCTGGAGGCACCAATGACCCAAAGCCTCCTCACACGATCACTATCGACATGGGCTCTTCCCAGAATGTCAACGGCTTATCTGTTCTTCCTCGCCAGGACGGTAGCGATCACGGCTGGATCGGCCGTCACAACGTCTTTCTGAGCACAAACGGGAAGAATTGGGGTGAGGCTGTCGCAACAGGAACGTGGTTCGCTGATAATACTGAGAAATACTCCAACTTTGAGACTCGTCCTGCTCGCTACGTCCGTCTTGTCGCCGTCACTGAAGCAAACGACCAGCCTTGGACCAGCATCGCTGAGATCAACGTCTTCAAGGCAGATTCTTATACCAGCCCTCAACCTGGCCTCGGACGCTGGGGCCCTACACTTGACTTTCCTATCGTTCCCGTTGCTGCTGCAGTTGAGCCAACGTCCGGAAAGGTTCTCGTTTGGTCTTCCTACAAGAATGATGAGTTTGGAGGCTCCCCTGGCGGCGTAACATTGACATCGACTTGGGATCCTTCTACGGGTGTGATTTCGCAACGCACTGTGACTGTCACCAAACACGATATGTTTTGCCCTGGTATCTCCATGGATGGAAATGGTCAGGTTGTCGTCACTGGTGGAAATAACGCTGAGAAAACAAGTCTTTATGACTCGTCTAGTGATAGCTGGATCCCAGGGCCTGACATGAAGGTTGCCCGTGGCTATCAGTCGTCAGCAACTCTATCAAACGGTCGCGTGTTCACTATCGGTGGCTCATGGAGTGGAGGTATCTTTGAGAAGAATGGTGAGGTCTATGACCCATCTTCAAAGACATGGACCTCACTTTCAGGAGCTTTGGTCAAGCCAATGTTGACTGCCGATCAACAGGGTCTCTATCGCTCAGATAACCACGGCTGGCTCTTCGGCTGGAAGAAGGGATCCGTATTCCAAGCTGGACCTAGCACTGCTATGAACTGGTATTATACCAGCGGCAACGGTAACACAAAGTCAGCCGGCAAGCGTCAGTCTAGCCGCGGCACTGATCCAGATGCGATGTGCGGAAACGCTGTTATGTATGATGCAGTTAAGGGAAAGATCCTGACTTTCGGCGGTTCCCCAAGCTATCAAGACTCCGATGCCACAACCAACGCTCACATCATCACAATCGGCGAGCCCGGAAGCACACCCAAGACAGTATTTGCTAGCAATGGCTTGTATTACCCCCGAACCTTTCATACGTCTGTTATTCTCCCCGACGGAAACGTCTTCATCACTGGTGGTCAACAGCGTGGTATTCCTTTCGCCGACTCAACTCCTCAGCTTACACCCGAGCTCTACGTCCCCAACGATGACACTTTCTACAAGCAGCAACCAAACTCCATTGTCCGAGTCTACCACAGTGTTTCCTTGTTACTTCCCGACGGCCGGGTTTTCAACGGTGGTGGCGGTCTCTGTGGCGGTTGCACTACCAATCATTTCGACGCCCAGATCTATACGCCAAATAATCTTTACGACTCTAATGGAAAACTTGCGACACGCCCCAAGATTACCAAGGTCTCTGCTAAGAGTGTCAAGGTCGGTGGCAAGATCACAATCTCGACAGATACCAGCATCAAGCAGGCTTCGTTGATCCGTTACGGTACTTCGACACATACAGTTAATACTGACCAGCGTCGTATTCCTTTGAGTCTGAGAAGTACTGGAAGTGGAAACAGCTATTCGTTCCAGGTTCCAAGCGACTCTGGCATTGCTTTGCCTGGATACTGGATGTTGTTTGTGATGAACTCGGCGGGTGTCCCAAGTGTTGCCAGTACTCTTCTCGTTACTCAGTAAAGTGTCGATCAATCCTGCTTCTTGGTGTATTTCTGCTATTTTTTAAATCTTTTGGCATAGGGAATTGCATTTAATCCTTTAACTTCATCTTCTGCATCTGTACTTGAGAGACATGACGGGCATTTTAACTTGCTGTTATCTCATATATTCTTTCTTAGTGACAATTGTCCAGCTCAACTATAATTATCAGAAACAACCCTCCTGAACACTATAGGATAATTATTCTTCTGATCAGTCTAGACTCATCTTTTCTTGTTTTGCTAGACAATCCCCTCAAGTTCTTGCTGAATTCAAGCTTTCCGAAAACGGACTATGAACCTCGTCCAACGCCACATACATACAGTTTTCCAATAGTCAAAATAGTTCCTTTTGGAGATCTTCATATGTGAGATATATCTAGATCACAAATTTAGACCTATGAAACTGAATATTTATGCTTAAAACAATGCTCGATAGATTTGTGCGGAGTTACCCTGGACTTCAATGAGAGCGCAATGTGATATTATGTACAGACTTCCAATGAACCAGAATGTCTCAGCGCAAGTGACATTAATCTACAAGGTACAGCTGGAGCTTGTTTCGCTGTGTCGTAGTCCAATTGATGGTGATCGACTTGGGTCCATTTGCAGCGCTCGATGACGACAATGACATCATCACCACGATATCCATCACACAAGCCGGACTGCATTTTCTTCCTAGCAAATCTTCTAGAGCGACATGATTTGCATGAAACACGTTCAAAGACTACACACTACAACCCTTCACGCCTTGAGACGAAATTGCCGACATTTCTCTACGCAACAGCGACTACACCGAAGTTCATCGGAACCGGCCAAGATGAGTTGGATGGACAGCTGGAGTCGACCCGGTAAATCGCAAGCAACACCAGCACCCTTCTACTTGTTACCTGGTGGCGAAGCAACTTCATATTGTCACTCATGCGGCAGAGTGATTAGTACGAGACGAACTACCGCGACTGCAAATACCAATACGCCAGCCAAGTACTGCTCGAGCCGATGTCGCACACAGAAGCCCGGAAAGCTGGACCGCGAACTGGAGAAAGCCTTTGTCAAACTATTGACCGCCGAAGAGAGCAGGGGAGATGAGGCAAAGAAGCAGGCAAAAGGTGGCAAGCACAAGAAAGGGAAGAACAGCAAAGGCGACAATCGGGTCTTGGTGCCATGCAGCGCAGCAGAGGAACTCGTCTTTGGACCGAACCGAACGTCAATGGAGGGAGAAAATGAAGAACATCGCAGCGACGAGGAGGAAACGAATGAAATGGAACAAACGCAAGCGCCATCGGAGTCATGTACATCAGAAGACATGGATCTCTCAGGCAACATCATCAAAGACGACAATCACATCGACGGCGACGTTCTCGCCCGCATGTCAGTTCGCAGTGGCACTCGCATTCGTCCACCTCAATCCGTCTCCGAAGTCAACGGCAGTGTCGGCGGCGAAAAAGGTCGAGCAGAACGAATCCACGAAACAGACGCGATGCTTGAGAAGCGAAAACAAGGACAGAAGCGCGCGAAGGAACGGGAAATGACCAAATGCGCCGCCCGACGCGGTGTTGTTTTTGGGTTCACTGTCAGCGACGAAGGCGAGAAGCGTCTCTGTGAGGCAGTCATGGCGGGAAAAATCGTGGAACCGAGCTTTGCAAAGGGGGACTGGGCGATAAGATGGAGAGAATGAGATTGCTCATGTATCAGATATGGTTCGGGCCGACAGCAGTGAACAAAGGCTGATTGTGTCTGATTGACAATGTTCATGACGCGCTTGCGATAGGGATCGACGTCCTTATCACGGTCCAAGCGTTAATGACAAGACGCTCTAGAACGAAGGGGGAAAGGATACTGACCATTTGTAACACCGGTTCCTTGATCACCAACTGATCTGCTGAGTAACAAATATGAGTGGTTTGACTGGTAGATCAAGTATCGTCTTGGCTTCATTTGGGACAGACGAGTTTCTGGATGCAGACGTGGAACATGCCAAGCAACTCCACCACGGACGAGTGGAAGTCTCCATCGTTATCTTTATTGGGGTCTGGGGTTTTACTCCGCTGAAATCTGTCATCTGTGGTCTGCTCCGCTGGAATCTATCATGTGCAAGTAACCTCGCCTCGCATGCTTTACCATTTCCAATACATTGGAGAAACTATCATGTCATAAATATTCCAGAAACTGGGAAGATCATTTTTGGTCAAATTTGACAGGACGATAAACGAGAGTCTAGATTGTGCTTGGTCCAGGGGAAGTGGAACGACATCCAGGTTCCCCAATCTCATGCTGCAGGGTTCAGCTTTCAGCGCTCCAGGCGATATAGAACAGTAGTGGACGATGCTACAAGCTACAGTAAACTTGGCATGCTCAGCTCGAAGCGATTGCAACGTTGTCATGCAAGGTCAATCATTAGCCAGCTTCCCTACAGGGCTGGAATGCAACCCAGAGTCTCAATAGTCGTGAGTATAGTGCCATACCGCGGAGAGAGCGAGAGCGATGGCGTGCGTTAGCCGGAAATAAATCATGACATTACAACAGAAAACGGTCAAGATCACAAAAGAGATAAGACAGAGGCTGTTGGTCCGGGGTACGCCCTAACTCCAAAAGCAGTAGGTGGTTAAAGCCCAGGGATCAGCCACTGGCCCCAGCGCGCTAAATATTGACGCACTACAAGCAGACGTGGCGCCACGATGGATGATAGGGCGTGGTGAAGGCGATGATGATAGGTGAGATGCTGTTTCAGCGCGTCGGATCAAATCTAACAAAGTTTCTGCTAGAACAACCGAAAAATCGGGACCGAGCTTACGGGCCGGGTTGGTTGAAGATGCCCCTGTTCATCATTGACGAAGCAGTGTGAAGCTGAGGCCATCTTGTTCTCCAAGGGCGGGTTGAGTGATTTTTTCACTCTCCAGAGCGAACTTCCTCTTCTAGAATAATCCTCGTATGAGCAATCAACGGCGTCGTTATCCCACCTGCTGAAAAGGACAAGGAGACGCTGATTATGAAGTTGTTGATCAATGCGACAGCTATCGACGCCATTTTTCTGGTTCTGGAAGGTCTGCAGTGAGTTAGTCAACCAGGCATGTTCCAAAGGGCCGAGTATCCGACAATTAGTTGTCGACTCTCTTTCGTTTGCCAGTCTGTCAAGTCTGTTCAGCTCAATCAACGTCACGTCATTGATGATCGTCAAGGGGAATATTCCCCAAACAGACAAAATCACTCAGGGACCCAGAGATGATCAGCCCTGCCAACATTTCCCCCGGACGATTTCCGCCGTTCCACTGTAGCTCCCAACGCTAGACTTGGTCCAGTCACACAATGGCACTCCGGTTAGCATACCCGCCGAGAAAGCAGATGGTGTCGCCAACGAGTCAGTTTGTTCTGGAAGCCAAGCCCAGTCCCCTTTTACCCCAGAGCCTCAGCCAACGCCTTTCTCACCCGGATTAGACCCATCCAGATGAGAGTCAAGGATGCCTCACTCGCAAGGGACCATGTGGGAGGGACATCCTTCAAATGCAGATCACTCCCACGGACATCCGTGTGACTGGCGTGTGTGTGTACTCCTGCACCTTGCGTTGCTTTTCTTAACTTAACTAAAACAAAAGTTCGTCCAGAGTTCTCTTTGAGTTTTGACAAGCCTGTGGGAGCCGCAGGATCATAGCCCGCCATGAGCCTCAAGTCGGATATCATCAGTGCCATGGTCATCACGTGGGTGTCGGCCTTGCTGGCACTGATTGCACGTGTCTTTGCGAGGCGCATGACAAAGGTTCCCTGGTGGTATGATGACTACTTGTGTGTCGGTGCCTTTGTAAGTCTTGCTTGTGAAGCCTTTGAAGGGTCGTTGCTTACACGTTGTAGGTTGTTGGTATTGGATACAATGTTGTGATGATATACTGTAAGACTACCCTTTGCTTTGATGATATGAATAGAGGCTGACTGATGTAGGGGCCTTGACATGGTACCTTGGCACAACTATCCCCGACTCTGTCAGCGATGAACGATACGAGGAGATCAACCTCCACGCGCGACTAATGCAGTTCCTCATCTCCCTCACCTACTCATACTCGATCGGTCTCTCGAAGCTGTCTATTCTCCTCTTCTACTGGCGCATCTTCAAACAATCAGCTATTCGAATCCCCATCCAGGTTATGCTTGGCATCAGCGGCGCTTGGCTCATCCTCCGTACATTCATGGTCATCTTCCATTGCATACCGGTTCAAGCCTATTGGGACAAGTCAATCGAGAACGCTGTTTGCAAGATCAACGATTCACAGTTCTTCTTCGCCACCTGCCTTACTCACTTCATTCTTGATGTTGTTATCTTGGCGCTGCCGGTTATTGAAGTGTTTAAGTTACGACTTCGTCTGGGACAAAAGATTGCTATCACTGCCCTGTTTGCCCTTGGTTTCATGTAAGTTTTCGACCATCACGTCACAGTACCATACTAACAGACAAAGTGTCTGTCTAGCATCCGTCTTTGTCATCGTCACAGCCCTCCAATATGACCCTGCTTCGAGGCAAATGCCCCGCGATGTCGCCACAAACGACATGTGGGGAGGTGTTGAAATCAACGTCGCCATCGTCTCCGGCTGCTTCCCCCTCCTCCGCCCAATCTTTACCAAGATTCTCCCCAAGAGATTCCTCAGCTCTGCTGGGAGCAGTCATCCCATCAGCCGCACCACTCACGGCATTCGCCTCACTACCATCAACCGTACCAACAAGGACAAAGAAGAAGACGAGACAAGCTCAACTCATCAACTTGCAGACCCAGAGCAAAGGATCCCCGGGGAGTTTGAGATTATCGATGGAAAGGAAGGACCTCGGACTTTCATCTCCAGTCGAACTACCGAGTCGCTTCATTCGAGGGAGCAGGATATGGCGGGGATTTATGTGCGGAATGATGTTGTTCAGGAGGTTGAGGAGTCGAATCATACATACGCGATGAAGAGATGAGAATCGCCTCTTATTAATACTGTATTTTATAATCATTATACCCATATACGTGTACATTTAGATATACGGAAATGTCATTTCATATGCAACTCTGACCTGGTCTTGTGAGATTTACCAGAAGTTCCATGCATCTTAAGCGGCAGTCCCAAGTTTCACCGGTAATTCACCTATACAATGACTGAGGGGCAGCAGGCCTGAGCCTTTCGTGTTCATCTTCGTGCGCTGTCTGTCGGACCATAGATCATATCTTAGTCTAAGTTATGCCTAAACTCTTCTGCGTTATGGAACAAGTTTAGACTAGACTCTTGGATAAAGCCTAAAGTACTCACAGATGGGACATGCTCATCCCCACCTCAAGTTCGCTGAAGCTTTTGAGATGAACACACCATCATCTTTGGCCTGCCCCAACTTCAAACCTTCCTTCAATCTCTCAAATGCCTCAAGCGGGAGAGGGAAGGCAGTCTGGGCGACTGTCTCGCTTGCCGCCGATGTTCAACTTACCCCTTCGACATCGTCACTGCCTTCCGCTTTAGCGTTGTTCGAGTCACCTTTCGAGGGGATGAGACCAAGACTTCTCTTCTTCTTCCAACATCTCATCAAAAATCAAAAGCTTCTATTCTTTTCAAGTACCGCTACCTCCATTCAAAATATCATGTCGATGTCTGATGCCACGGCGACGAATGCAGTCGAAGACGCAGCTGCTATGCCTAACACGGCGAACAACGACGCCACTTCATACATTTTCGAAATTTCCCAATACCGAAAAACGCACGAATTCTCTGCTCGTACCCCCTTGGAATTACACGTGCCTAAGACTGGCCTGACACTACTCCGTGACAAAGGTTCAACTGACGCCAGGCTTATCGTGCGGGTTGACGTGGACACTGACGACGGGCGGACATATCGATGGAACGTCAACTTTTCCGACGGGGGTCCGTTCAAAGCATTCAACCGTGACGGAGATTACGAACCCCCCAGAGGCTTGCGCGCCGCAGCATTTGTGCATGCGTTTGGTGTCGCAATCACCTCGATCGTCGACTTCACCAACTATAGCCATAATCAGAAGCCCTCAATCTCGCATGTCTACGTTCGCTTCCCTCGGGTTTGGAAGTCCAAGCATTCGCTCCGCCAGATTTTGTCCGATGTGCAGCAAGGCAAAGCCTGTCCACCGTCTTCACCGCAATGGGCCAAAAACATGTATGATGAAGTTTCGAAGACCTTGGTTCAGATGCAAAAGCTAAGGGAGGAAGGGGTTCATGTAATGCTGTGGCAAAATTTCAAATAGATAAGTACCTTATCTTCGGTAACAGGCAGTATTGGAAGTTCTCGTGGGGTTGAAGCTGGGCATTAATAGACTGAGGTGGTCTCAGGACTTTTATTCATTATATAAAGTTAGTGGAGAGTGACTAAAATCTTCTAAAACCGTGAACAGCCTATATCAACTTAGTAGAGTTCACTAAAACCTTCTAAAATTATCCAGGATTTTCAAATTAAACGAACATGATGGGCCTGTTTGCTCAAACGCAGTGACGCACGTATGTGACATGTCTAGCCGGCTCATAGGCCTAGCAGTGAACAAATCGTGAGAACACAATCATTCGCTCCGAAGCTGCATTCAATCGTTAATCGCAGATCATCACGTCCATGAAAATTAAATCACTGACAATGGTTTCCTATATAAAGTCCTCAGGCCCGGTCACTGGACTCAGGCATAGCACACATTCCTCAACTGCAGTCCGAAAATGTCAGACTTCCGCACGCGCATACCTTGCAGAGAGATCAACTCTCTCAGTAAGCTTTACGATGTACTGACAAACGAATACGGAAATATGTACTATAGATTGGAGACGGAAAAGAACGAGCAAGGCGAGCTCTTCTGGGTCGTTGGTGTCTCGAGCCATTTTGCACGTGATGTGCGAGAACTTCTGATCACGAAGGGGGTTCTACGACAGAGTGAGAGACCGCGCGGATTTGCGGCAATAAATAGACCAAAGGCCCATGGAGATTCATTGCCTGAAGTAGTTGATCTCACTGGGGATGATCCGGATGAAGAGACTCCTCAGGCTCTCGGGAGCCCAAACACGGCAGACGCCACCGGATCAGGCCAACATCTTCCTGACAAGGAAAAAACACCAGCCTACGTTCCTGACTCAGTACCTAACAATGAAAATAGTCCTGAGAAAACACCACGGGACGCTGTTACACGAATCGCAGAACAAGATGACGGAGCTGAACAAAGGCCAGCCGAAACATGCAACAGCGCGGCCGGCCAAGGAGACCGACCGACAGCGAGTATCCCGATATCTATGCTACTCGGGGAGGCTCTAGTTTGAGCCTAGATTGTGCCTGGGGATTTGGCCAGGTTACTTGGGTATTTGTAGTAAATTTGACCGTCACAAGGGGACAAAGTTGGAGGTTTGGAGATTCAGTGTTTGAAGCTTGTTTGCCAGCGCTGAGGCACTCCACCGGGACCTTGTTACCGTGCATTTCTTGTGTAACATGGAAACTGGATAGAAAACATCCATAGAGCGATTGATACCCTTCTTTGTTTGATACCGGCAGCTCTTCGGGTCGAGCGGTTAAGCATAATTTTGCTTGATGCGGCTGACATCTTTTAGAGTAAGCATAGCGAAGGTGGCTGATACAAAAATAACACTCAGGCGCCACTAAGCGTAGGCTTTTGGGCTCACAAGGCGTTCTTTGGTGGTATTTTGTGCCTTGTGAATGTGAGACTAATGCTTCAGCTGAATGCGTGGACCGGTCTGGACTCTCCCCATGAGGAGTCATATTTAAATGTGTCCTGTCCCATCAAACAATCAATGCTTGACAATTCTGTGAATAAAGTGAAAAGGTATCTGTGAATAGCGTCATAAGAATTGTTGCAGCTCTTTTTGAGGATTGTGATAGCAATATGGCCAGTGGTCCTCCTTACAATGGTTACCAGGTACCGCCTGGCCCTGGAGTGCCTAACCAAGCTCCCCCACCACCAACGCAGCAGTACTCTCAATCCCCTCACCTTCAACAATATTCTTCACCTCCGCCTCATCAATATGTTCCCGGCCAGCAACCGAATTATCAATCGCCTCATCCGGGCCACGCGCAGCAGGTCTATCAAACCCCGCAGCCGCCTCCAGCACAATATGCGCAGTCACCGCAGGGCGTGCTTCAGCAGTACGCGCCGGTACAACAGCACAACTATCAGTCCCCTCCGCCAGGCCACTACCAAGTGAACCAACCCGCACAATCCCCTCAGGCCCAGCATACTCAATCCCCGCAAGGTCAATATCCTCAGCAGCAGACGCCAGGCCAGCAGCCCAGCTACCAGACGCCGACGTACGGTGTCGCAGCCCCACCAACACCTGCACAGCACCAGCAGCAGTACCAGCAACAGGCAGCTCAATTCGCGACCCGACCCTCTGCGCAAGCCCAGCTTCAATCAACCGCTCAATCTCTTTTCAAGTCTGGAAAGGGTATTTTAGGAAATCTCGCTAGCAACATCAAGTCAAAGTACCCCGCTTCCTCACCTTCCGGTGCTCCCGCAAGTTCTGGGACTTCGTACACTGGTGAAGCACCGAAGCCGACGTACAATCCCGCCCAGCATCCTACGCAAACGCCTTTGAGCCCGACAAACTCATTCCCGCAAGGCTATGGCCAAACTCAGCCTCAGCAGGCGTATGCCAATCAGGCGTCACCGACACCGCAGCAGAGCGTCCCGCCCGCTGCTCCAGGCTACCATCCGACTCACCAAGCAGCGCAAGCGACATCCCCAGGTCAGCAACCCAGCGCGCCTGGTCAACCACCTCACCTGAGCTGGCAAGAGCGTTTAGAGGCTGCTCAGCAGCCCAGTCTGGACTTTCAGCAACCGTCGCACACGAATGTCCACGCAGGTGAACAGGGCACGGTGCCTCAGCCGCTGGTTCAATCACCACCAGGTGCTTCGCCATATCCCCAGCCCGTTTTGCACCATCAGCAGTCGAACCCGTACCAGCCTGCGCCTGCTCCGCCCTCGCATCAATCTGTTTCACAGGGAGCGGGCTCTGCCGCCTCACCTGGGTACAGCCAGAACCCTTCTCAACCGTATTCACCGCATCAACAGCAGCAGAGTGCTCCTCCTCAGCTTCAACAACAGGCATCGTGGCCACAACAGGGTGGCGTGAGTACGTACAACCCGGCACTCTCATCACCTCCGCCTCCGCCGCAGACAGCTCCCCAGTCTGGTCACCCGGTTGGTTCTCCCAACCATGGCTCTCCTGCTCTACAGCAACAGCCACAGTATCACCAGCAAGCGGTCGCGACTAATTCGCAAGATACAACAACGACCCAGCAAACTGGTCAAGCATCGCCGTATCAGGCTGCTCAAGCTAGCGCTACGCACAGTTCGCACCATGTCGTCCCGACCCAGCAGCTCTATCAGAGTCCCCCTCCCCAAGGCTACCCGCAAGAGCAGGCGCCTACTCCTTACAACCCAATGACCGCTTCAGGGTTGTCGCCGACCGCACATACGGTGCCTGTGCCGCTGGCTCAGAGTGCACCCGTGAGCCACCCACAAGGCCGTCCTGCAACACAGTCGCCTCAACAGCAACACCAGAACCCACCAGCGCAGCAGCTCGTTAGTCCAACGGTAGCTCCTCGTCACGATCAGGCACCCTTTCAGGGCGTTTCAGGACCACAGGGGCAGTATTATACACCAAACCAGGCGCAAGTCCCTCAGACTGGAGGCGCGCCCGGTGGTGTCCAGCCGATTGCTCCCTCAGGTCAAGCTCACAGCTACCCGCCTCCACCACCTTTGCAGCAACCGCAGTACGATGTACACTCTGTCTCTGCCCCGGCACCAAACCAGTTCCAGCCCTACAGTGCACCGGCCGATCAGCAGGCTCCATTGGCACAATACTCGCAGCATCCTGAAGTCGCAGCTACAGACCCTCCAGCGCCGCAGCAGTATACGTCGCCTCCTAATTTACCAGTCCCAGCTGGCTCGATCAATCATGGACAAGTGCCTGCAAATGCCCCGCCAGCGGTATCGGGTCAGCAGTTCCAGCCATACCAACCTGCTCCCAGTATGCGAGACTCTCAGCCTCCACCAAATGCGAATAATATACCCAGCCAACCCGCTGCTTATGCCTACCAACAAGATCCCGTTGCCTCTCTGTCTGCCCAAATGAGCAATCTGAACGTCCTGAACAGTGGCCATCCTCCAACAGGACTCAATAATAACCCGACCGCACGACCGGATTGGCCTCGGGGACCGCCCCCTTGCCAAGCTACTGGCATGTCCAGTGACATTCTCCCATACTGCCCCGAAAACAGAACCGTAAGCTACTCGCTTGACTGGTATCGCTTAATTGCTGTGCCACAGTATCTTATTTGCACGAGGTGCTACGCCGACTATGTCCAGAGCACTCACCTCGCGGGTCACTTCGAGAGGTACCATTCGCCCGAGGGCACAGAGTCCAAATGCGGCTTCTGGTCTCCTCGAGCGAGAGAAGTGCTCTGGCCGCAGGCCCTCCAGACCAACGACATCAGACCTCTAGAGGCATGGGCGGAGAAGAGCCTGACTCTCAACCCCTGCAAGGGCAGGGTCTGGACGACTGCTACCGATGAGGTCAAGTGGTGGAGCATGGTCAATGACGAGATAGATGGGTTCGTTTCGTGCGATGCCTGCTATGAGGACCATGTTGTTGGCACGCCCTTCGAGTCTCGCTTCCAGCCTTATCGTCAACAAGGACAGGATGAAAAGTGGATGTGTGATCTATGCATACCTTACGTCGCCCAAATAGCAGTTAAGATGGCAAAGAAAAATCACTGGAACGGCTTTGTCGAAGCCGCGAAAGCGCGCGTCCATCTTCCCGTATGCGAAGGTAGGGAAGAGGAGTCCAACAACGGACATTGGATGCTGCCGCGGCGCAGGATCAAGGACATGACTGTCTGCGAGGCATGTTATCTGGATAAACTCGCCTTGACGCCTTTCGGCAACGAGTTTGAACGTCACATCCGTGCAGAAGGCTTTGACGCCTTTGTCGAATCAATTGGCCAGAGATGGAAGTGCAAGCTCACTGACACAGCTGTTAGCATGAGTATCGCGCTCGAAGCAGCCATCTACCGCCGAGACTTTGACGTGTTTTGGAACGCCGCCAATGCCATCTCGGGTCTTGTGCCATGCACTATCCACGGCATCGCGCGTGGCAATTGGTGGACGGTCGCTGGAGGGTGTGACGACTACAATGTCTGTGAGGCTTGCTATAAGGGAATCGTTGAGACGTCTGGCCTTGAGAAGTTCTTCGAGCCTGCCCAGCGCGATCAGACTGTCGACATCGTTTGCAGCTTTTGTCCAGGCACTCCCCGATGGGCCTCGTTCATCACCAAGTTCGCCGAGGCTATTGACAAAGGTGTCTTCAGTCACTACTCTGACTACGTCAAGAAATGGGCTGGGGTGCCGGCATGTCCAGGGATCAAAAACAGAGGGAAGAGTAAATGGTGGGGACACCCAGAAGCTCTGGCCTGCCAGGACTGTTGGTTGAACTTTGTGGCCGATACTCCCTTGGGAGATTCCGTTCCCGTCAAGGGCGTTTACGATGAACGTACCTTGATCTGTCAGCTATGGTCTCCAAGAATGCGCAACATGTGGCTCGCAGCCTGTGCTGCCGGACCTCCTGGTTCACCCGAGTCACAAAAAGCCCTGGATGAGTTCAAAGCATTTGGGTCAAGGCGTGTACAAGTGTACAACGCGACAGTGCCTCACATCGAGATGATACAGCAGATGCAGATGATGAAACAAATGCAGGCTATGCAACAGGGACAACTGAGCTTGATGTACCAGGGTATGAATGGCATGGCAGCTATTAGTGGTACCACGGATGGGTATCTGCATGGTAATAGTTCTGTTGGATACTATGAGACTGAACATGGGGTCACGGCGGCGAATATGATGAACAATATGCATGCTGGGATGGCGGATGCGAATAAGACGAGTGATTGGCAGATGATAATGCAGCTGCAGGCTACTTGGATGGAGGTTGAGTAGTCTGGCTGTTGAAAGCGGATGTGTCTATCTCGAGAGAGGCTTTTATGATCATGAAATTCATTCCGTTGACCTATCATGTTCTCGAGTGTCGTGTCTTCGTGTATCTAAAGTCTATGCCATTGCTGGCGAGACTCTACCTAGTAGCATTTGGTGTAGCTCCCAATTTCCTCTCCTTCTTCTTCATTCATTGTTTTTTACCTCTTTATGCTCTGAACGCCTAAAAAAATGTCCTTTGCTCATGCTCTTACAGGTAAACCCACCTGCAGATACCCAAGTCCTCCCTCTATCGTGATCGCTGGCGCAATCAACTTCTTCAGAAGGGCAATCGCTTCATTCCCGCCACGACCATCAGAAGTCCTCTCATCCTCCCAGTACTGATACAGCTGCCACCACCAGCAATGCGTGACCCCATCAAGGCCCTTATATCCAGCTACTCCATCGAGCCCAACACGCTTAGCCCAAGGCTTGTCGACGATGTAGTGCAGGCAGATAACTTCCTCGTCACGCCAAATGTTGGGGTGCCAATACCGCATCGTCTTGATAGCGTTGTATTGCCATCCAAGCGCATACCACTTATTCTCAAAGAAGAATGCTAAAAAGTCCTGGTCCGGAAACATGAACGATGAAAGCAGCGGCGTCGTGTTGAACACGTGCAGCATCCTGTCCCAGAGTCCCTCCGAAGGATGAAAGATGAACATTCCGCCGTTGAGAAGCTTATGGGGTGAAGGGGACGTCTCAGTAGGCTGCAGAGGCTCCTCAAGCGCGGTGGGATGCTGAAGTGGCGTGTAAGCACAATTCTCCGCCCTCCAATCCTGAGGTGCCCAAGAGTCCGAATCAAGATTACAAACACAAACATGATTCGCCGCAATCCAATCATTCGGCAAATGCGTCTCAACCTTGAACACAACATCCATGTTATCCAGTACCGCCATATCAGCGTCAAGGTAGCATACAGCATCATACTCAAACAATTCAAAAACACGAAGCTTCGTCCACGTATCAGCAAACCGCTCAGCGATAAGCGTCATCCTCACACCCTCCGGCGGAAGAAGATGCTCGCACTCGCGCAGAATCATGTTACATTTTGGCGCCTCAAGCTCAAGAACGCGCTTCGCATCTTTGGGGAGGTTGGGCGTGTAGAGCACGACGAGAGGGTAGATTGAGGCGTTTCGCTGGAGGGTGTAGGCGAGGGTGATGACGCCGGGGAGGTAGGAGTCGCGGGTGATGAGGGTTGCATAGGCGTTGTGCCTGGCTGCTTTGTCTGCCATTTTTGTCGTGTTACAGATTTTGATTGTGACTGCGTGATAAGAGATGAGGGTGAGTGGTCGTTGGCTGGATGAATAGGGCGGGAGAAAGAGGGGTTGGGGTGGGATTCGTGCACGTCATGACTCTAAATATGTGAAGTCATTATTTAGTATTATTTTTATCCCTTACATTATTCACGCTTGCTTGTGTTCCGTGTGCAATATTGCAGTGTATGAGCTGTTAAAAAAAGCAAATACGGACTGGATGCTGTGCTACAGATAGAGTGTCGGTGAGGCTTTGTGCCACGACGTTGGTCCCGAGTTTGAGACATGAGATTATCGTGATTATCGAGATTGTACCTGAAGTGAATCTATTATCTGAGTCAATGACGCGTACAAACCTTGATCTATGAGAGGCTAAAAGCTTGTTTATCTAAGATCTACAAACCAAGAGATGAGCCAGATCTCGAGATCTAAAGTTCAGGTCAAGATTCGGTGTAACATCCATCTTATCACATCCTTGCATTGCAACCCAACACCTGAAACTACACACCAATTTTTATCGCAAACCAAGTTCCACTACATTCAATAATTATCCACCGCCTGCACAATTGCACCCGCAGCGCCCTCGTCCAGGTCATCCAGTGCCTTCATATCCTTGTCATCCAGATCAAACCCAAAAACGTCAGCATTAGCTCTGATGCGCTCGGGCGTATCGCTCTTTGGAAGGGGAACCCAGTTCTTCTGAAGACAGTATCGGATTAACACTTTACTGGGCGAGACGTTGTGCTTTGAGGCGATGCTTTTGAGGGTCTTGTCATCGGCTTTTTGGTTGCGAACGAGAGGAGCGTAGGCTTCTATCACGATGTTGTTCTTCCCGCAATACTCCACGGCGTCTCTCTGCTGTGCCCATGGATGCAGCTGATGTACATGTTAGTATTTTGATGCGACGTTGTTTAGCAACGTACCTCGATCTGATTGACGTGTGGAGGCCAGACTTTGGCGAATTGCTTCAGCTCTTCGATATGCTTGATGCCAAAGTTGCTCACGCCAATACTCTTCGCTTTTCCATCCTCATACAGCCTCTCCAGGGCCTGCCACATCTCCTTTCTCTTCGCAGTGCCACTATTAGGGCTATGGATGAGAAAAAGGTCGACATAACCGGTCTCAGGATCAAGCTTCTCAATACTCTCAATGCATTTCGCATAGCTTGCGTCCACCGAACCAGCAGCTTCGAGAATCTTGGTAGTCAAGAAAACATCTTTGCGATCGACGTTTGACTTTTGAACAGCCTGTCCGACCTCTGTTTCATTGGCGTAGTATTGCGCCGTATCGATGTGACGATAGCCAGCTTCGAGTGCAGTGAGGCATGATTTGGTGCAGACTTCGGGTGGGGATAGGTACACGCCGAAGCCAAGCTGAGGAATTTGAATGGAGTTCGCCAGAGGCAGTGTATCCGATTGTGAGCGCTCCATCGTCAAACAGTGAAGAATCACTTCATCCACAAAGGAGATTAAGTTTGATGTTTTGCGCAAGAGGGGTAGATTGTGTTTTGCTGCTGTGTAACTTGTGCGGAGCGTGTAGAGATCCAGTCAAAACTCGTCAGTTGAGTCGATGACGTTGTCAATATGTACTCCTCTTTTTTTTTTTTTTTTTTGGCGTATTGTAAACCGAGTCAATGATGCCATGAGCGAAATATATTATATGCAACATGGAGCGACTTAATGTCATCAATTATGCTTCAATCATATATCTCAACTTTATTGCCAACGAGTCTTGGTTGACTTCTTCAGACCGCCACAGAAGTGAAGCCGCCAATCTCGCCCCGGTATTGGGGATATCAGTAGAGAGTTGCCGACGGTGAACGCGGGCAGACTGCTACAATCGCGTCTGGCCATAATGATCGGCTGTCTCTGCATCTACGAATTCAGCGACACAGAGGTCGCCCACGGACAGAGGTGGGATTATTGAGATGGCAGTCGCCAGCACGCCTCGCAGTCTACCGTGCCCTGCAGTAGGTAGATCTCGTGCACTATGTCTGGTCTTGTGGGTCAATGTTGACTCAGATTGAAGTGAATAAATTGATGGATATTGTGTAAGTTTGTTCTGCCTGATCCTTCATCCCGAGGTGGAGCACTGCATCCTCAAATTGACAGTGCAAGTTCTATGTTACAGAGCTCTATCACGCAACCACACTCGTTTCGACATTCACTCCTATTCTATCAGGTCTCTGCAACCCCTGCTTCTCCCAACTCTCCATCGCCCGTTCAAATAGCACCGTCTGCTCATCTCTAGCCGACATAGGACTACCCTTTCCTCTTCTCGATCGACTCTCCGTCGTCTCAGTGAGTCTAGCCTCCACATCTATATCATTCTTACATCTTGCTCGAAAATGTAGGACCGGGTATCGCAGTTCTTCCATCCCGTCCCAGGATTCAACCATGAGTCTTCCCAGTCATCAGTGAAATAGCGCAGAAAGCCGCCATGTGTCACAAGAGCAACTTGGGGGTCCGTATCGCCTTGCTCGATCAGTTCTCGGATCTTCTGCCGGATGAAGATGCGGACGTCGCGAGCGCGAGCTACTATAGCGGTGCTTTCTGGGCTGTAGCGAGTCCCTAAAGCTTTCATGTTCCAGCCGCCCTGGACGAGAGAGAGATCTACAGGCCAGTTGTTCTCGATTACCACTTTGTGAAGGACTGATGGATCCGTTCCGACATCGCACGGGTCATCCGAGGTTTCTTGCGCGTCAAGGACAGCGATGATCTCAGGGTGACACTTACTGCCGCCCTGGAGCGCTGGTTGGAACACTAGACTGGCAGATTGGGGAGTGCGGCAAAGGGGAGAAGCAAGGACAAGATATATCTTTGACTGATCAGAGAAGGCGCTCTCTCGCAACGCCATATTCTGCTCTTCACCCAAAGGAGTCAGGCGAGGATCAGAAAGAGTGTAGCACCCGGCACCGACGTTGTGAAAGCCCTGTCCATGGCGGATGCAATGTATCACTGGCGGCATTATGAATGAGAGATCAACAAGGAGACAAGACGTGTTTCAATGAGTGAAGTTGATGACAAGACCGCAGTTCACAAGAAATAGAATATATGCCGGCCTGGCATTGCGAGAAATACATCTTCGACTAGAATGCTGAATGATACTGGATTTCTAATCAAAGATATTGATACTGGCAAATGTTGTATCCATACAAGTCGGTACCATATTACGGATGAAGCTCAAAGCAACCAGATGCTAGCAGATCGGCCACGACTAACCCGACCTGGGCAGCCAAGGCTCCTGTCATGCATTAGCGCCGTATCCACTGCCGCCTTGCCGGTAAACCTTACATATCGTAGGGACTCGGATCGCGATAAAGTGGTTTTCAACTTCGTTAGTTTACAATGGTGAAAGCTAATAGGCTGTTAGGATATCCAACAGTCTCTAGTTTGTTTAGTTGTTAGTAGGGAACATGACGATAAGGGGTAAGAATGGTAAATACGACGCCAACAGTTGAGGCATATGGGCGAGACAATTACTGGCACACATGTGTCAGTATCTGACTAACACTTCAAACGCTTGGGAGCTACAGACGGTGGACTCAGGCTATTATCAAATCCCCATAGTCCGCAAAGCCACATTTACAAACTCTATGGTTACAAATGTGTAATACTTTTTGCATAAGAAATCGTTCAAGATCTGTTGCCCTCATCCCCTTTATAAGTTCATAGTCGTGTCACTGCTCATACACATCTTTTCCTACTCAGAGATCAGTATTTGACAGACAATGTCACAACCATCGACACCTCCGTCGCCACTTCACCAAGCTTCCAGGTACCCATCCGCAGCGCCGACTATCCTGGCAAGAGAATGTACTCCCAGGGCTCTAGGTCAAGGCGTTGATCCTCCACCGAGCAACAGACCGTCGCCGGATCTCCATGACACTGCCGCATCATTATCTGTCGTTGACGAGTCCCTCCAAGCACGCATCGAACGTCTCGGCCGCGAACGCCCTCCGTTATTTACAACCTGCTGGAGCGAAATGATCTTCATCTTCAGCATCTCCATGTCTCAATTCCTGACGGAATACTTCGTCTCAGGATTCCCCGTCATCCTTCCAACACTTATCAGAGAGCTCGACATCCCGCAAGCAGCCAGTGTGTGGCCAGCGACTGCTTTCTCCCTCGTCATCGCGAGCACCTTGTTTGGGCATCTGGGTGACATGTGGGGAGGATATCCCATCTTCATGTGGGGTCTTGCTTGGCTTCTGATCTGGAGTGTGATAGCCGGGTTCAGCATTAATCCCCTGATGCTCGACTTGTGCCGTGCTCTGCAAGGGCTAGGGGCTGCTGCTTTCTTGCCCACTGGGGTCATGCTCATGGGCTCCTTGTATCGTCCTGGGCCGCGAAAGAATATCGTCTTTGCAGTGTATGGCACTTCAGCGGTATTTGGCTTTTTCGGTGGCATTCTCATGGCAGGCATTCTAGGTCAGTTCACCCGCTGGGGCTTTTACTTCTGGATCGGTGCCATCCTGACGGCAGTAACGCTGTTGACTTCAATCTTGTCCATTCCGCGCCCTCATTCAAAGGACCAGCCTCCAAGCAAAGTCACAATGGACTACCCTGGCGCGATCACGATCGTCTCGGGTCTCACCCTAGTCGTGTTTTCCATCTTGCAATCAGCACATGCCCCTTCAGGCTGGAGGACGCCGTATATTCCAATCTGCTTCGGAATTGGTGTCCTGTCCCTTCTTGCTGCCGTCTACATCGAAACACGCGTAGCTACCCATCCTTTGCTGCCAGCTTCGATCTTCACTACTCCTTGCATGAGCCCTCTCCTTTTGGCCCTCTTTCTGCTCTACGGCACCTGGGGCATCTTCTCCGTATATGGAACACTCTACTTCCAGAACACCATGTCCGCCAATCCGTTGCAAGTCGTAGCCTGGTATGTGCCTCTCGGTGTTGCAGGCCTCATTTTTAGCATCATAGAGGGCTTTATCTTGCACTTGGTTCTAGGGCGCGTGCTATTGATCATTTCTGGCCTTGGCGCAGTAGGGTCACAGCTTCTCATAGCCCTGATCCCACCCGAGGGGAGTTATTGGGCATGGGTGTTTCCTGCGGTCATTTTCAGTACCATAGGAATCGATCTGTCCACGATCTTGATGACAGTTTTCGTGACCACGACCTTTCCCACAGCACAGCAGGGGCTGGCTGGTAGCGTCATCAATTCTGTGCTGCAGCTAGGTGTAGCCTTTGTCCTCGCTTTGACGGACATCATCCAATCAGCAACGGTAGATGAGGCGGGACTGGCGAAGAGCTATAAGAATACGTTTTGGTTTGGAGTAGGTGCGGCAGCTGTGAGCTTGTTGATTTTGGCCGTCTGGGGTAAGGTGCCTAAGGCCAGTAGTGATTTGACCGCAGATGAGAGGGCTGAACTCATGGAAGAGGCAATTTCTGAGCAGCGAAGAAATACAGAGAGCAAAGGCAGTACCCTTAGAGATACATGATACCACATGTAGAGATCGCTCATAGACATAGTCCCAGTTGAGAGGCTAGATGTCTTCAGCCAGCATAAGAGATAGTCTATCATCGTTTTACAATCATGCAATCAACCAGTCGGCGCCCAAGCTCTTTAGCCTTTTGATCCAATTCCAGTTCTCTTCACCTTTGAAGAATTCGTCATCAGAGCTCGTTAAGAAAGCCTCTTTCTTCCTCCCGGCCCATAATGTCCGCAATGCTCCGAGTGCCTCTCTGGTAAACCCCCAAGGCTCGACTTTCCAGAGCTCCTGGAATCTTCTCTGTACCCAGGCGCGATCCATGGTGTCACACGTTTCCAGACCAGCGATGAATGCAGGCCACGCTGTAGCTGTGAATAGCGCATCTCCAGGGTGCAGATGTGAAAGGTGGGTGATGATCTCGGCTGCAAGGATCTGTAGATCATCTGACAACATCGTACTAGGCCATATAGCAAGAATAATCCGTGAAATGTAGACGCAAACAGCTGTCCGATGTGCGCATGCAACCATAGTCCGATGGAGGAGGTCATCGGCGGGCGATCGTGGCTGTAAATTGGTGGCCCAGGCAGCTGGGTCGAATGACTTGGCAGCGTGTAAGAGCTGAAGGGCATCGTGCGTTCCTGGATTGGTCAAGGGATCTTGAAGTATGTAAGCGTCGTGACGGTTCAATAATTGAGCCCCTGCCTGTATCAAAGGGAGGAGAGCTGCCGGAAATGATGAGCAATGGTTCCCTTCCGCATCCTGAAGCAGCGACATGGTATTCATCAATAGCTCACCGCCGTGCGGTAGATTGGAATTCGCGAATGATGACCCAAGAAGATCATACCTAGTTCATGTAAGGTCAAGGGTCATCAACAAATGAACAGACATACTTACACCAAGCAATTTGATACCAACTAACTGCGAAGAGGGCTGAAAGAGGTCCCCTTCGCTGGACCAGATGCTATAAGCTTCTGAGTGATCATTCTTGCACCATTGATGTGATATTTCCAACTACCTCGCCCAGGCCCAGAGTCAATGAGCTCGAATCCGACGAGTAGGAGCACCGCCGCCAGGATCGCATCTACATTCGCTGAAGCTACGTTTCTGATAGCGGAGCTAAGCAGCCAAAGCGCCTGCTGCTTGGCCTTGAGTGCATCATGGAAGGCGTCTGGGTATGATGTCGTATGGCCAATGGATAGAGAGCCCACCAACTCTGAGCTGTTCTCAGTCGATGCCGGCGTTGTGAAGATGCTTGAGGCGCTTGGTAGCAGTAGAGAGGCGTTTGACATATGCAAAGCCGAAGTAGCGACGATGGCCTGCAGTAGCATGGGCTGGTGGTGCGCCATTGGAATCAGCTGGCGGAATGGGTTATGTTTTGGGGTGTCATAGAGAACGAAGTCTTTGCAGACATCACTTGCAACTGTCACCAAAGAATATTAGTAGGAGGAGCAGCCAAACGGGAGGAAGAGACCTACAATAGTCTAGATATCTCCTCGATCTCCAGTCTAAGTCGTGCACGAGAGGGTCCGTAAGTGAACGAGGAGAACTCGACTCAGAACTTGTGAATGAGTGGAGTCTTGTAGACAAGACACGAGCGCGTGGCGCCTTAAGAGTGACGTTCGTATCCTCATTCTGGTTCTTGCGCATATCTTCGGATGTGATACCAACCATCCTCCCACGACTTGCCATGCCTTTCTCCCATCGCAGCAAAACGCCATAGCCCAGACAGCTTTGACCCCTACTCGTGCATTTCAGGCATTGCGGAATGGATCGGTCACATTTCAAGCGGCCGCGCCTACAATTATGGCATGACCCTGGCCTTGCACCCATAGTTTGCCTAAGTCGGAGACGCGCGACGAACAAAACAGTGTACTACGTGAAGCAGTCGTTATGCGCTGCTTGTGGCGGAATGAGGCGCCAGTGAACGGTTGGTAGATAAGATAGCGGGAGATAAGATAGGTAAGTGCCTATGACGCGTTGACTCACGTGGACCCGACAGCCAGGACAGAATGAAGTCAATTCAATTGCCATAAGTCAATCGTATTAAAGACGTGGTAAATTATACAACGTCAGAAGCTCATTTCATCAATACCAAACGTGTCTTCTGTTTGAGTATCGTGAAATGGCGGAAGCGAATTACTTCACTTGTACACTTGGCGAAGCTGCGAGATTGAAGCGAAAGGACGACAAGGCCAAAACATGGACAACAGTGGTGGATTTAATAGATGACCAGGCGGACAAGAACCCAGATGCACCAGCTTTGGGCTTTGCAACATTCACGCATTTGAAGTCTACCCAAGGTGAGCATCAACCTTGATGGCAAATGCGTCGCTAACATGAGTAGTGTTCCGTCATCTCCTCACATTCCAACACCTCTCCGACACATCAAAGCATGCCGCCGGGATACTTTCAACTCATTTGCCAAAGGAGCCCAAGTCCCTGAAGATAGGCCTTCTATCGTCTAGTAGTACCGAGTTTGTCTTGACATGGCTTGGTTTGATGCGCCTGGGATATACTGTTTTGCTTCTTGCGTAAGTTACTGGCCTCAAGATATGCCCAAATCTGATCATATTGCAGGCCTCAATTGGCACCACCAGCGGTTCAGCATCTTTGCGAGACTCTAGATATTCGACATGTTTTCGTCGACGAAATTTACGAGTATAGAGCGCGCGGACTCTCCAACGACATTGAGATCATCAGAATACCTTCGTATAAGGATGATTCACCGACAGATAGCTTGGACCAGACGCCTGGCGTTTCTGAAACAGCATACATATGCCACACTTCGGGAACCTCATCAGGACTACCCAAGCCAATCCCCCAAACGCAGTTTGGAGTGATGGGGGCTCTGTACAGTTTTCCCGGGAAGAACAAACCAGCAACCTTTTCCGCGACTCCCCTCTATCATGGAGGATTTCCGGATTGTCTGCGAGCCTGGACCAGTGGTGCTTCGATATGGTTCTTCCCCGAAGGACAGGCTCCCATTACAGGCGCCAATATCATCAGAGCCATCGAGTTTGCACGCTCGCACAGCCCAATACCCGTCAAGTACTTTTCGTCAGTTCCCTATGTCCTTCAGATGCTGTCCGAAGAGTACGGGGGTATCGAACTTCTTCAGACAATGGACCTCGTTGGTGTTGGTGGCGCTGCTCTTCCACCAGCCATAGGCGATAAGCTCGTGGACGAAGGCGTGAATCTCCTCTCACGGATGGGAAGTGCAGAATGTGGATTTCTGATGTCTTCACATAGGGATTACGCTAAAGACAAAGACTGGCAATTTCTCCGGGCCATTGATGATCCAAAGCTGATCGATTTCGAACCCCGCGAGAATAACCTATCGGAACTTGTTGTGAAGCCTGGCTGGCCTTTCTTGATCAAGACGAATCGCAGAGATGGATCATACGCGACTTCTGATCTGTTTGAACCACACTCATCCATCTCGAATGCGTGGCGGTATCATAGCAGAGCTGATGCACAAATCACTCTTGCGAACGGAAAGAAGTTTGATCCTTCGCCTATTGAGGGGAGCATACTTGCTTCTAGCAAACTACTACAGGATATTCTCATATTTGGCAGTGGTAGAGACTACGCCGGAGCACTTCTCTTCCCTTCCTCGAGCGACATCAGTGCAGATGAAGTAATCGACGCAATCTGGCCACATATCGATAAGTTGAACGCGGACAGTCAAACACACACCCGAATCAACAAAACAATGCTGGTAGTAGTCCCTGTCAAAGAGGGTCAGAAGCCGCTAGAGAAGAGTAGTAAGGGGACTATCCTCCGTCGGCAAGCTGAAGAGAAGTACTCGGATGAAATCGAAGGGGCTTACAGCAACACTTCATCTTCGACGAAGATCCCGCAAGAGGGGCTTCAAAAGGCGGTTCAAGATTGCTTCGAGAAGGTCCTCGGCCGGCATGTTGAGCCGGATCAAGACCTGTATCGCCAGGGTGTGGACTCCATCTCTTGTATACAAATCCGAAAGCTACTCGAACAAACTTGTCTCTCGTCTGAGGATGGGCGGCTTCCTCTGAACGTCATCTACGATCAAGGCACCGTCAACTCGCTCGTCGGGTATTTGGAAAGAGCGAATTCGGGTGACAACGATTTCAATGCCGACCCCGATGAGTCAGAACTCAACCTCATGCAAACTCTCGCTGAGAAGTACGGCACTTTTGACCCAGCCTCCCATGATGTTACCGGTATGCTAGGTTCGGGAGCATCTTCTTCCGGTAGTGGTGTCAAAACCCAAGCACAGCAAAATCGCGAAGCCTTGGATGAGAAGAAAAGGCTGGCCCAGATGGCTATGAAGATTGTGCAAGACCCCAATCACCGCCCCACGCGTGTCGTACTCACCGGTGCGACTGGGTTCCTCGGGGCGCATATCCTTCACCTTCTTCGGGATGACCCAAAGGTCGATAGGATTTACTGCTTGCTTCGAGCCGACGGTCCATTCGCGGCCCAGAAACGAGTCTCTGAAGCCCTCTTCCAACGATTTCTACCACCTCTCGAACCACGCCAGGATAAAGTCGTCTGTCTTCCGTGCGATCTGACACAAAGAGATCTTGGAATTCCCGAAGCATCTCTCCGGGAGATTTCGACGACTACTACGAAGATCATACACTCAGCCTGGGCGGTTAACTTTAGTCTTCGACTCAACTCATTCGAAGATCACATTTTGAGTACAAAGAACTTGATCAACATCGCTATAGAGGCTGATGCGCAATTCATCTTTGTCAGCTCTATTGCGGCAGTGAGTGACTCTACTGCTCGACCGATTCCTGAAAAGCTTTCTCAGGATCCTAAAGAGGCTTCACCACTTGGCTACTCACGCTCCAAGTGGGTAGCCGAACAGATTTGTGCTGCAGTTAATAAGAAGCTTGACTCTTCTCCAGCCTCGATCGCTCGGGTCGGTCAACTTTGCAGCAATGGAACTGGAATCTGGAATACCGCCGAGGCGTATCCGCTATTGCTCTCAACATCCAAGATCACAGGATGTCTGCCTGATCTTCCAAATGAAGTGCTCAACTGGCTTCCCGTTGAGCAAGCTGCCCAAGCTGTCGTCGAAATTGCATCCACGACCTCCAATGGCTCCAATGGCTCGGGGACGCCTGTCTACCATGTCTTGAACCCGCATACCACGCCAAGCTGGAAAGAAATGTTGGACTGGTTAGCTGCCAGTAACGACAGTCCCGAGTTCGAGGTCGTCTCATCAACAGAGTGGCTTGAGCGCTTGGAGAAAGCGTTGAGTGATGACAGCGCCAATCATCCGTCACAGGCTCTTATAGGTTTATGGAAGCAGTCATATTCCAACGAGAAGGATAATGGCACCAGTGAGGATCAAGAGATTTCTTTATTCGATGTTGCTCAGACACAGAAGGTCTCTGCTTTAATACGGGACGTTAAGCCACTGGCTCGCGAGCGACTGATCAAGACTTGGAAGTGGGTGAACGAGAATATCAAGGGCTGAGCGTTCTTTTGTAGTTTTGGATACTAGATAGCAGATGAGAATATCAGCGATAGCCAAGTCATATACCATGTTCCAAGATCATAATGCAGGTTGCCTATTCATCAACAAGTATACAAATCTGACTTTGGTGCGAATTGCCAAAATAACTAGTCCAAGGTCCACTACTCCGACACTAAACTCGCTCAAATCATTTGGTCATCTTGGAGAGATGTCTTGGCTGTCGTGCGCAAAGTGGACCGTCGGCGAGTTGTCTAGCTTGTGATTTGCCACACCACTTACCCACGACACTTCGCCAGTCACGACGTTGGAAAGTCTCCGACGAAGATATTACAACCCACGATACGCTCAAACACTTCGAACTCTCAAGTAATTTCTTTTCAAAATCTCGCCGATATATATATCTCCGCGATGACACTATCTTCCGTCACCAAGTCAAGCATTCCGAGCCCCGCTCGGCGGTCAGCCTGTGAAGCCTGTAGTACGTCATCCCTTCTCCTTCTGTCCTGGTGATGAAGCCTAACAGGTCCAGGGCAACGGAAGTCAAGATGTGATGGTGGAAAACCTTCTTGTCAGAGATGCTCCAGTCTAGGCCTTGATTGTCACTACTCTGTCAAGAAACAAATGGGCAGGCCTGCAAAACGTCGACAGGCTTTGGTGGCAGCACTCCCTACTCCAACTGTTCAGGATGATACGCCCTTCCTGTCCCTCTTATCACCTCAGTCAATGATGGATACTCTCAGTCATGGTGACTTGAATTTCTGTTTAGATCCAAGTCTCATGCCTGACTTGAGCTTCGAGGTACTCAACGGACTTCAACTTGAGTTGGGAAAAGTCGCCGACTGCTCATGTCCAACATCAGACGTCTTATCAAACGCCAGTGCCGCTCCAGCTCTCGACTCCCAAGATTCAAATTCCGCCTCGGTAGCTACAGTATCGCCCGTCCCGCAGACATCGTCACGGTCATGTTCTTGCCTGGCAACTTTCTACCTCGCAGTAGATGATCTCTGCAAGAACGAAAGACTTACCTTTCCATCTGGTCTTCCATTTCTTCGAAAAACGATATCAACAGCCAGTCAAATCGCTAATTGTCAGATTTGTCCAGTCAGTCACCTCTCTGCCATGCAGAATATTCAACTTCTGGGAACTCTCCTCATGTCGGTGGGACAACAATATGGGGTGATTCTAGAGTATATAGACAAAGAGTCCAAGGCGTCAATGGAGAAGAATGAACTGAAGCGTCTACAGTTCAGTGAAGTCGGTGTTGAGTATTCTACAAGGGCTCCAAGCTACAACCTAGAATTGAGCCCCACAGAATGGGCAGACTTGGCTAAAAAGGCTGTAAAGGCCGAGGTTTACGGAAATGGGAAGGAAGAAGAGTGTTTGTGGGGTGTGTTGAACTATCTCGAAAAACGGCAGGCTCAGTGGCATACAGTGCCGCCGCATCAAGATTGTCCTCACCATTACCAGCAGTCGGAAGAGGAGCCGTTTTGCATAAAGATTCTTCACAAGGCTAAAGAGTCAATACAGGCTCTGAAATGGAAGTGTCGTGAGCTCTACGGCCCTGATAAACCTGATATTAGTGCGAATTCCCTTCTTTGAAGCTGGTCGCCGACCTGGAAGAAATGGTTTCGCTATGGCAATTTTACCTTATGTCATAGAAGTCTTTTTTGCACTATCGTTCTTGAGCTCACGTTGATGTAAATACCTGGTCGTTAAACAGGACGGCTGTTAATTTTGGCACCCAGAAGTATTAGCAGTCATTACAGGAATACATTTTTCAGCCTAAATCAGGTTTCTATCATCAGGTGTCAGTATTATATCTGCCGGTGGTATATGGAGTCCATAGCATGGTCAAAAGCAGCCGGTGTCTGTGACTAAACCTCATTTTCCGTAACATACAAGCATGATGGTCGACGAGTCTCACATCATCAAACAAAGCGCTAATATTCCTTCGTCAGAAAGTCGACACTTGGGATCTAGGACCAACTTCCCATAGGCCGTATGTAGCCCAATAGTAAGGCTAGAAACTGTCCACCCGAGAGACAAAAGTATCCGCTTATCTCTCCTCGAGCACCAACGCATATAGCCTCTTCGCGTCCCCTTTCCATCTCATCTCCGTTTTCCATACTAATATTACATCATTTTGAGCTCAAACATCCTGTCCGAAGATGCCTCACTGGGTCAGCACACATTACATTGAGCCACATTTCCTTCGCAATGCCCTGGATGTTCTGATCATCGGGACAGGGACGGCTGGTCTCTCTGCGGCCTTGGCTCTTGGTCGTGCGCGAAGGAGTGCCATTGTTTTCGATATCGACAATCACAGAGGCAGACTTCATGAGACTACAAGCCAAGTGATCTCAAAATCGATCCATGATGAGACCATAGCTGAGATCAAAACCAAGTTCAAGACCATCATGTTTAGCCGCGCGATAGCAGCGTCTGTTCGTGAAAAAGGCATAGTATTCGAAGTGGAAGTCGTTACAGGTCGATGTTGGAAGGAAAGAAAGGTAATATTGGCTATGAGTAGCCATGATGTTCTTCCAGATATCCCGGGAGGCGAAGAAGCTTGGGGAAAGAATATGTAAGCCCCGTTTGGAGTTTGGAAGGACTGCGAAACCCCGAATCCTGACTCGTTGGACAGTTTCGACGTCTCAAAATGCCTCGATGTTAGTAAAAAGGCGACTGCCGACGCTGCTGTGCTCATCACATCTGACTCTCCAAGTTCGATTGAGGCAGCAGTGCTGTCGGCTCATCTCGCCCGCCAATTAAGTCCCAATATAACATTTTTGACCAACGGGCTTTCACATGTTGAGCACCATCCGTAAATATTACACACCAAAGATTCTGGCTTCAAGATAGACAACAGACCCATCAAATCACTGGAGAGTTCGGGAACCTCAGTGGCTGTCCAGTTCGCCGATGGGGCAGAGTCAGTGTACAGCCTGATAGCGCATAAGCCCAGAAAGGTCATTAGTGGACCTTTGGCAGAACAATTGGATCTTGAAATGACATCGGAAGGGAAGGTTTTGGTAGAAAATGAGTTTCAAGAGACAAGCACGCGCGGTGTTTTCGCGATGGGTGACAGTGCCGGTTTTCTCATAGAGGAGAGTGCTGGGGCTAGTGCTGGATGGCTGGCTGGGGTTGGTGCAAACCTGCAAATTGCCGAGGATGATATGAACATGTAGTCTACATTTGCTCCGAGTATAGACGAGGACGCATCAAAGAAGTCGCCGATTCTTCCCACTGGTGCATGGTCATCCTTGTTTATCGTGGTTTGAGTTTCCATCCTCGTCATCGGGGACCTGATTTTGGTCGCCGACCATATGCAAACCACACAACTTGTATCATACCCGGGGGCAAATATTGGTATGGCTCTGTATCTTGAAGCATTAGACGCCGATATACATATTTAACGGATAGAAATGCTTAGGCAATGCATTTGGTTGAAGGTGGCTTAGGGTAGATCGACAACCAAGGATGCTGCACCATAACATACTAACTACCCTTTCGCTGTGTATATAATAAACTTAAAACTTTCGGGAAGGGTAGCTGTTGTTAGCTAGTGTATGATACTATCACGCCTTGATATATCATTCCTTCCATCACCTGGAGTTCAAGTGAAGCTGCAGAGCTCCCGCCACGATTAGGTTTGTGTATCGGGAGGCAAAGGCAGGACTCACGTCCATGTTCATTGGAGATACAGGCCTGTACATAGAAGTCGAAGCCTGTACAAATCTAATCATGCTATTATTCTTCAGCCATGTCGTCTCAGCTTATGCCCGGAAGTCGCCGTTCCAAAGAGCGCAGTTGGGCCATCGGGCTCTAATTTCGGACCATCGGCGGCAATCACTTCATCCCTGAATCACGCAATTGAGACTTATCCTCAGCTGGTTAGTTCCCGTCCCGGACAAACCATAACCCGTCCCATTCATGCCCTGAAACGGCAAAGCTCTGTACGCTAGTGGGTACGTACAGTACGTCACTCCAATTGTACTTTTTCTGGCGTGTTCACTCTTCAGCTTGAGCTTTTTCTCGCAATTCGACTTCACTCTTCCTATTGAAGAAAAACACAAAAACTCAAAATGCTTTCGAGTCGCGTGACACTGGCAGTTCGATCTGCGGCCTTTGGCCAGTCTCGGAGGGGTCTCGCTACCGCTGCGGCCGTGACATCTGCTAGCCGAAGTCACAAGGTTGTTGTTGTTGGAGGAGGCTCTGCTGGTCTCGCCATCAGCCATCAACTTCTCCGAAGCGGCCGATTCGCCAGTGAGGATATCGCTGTTGTTGATCCTGCTCAGTGGCACCACTATCAACCTGGATGGACACTTGTTGGTGCTGGGCTCAAGACCAAGGAGGAGTTGAAGATGTCCATGCCCGAGCTTATTGACCCTAAGCTCAAGTTCTACAACGTTAGCGTTGATGCTCTCACTCCTGAGGACAACAGCATTACTCTTGGAACTGGCGACAAGGTCAACTATGAGCACCTCGTTGTTGCGCCAGGCATCAAGATCAACTACGACAGCATCAAGGGCCTTCCCGAAGCTCTCGCCGAGCGCAACGGCCCTGTCTCTTCCATCTACGGCTACGACTACTGCGACAAGGTCTTCCCCAACATTCAGCGCCTCCAAAAGGGTAACGCCATCTTCACCCAGCCCGCCGGCGTCATCAAGTGCGCCGGTGCTCCTCAAAAGTCCATGTGGCTTGCCCTCGACCACTGGAAGCAGACTGGTCTCTATGACCCCAAGAACCCCTCTGGCTCTCCTATCAAGATCACCTTCGCCACCGGTCTTCCCGTCATGTTCGGTGTTCCCAAGTACAGCGCTGAGCTCGAGAAGATGCGACAAGAGCGTGGTGTTGAGGGTCTTTTCCAGCATGATCTTGTTGCTATTGAGGGTAACAACGCTGTCTTTGCCAACGGCGAGAACAAGGTCACCAAGCCGTTTGACTTTTTGCACGTCGTGCCCAAGATGGGACCTCATGCTTTCGTCAAGAAGAGCGCTCTCGCCAACGAGGCTGGCTATGTTGACGTCAACGATAACACCCTCCGCCATAACAAGTTCGCCAACGTCTGGTCTGCCGGTGATGCTTCAAGCCTTCCTACCTCGAAGACCGCCGCCGCCGTGACCTCCGAGGCGCCCGTTCTCGTCAGCAACCTCCTCCGTGCCCTTGATGGCCAAGAGCCCGAGCCCGCCTATGATGGCTACACCTCATGCCCTCTCCTCACAGAATATGGCAAGGTGATGCTGGCCGAGTTTAAGTATGGTGGCGTTCCCAAGGAGACTTTCGGGGAGATTCTCGGCATTGACCAAGCCGTTCCCCGCCGCTCGTTCTACCACTTGAAGAAGGACTTCTTCCCCTGGGTTTACAAGAACTACATGGTCAAGGGAACATGGGGAGGACCTAAGGGCTGGATTAAATAGACAAAAGTTTGAACTTGCTGTGTATGTTAGATTTGTACCATTGGGGAGATTGTATACCCACGGAGGAATTGGAATAAAAGCTGCAAAATCATGACCCCAACGACGCACGGATTTGGCCCAGGTGATGACGATATATCCGTTTCCTGGCTAACGAACAGACGTGGTGAATGCGAGCCCTCGGCCAAACACGAAAGAAGCTCACCTTCACTACGGCGCACCATCCTCACTTGGAGAGGCTGGTCCTGCTCCCAGCGGTACAGACTTGAGATAAAGTCACTCTCCCCGGTACAGATTAGCATATGGGCTGCCGTTACTCACATCATTCTCCTAGGTCCCAGCGGCCTAGCTTCCCCAAGCCGGGGATGTCGTTCAATCGCTCACCAGTGTCACCACCACCCGCTGTACGACGTGAGTCCTACTTATGGTCCAGAAACAAAGGATTTTACCTCGACGCTCAAGCGCTCAAGCTTCTCTGCAAAATCGAATGCTATGAACGCTTACTCCACGCTCGGAGGAATCGACTCGACCTCAACACCCGTGACCTCGAGAAAATAAACTTCTACAGCTCGAAAGCCAAACTCAACTGGTTCGGGTCACTTCGTCGGCGATTAAACGAGCAGTTCGATCGCGAGAAACACCGCGAGCGCCAGATCGACCAATTACGCACCAGACTCCTGGAAGTCCAGATTCCTTTGGATACCGACCGGATTGCCATGTATGAGGCGAGGCTAGCGAAGCTTCAGGCAAAGTTTGAATCGATGATCCAGTGGGAGAGTGTGGAGGCTGAGAAGGAATACCATAAATGGCTCTGGGAGGAGAAGAAACGAGAAGATGAGAAGAATGAATGGAAGATTGAGCAGAAGAAGAGGGATAGGGAACTGTGGGAGGGGAAGTGGCAGGAGTTTATGTTGAGCGAGGGGGCCAAGAAGGAGGTTTCTAGGGGACATCCTAAACTGTGGGGTTCTTTTCTGCTGTGAATGATAGTTTGTTGTTACTGTTCTGGTGGTTTGCGTGCTTTGCACGAATTGTTGCTTTTGGAGGTTGTCCAATGTTTACCGATGGAAGTGGGAGAGACGACATCGCGATGAAGCTTTGGAGGATTAATATGGCATGACTGGGCAACGTCATTATTTTCTTAGGACTCCAAGTTTCTTCTTTCTTTGCTTATTACTTTTTTAGTTTATTTCTTTCCCCCTTTTGCCCTAATTTTGCATGGTCTTTGGCCCTCGATTTAACACTGGCACATCACAGGGACGCACCAAATTCAGTAGTGGCTTGCATTTTGGCAGGACGTCAAGGAGACTCGTTATCCCCATACCGCTAAGGGAGATCGGACACTACGTCTACGAGAACGGCTCAAGCCTGGTGTTTGTTTGGATCGGTTTCATAATGTTTAATATCTTGAATCAGTTTTAGATCACACAAATAAGCAATCATTTTATCACTGGGATCCTCATCACGAGTCGAACGTACTAAAGCTAACAAAGACGCGAGAGGATATGTCCGGCATGAAAAGACACGCGTTCATCGACGCGTGATTCACTTGAATGTATGACATCACAGTGGCATATCAATACATGAAGCATTCCCGCCTCGGGCCTCCACTCGGCCAGAGACAGATAATGTGGGTAAATTCTTGCCAGGTAAACTCTATAAGATCCGACCGAAGTACATCAAACCCGGTGGTGGAACGGCAACAGCCAAATATGATAGGCATTTACGCTTCGCGCTGCAGTGAGGGGTACATCTTAAAATTTCATTGCCTGTTTATGTGAATCTGTGGCCTTTGACTTTATGTTGGGGCTGAAGCCTCTTTCTCTCAACCTGACCACAGGGGTTGTAGACTGTAGAAGCACAACCCCAGTTGACTTCTCTTTAAGACCGTAGAAAGCCCACTACTTCCCCTCACTACCAAATACTCCCTGCGGCTTCAAAACACTTTGCTCAGAATGAATTTTGTTGATTACTACAGCATATTACGGGTGCCTCACACAGCGAATCAAGGTGAGATCAAGACGGCTTATCGACAACTGGCCAAGACGATACATCCAGATAAGAATCACGAGGATAACCAAGCCACTTTAAACTTCCAAAACGTCAGTAATTATCAACTTACCCAGCATGGCATGTATACTAAGCAGCTCGAAGCTCAACGATGCATACTCTATACTATCAGACCTAAGAAAACGACGAGTCTATGATATAGCGTACGAACGGCACACAAGACCATGTCCCCCTCTGTATTCCACTGAAGTGAGACCAAAAATTAGCAGATCCGCGAAGGAGAAAACGAAACCCTTCCCCCAGCTAAGGCGGGTCGATAGACTTCAAGTAGAGCAGTTCATTCGGCAGTTCGAGTCTTGCGTATCAAAAGCCGAGGAACAAGTGATCATCCAAAAGAAAAGAATAGAACAGGAACAAGAAGCTGTACGAGTTCTTGAAGACGAAATCTTCACGGCGGGATTCGAAATGATAGAGGTATACGAATGCGGGGCTGGGCCGTCAAATTTGGAACGCACCAAAGAATACCCTCATATTCAAGCGCAGAAGAGAATTAAGGCTGAGCTGGAAGCCGATCTCAAGGAGGAGGAAGAAAAGCTTGCAAGTCTCGAAAGGCAGGTTCTGGGGTTTAGCAGTCGACTCTCATATTGGCAAAAGGAGTGGGACACTTTCTATGCCGAATCCTATTCTTAGCTTCATACGAATCTGATCCCGTCGCGCCGTTAGGGTGGCAATACGATACTGCGCGGCGTGGAGAGAAAAAGGGAACACAACCTTCTCCGGGTTTACAGTCAGTTACGATAGAAACTAGGAAAGAGGGCAAGACGGCACTTACAAGGTTTCAGGAGAGAAAGTAGCACAAGGTGGCAGCAGGGCGTCATGGAAGTGCCAAGGAGCTCTGGAAAAACGTGGTCTGATTGGGGATGGGGATAAATGTTTCGCCTGTACACGCACTCATGACACCACCGACTGGAAGCCGGGCCTAACATATATGGTGGCGACCCCAAAGTGTCATTAAATCCTGAGCTATATGCAAAATGTATACGCCAATAAAATATGTACATGAAACATCCCATTTCTCTCAAATGTCATAGCAGGACCCCAACGTGTTCTTGGAACCATGATCATAAAGGAAGTGCCAAATCAGAAGGCATGTGTAAAGTAACTACAAGAGAACACCCAAGGCAATGAAGATCATCGCGATGGTGCTCAGAATACCCCGTTCGTAGCGCCCAGCTTCCGCAACTACAACTTCCGGTACTGCAGTACCCTTACCACTTGTTCCAGAAGAAGCCTGTGAAGGCACCGCGTGGCCAGCTCCAGTCTCCCCGTCACTCGTTTGATGCTGGCTAGGGTTCTCGATATGATCAGATCCAGCACTCGCAGTAGGCTTGGCATGTCTGAGTGCTGTAGTCACTGTTCTAACAGGTCCCGGTACCGCATGATATGGAGCTCGGGTAGAAGCCAAAGCATTGAACAAGCCTCGTGATCCATGAGCAGCGTTTATGGCTGGCTCTGTGATAGCAGCACAAGGTGCAGTGATTGTGACTTCGTTTTCGCCATGATGGCCGCACGCGTTGCAAGGCATAACATAAGTTGTCATTTCGACAGTAGGAACAGGAGGGTGAGCACAGCGGCTGCAAGGCTCAAAAGACAAGGTAGTGTAGTACTCGGTCACAGTCATGGTCGAAGGGTTGTTTGGGTCGACGATAGTGTAGGTGACTGTAGTAACCGTGGTTTCGACGAGTGTTTGTCCTGGCTTTGTAACCGAGTCGATCACTGTCTCGGCCAGTTGAAGGATAACAGACTCAGTCACAAAATCCGTGACAGTGGCCACCGATCTAGAGGAAATGGCGTCTGTTGTAACGGCTGTGACTCCATCTTGCGTGGTAACGGGCACCTCAACCTCCGTGCTGGTCTCGCCGGGCGAAGGAGGCTCATCATCCAGAGCGTACAAGGTCAAGAGGATATTAGCTGGTGCAGCACGCGTATCGAACGCTTTACGTGGGCCAACCCAGCGACGCTCGGAAGAGGATACAACAAGACCACCACAGAAATGGCTGCTATCACCGGGACAGGGGATGTCGCATCGGCCGTTCAACACTAGGCTGGTTGAGTCAAGAGAGTCTGACGCATAACAGGATCTGTGAAATGTGTCAGAGTTGGACAAGACAGATTGCTGAATGTGACTTACCTGTCATAGATTCCCACGTAGGCTCGGCCCCTAGCCAAAGCAACACAGCTTGAAGTAGTCATGTTTGCACCAGAACCTATCAGTTTGAAGCTTGGGTAGCCATCCGCAGATCCAAGACAGCCCTTATAGGTATACTCGCGAATGCTATCGATGTTCGAAGGGCCATCGACTGAGGAAGATGTTGCTGGGAGAGCATCAGATGACGAGGTTGTTGTGAATTCCGGAAAACTGGACGTCACTGGTTCAACTGGAGCAGATGTGATCTCTGGGATTACTTCCGAAGTCGAAGTGGTAGTCCTACTCGTGGTCTCCCCTATAAAAGAGGTACTCTCAGAGGAAGCTGAAGGGAGGGCGGTGCTGACAATTGAGGAAGCCGTAGACTCGGTAGAGATCTCAGGGATGACAGAGCTAGACTCAGATGTGCTTGTAGTAGTAGACTCAACCAGTTCATCTGTGGTCGACACAATCGACTCGCTCGTCGTTGTGTCTGAAGCCAGAACAGGCCCCAGGTCAACGCTGGTGGAAAGGATCTCACTGGTAGTGCTTAGGATTGGCTCAACGTCAGCAGATGTTGAGAACTCAACTGTTGCAGATGATGTCATTTCTTCAGTAGAAGTTGACACCTCGTCAGTCGTGGATGTTTCCAGTTCGCTAGTGATGACAGTTGTGAACTGTTCCGTGGTGGTTGTTTCCTCTGTGGTGAAAACCGACACGGATGTGATATCAGTCGTCGTGGTGGTAGTCTCAGAGAATACCGAGGTTGACTCTTCAGTTGTTGAAACCAGCTCCGTTGTGGTGACCTCGTCAATGGCGGTGGTCGTAGTCTCAGTAGTTGTAGTCTCGGCGGTTGTCGTAGACACCTCCGTGGTTGTTGTTACTTCAACATTTGTAGTCGTGGGATCATCCGTTGTCGAAGTTGTTGTTTCAGCAGCGGTGGTGCTAGTCACTTCCCCCGTTGTAGTGGTTGCCTCCCCAGTCGTGGTTGTTTCCTCAGTAGTGGTTGTTTCCTCAGTAGTGGTTGTCTCCTCAGTAGTGGTTGTCTCCTTAGCAGTCGTAGTGGGCTCACTTGTAGTAGTGGTAACTCCGGTAGCCTCCACGAAAACAACAAAAGTACCAGATTCAGTCCCTGACGCAGGAATAGTAGAAGTGTAGGGCTGCTCTCCAGGAGGGAGTGTCGTTGTTTCGTAAGCATAGTTGATCTCAACTTTGTCAGATCCAAAGTCGCAGTCAATACAACCCTCTACTCGGAGAAGGAAACCAGAGTCATTCAATGCATCTCCAACGTCACAGACGGATAACACAAAAACCACGAAACCGCTGGGGGCCATTATCGTCCTCACAAGCGGTGGTGAGGATCGCGTGTACCCTGTGAGACTGTCCGGTGGAAGAATGGCATCCGGTGTGAGTAGGAAAGGCGACAAGGCGTTGATTTGATTCCCATTAGTATCAAAGGCGTATTGAATCGGGGCGCCAAGGGTTACGTCAAGGATGGATATAGCATCCATATTGGCAAGGGTGCTACGTATAGTGTTAGAGAAATAAAGTCCAATCGTATGTAGAGGGATGAGCTTGTACCTTGGAGCTTCCTGTGTAGCAAACACGAATTCAATACGGACACCGTTGAACCCAGGTTAAAGTTGCAACTGGACTTGTAAAGCATTGATGTTCTGGGTACCTGGGGCACAAACCCCATCGTAACCAATTCCAATACCGTTATCGGCGTTTCGATCTCCCGAGGTGTAGGCTCCAGTTGCTTTTCCGCTGGTCAGCATGCCTCCACTCCCGAGACCGAATGGTCCATCGGTGAATGTTCCCATGCTCATTTCACCGAGCGAAGTAACACCCATGACCATGAGACCTGGCCCGCTGAAGATGGCGGAACCTACTGCATCACTGCTGGATGTTTCCATGATAGAGAAGCATCTGGCCAAGAAAGGAAGTGCCGTCAACACGACCAGAGAGTTGGGACTGGTAAACCTCATGTTGTTAGTGAGTGACTTCTACTCAAGGCTTCAGTAGCCAGAGGTAGAGAAAACAAAGATGCAAAAGAGTGGACGAAATGAATGATAGAATACATTGTCATTCTTCACTTGGGCTTGGACTTAAATAGCCGAAACTTGAAGGAAAGAAAACTCCTGTTATGTTTGGCTTGTTTCCTCATGTCGCGATAATAATTGTTATTGAAACGAAATCTGGGCACTGGTCTGACACAACTTGACTCATGGTACACCAGCTATACCGCTTTAACGTCTGAAATGCGATGATTATCTTCCAAGCCTTACCTTTGATTGGCATAGGCACATTGCTGTCACTTCCCTGGCATCCAAAATGACATCCCGTAACAAGCGGTAAAATAGAATAGATTTATACGCGACCTGTCATGATTCAAACAAACGCGACTGTACTCATCGGCTGTATAGGTTTCTGAGACATCTGCAATCCATGGAGCTTGTTCCTGCGTTTTTGATGGGTCTAACAAGTGCCAACAGAGACTAATTTGGGCGCCAACACAAGCTTAAGTTAGCGTCAGCGGGCTCGTTCGATTGACATACCAGTGAAACAAGGCGAGACAAGGGAGGATCAAATGGAAGGTCACTAAACTTGAGTAAAGGAATTGGTTTGAAGTGTTATTCCGCTTATTTGGGCAGTGGTTCCGCGTTCTCGGCTATGAGAATAGCCGAGCCCTTGAGGTCACAATACTTTTTCCAGGGTCTAGATCATAACGGTCCGAGGCGAGATACTGACCAGATGTCACTGGACTGGTATTGGTATGCCAGAAAGACAGAGCAAGCAAAAGGTTCGACGTCGTTACCTTGAAACCGGGTCTTTGCCACCCTACGTCGCAACGCGGATACTGCCGCCCTGTATTGTTAAGCTTATGCAAGATTGACTTCGTGAAGAACTTATCATGAAAATGGCACTTTATTGGGAACTTTTTTGTCAACGCTTGCTCCCTTGGTGCAAAGCATGGAATGGAACATTGGTTGTCAGTTGGTTCACGGTGGTGGGCTACCCTACAGAGGTATTGATGTCCACAACCCGATTGCTGATGCAGGCTGTGTCAACCCTCACCAGGATTAAGTACGCCAAGTCTCTCGGTGGGCCACGTCGGCCGAGCTTCTCTCCGGGATTCAAACAAGATGGATGCTGTCTAACACTCAAGCAACCATAATGGGAGAACTTGATTCGCAGGTTGAACATACCCTATCTACTCATCGGACCGCCCACTTGCGCAACCCGAACTTCGGCCGAGGCGTAGATCTTCCCCAGGATTGACGTAAGAACTCTGGGGTAGCGGGGTAAACAAGTTCGGAGAGCTCGGGGGACAACGAACATGCTGACACTTGAACTTGAGCTGATAGGGTGTACCCCATGTAATTGGACACGATCACTCTCCAAGTCTCGGGAGTACGAGTCGGCAAGTCAAGCCTGCGCTATAAAACCTCGACAAGCCCAGACTCAAGAAGTAATCTCATCCTTAACGAACCTCCAGTGTCTTGACACTAGCGACACTTTGAGATGACCTCCCCGATTGCGGTGTTTGCCATCCCGGCAGTAGTTCTCGCGCTGCTCTTGCGGTTCATCGTCCAATCTTTCCGCTCTCCACTACGGACTGTTCCAGGCCCTACGGCCGCCCGATTCACAGATGGCTGGTACTTCTGGAAGGTCTGGAAGGGCTCATTCCAGGATGTGAACCTGGATCTGCACAAGAGATACGGTATATGAGCCTGCCGGTGCCTTATGAAACATCAACTGAATGCTTTGTCGCAGGAACGATTGTGCGATACGGACCCAACCGATATAGTTTCAACGATCCCGAGGCAGCCAAGACAATCTACGGTCTGGGCACTCACTTCCCAAAGTCATCGTGGTACTCAGCCTGGGCAAGTCCAGGCACATGGGCCATCTTCAGCGATCAATCAGTCAAACGCCACAACCAGAACCGAAAGTTGTACCAAGCGACATATGCAATGTCGTCACTTGTACACTACGAGCCCTTCGTCGATGATTGCGCCGACATCTTTACCCAACGTCTCTCCGAAATGTCCAGCACCTCAACTCATCTACCTGTCGACATGCGACACTGGTTTCAGTGCTATGCATTCGATGTCATCGGCCTGATCACATATGCAAAGCGCTTCGGCTTCCTAGACAGTGGAGATGATGTTGGTAATGTTATCGGTGCTTTGGAGGACCATTTGGGCTATGCGACCCTCGTTGGCATCTTCCCGAGCCTGCACAAGTACCTCTTCAAGATCAGGAACTGGCTTGCGGGTGGAAAGGGAACAGGACGAGCATACATCTTGAACTTTACAAACGAGAGAATTCGACAAGCCCAGGTAGCTCCCAAGCCCGTTGCCGCAGAGAGTGAGGTCACCATGGAAGACTTTCTCACCAAATTTCTGGCCAAGCATGCAGCCTCACCGGATGTTTTCACCCAGTATCACGTTCTTATGGGATGTACATCAAACATGGTGGCAGGGTCTGATACAACTGCTATCAGTCTGTCGGCTGTTTTGTACTATTTACTGAAGAGCCCGGATTGCTTACAGAAACTGAGGGCCGAGATTGATGACTTGACTGCAAGAGGAGAATTGTCAAAGTCTCCCACTTTCAAAGAAAGTCAGCAGATGGTCTATTTCCAGGCTGTGATCAAGGAGGCGCTGCGAATGCATCCCGCTACAGGTCTCCCACTCGAGAGAGTTGTTCCTGAGGGCGGCGCGACAATATGCGGACGATTGTTCCCAGAGGGAGTAAGTTCATTATGATGAAGCCCACAGATCTTGAGCCCGCTGCTGACGAATGACACAGACTATCGTCGGTATCAACACATGGGTAGCTCACCGTGATACCCGTGTCTTTGGTCAAGATGCCAATTCCTTCAACCCAGACAGATGGCTCACTGCAGAAAGTGAGAAACTCTCCATGATGAACCGTTACTATATGCCTGTGAGATTCCCACTGCTAATGATTGATCATATCACTGACGAAAGACCATTTTAGTTCGGACTCGGCTCACGAAACTGCATCGGCCGGCACGTCTCAATGCTTGAGATGTCAAAGCTGATTCCACGAATCATCCGCGACTTTGACTTCAGCCTTGATTCGTCGTTGCAACATCAGAACTGGCATACTCAGAGCTACTGGTTTGTGAAGCCGTTGGATTTCAAAGTGCGAATTCAACCACGCCTTTCAGAGAAGCAGAGGTACTGAGGAAGGAGGTAGAAATTGAAATGGTTGTAGTTATTTCTGTGGAAATATGTATCAGCCTTGACGAGATCAATGTTCCTATTCTTAGTGTTGACTGACAGACATTGAGGCCACTAAGAGTTACGTTCTTCGAAACAACACAAAGAGATTTATATCTTATGAGTAGCCTGTGAAATCCTTAATATGCGATAAATGTTGCTAGGCCATGGCCATTGAGGATTCGACGAAGACATCTTCACGACGTTTCACCGATCAGTTTCTCCGATAGCTCCCAAAGCTTCTCCGCCTCTTCATCAGACTCAGCCTTTGGATGCGCACCGCTGCAAATCTGACAATCTTCCAAAAATACCCCGTAGTTCTCCTTTCCCTCCCGTTTCTCTCCCGGCCCGAGTTTGGGATCCAGCGCCGCAACAACAGTGGTTGACCCTCCAGCCTGAAGATTCTTATACTTCACCCCTCTCTGGCTTCCTACCTTGACAATTGCCTCGCGGGCTTCAGAGGGCATGTGTCTGCTGAGTTCTGTCTCAATCCATCCTGGAAAAACCGCCAGAGACAAGATCCCGTAACGCTCATACCATCGCTTGTTGGCGCCGATGCTGAAGAGCAAGTTTGCGACTTTGCTCTGGTTATATGCTGCCAGTGGAATATAGCTTAGCTCCTCAACATTGGGAGAACCCCATGCTCTATGAACCTCGTAGTTGAGTCTCTCCTCTTCCGGTAGGTCCTTGTTTTTCTGCTCAAAATTGATGTCACTCCATCTCATGTACGCCCACTTTGGCGATCCACTGGACACATTGATAATACGAGTTGCACCCTTTGGACTCTCCTCAGAGGCCTTGATAAGCTTTGGCAAAATGAGTCTGGTGAAAAGGAAGTGGCCGATATGATTGGTTGCGAAATGCATCTCAATCTTCTCTGGGCTGAGCGCGCGTTCTGGGAGAAATGCGACTCCAGCATTGTTGATGAGTAGGTCGATCTTCGGAATGTCATCTCGACTGAGAAGTTCCGCAGCAGCGGCACGAACTGACTGTTGGCTTGAGAGATCAAACTGGAGGATGACGTAGTTGACCTGAGGGTAGAGACTCTTCATTGCATCGACGCTATCTTGGAGCTTGGCACGAGAGCGGCCGGTGATGATGAGATGTGACGGTCCCTGCGATGCCTGCAAAACGATCTCCGTTAGATTGTTGAGGGTCTATGAATCGGGGGCCATATTTCTCACGTACCAAAGCCTCAGCTGTTGAGTAACCGATCCCACCTCGATTCACTCCCGTGACCAGCACAACTTTACCGGAAACCTGTGCAGAGAAGGCTTGAGAGACCTCAAGGCCCTCTGTGACGCCATTAAACTGAGAGAATGTTGTTGAGGTCATGCTTATCAGTGTTGGATGATGATAATGGACTGCAGTACAAACGACTAGTCCAATACACGTGTGAATAGCCAACTTCTACACCGTTGTCAAGCGGGACAACCAATCAATTTATTAAACAAAAAAGTGGAATGAAACTTTGAGATCGCCATAGCGAAGCCCGCTTACTATGATGATTCAATCTGAGATGTTCGGAGAATAGATGCTATCAACATGGATTTAAGCGGAGTTAAGTGATGCAACTCCAGGATTTCGGCGACCCGACACCCAACTCCGTTGATCAGCTCCAAGCTACGACTTCATGCCGGGCTCTGAATAACAGGAATTTGAGGCTTTCGGTGTCATATACTCCGTTGAACTCGGATTGTCGGTGGAGCTGATCCCGCGGTACCGAACTGTGAATTAGCTTGTCGAGAGGGTCACACGGCTTGTTTTCGCGTGAAAAATGAACAAACAAGTCTATTCATATGGCTGCCTCCGCATTGTTTGACTGAATTTCTTTTTTAAGACAACCCGGCAAGGATGGTGCATACATCAGGCTCTCTCTTAATCTCAAACCATGGCCATACACCAGACTTCACACAGGCCGCGAGTCAATGAAGTGAATCTTTTTGTGAATTTGCCACGCCTGAGATTCGTTGTCCTTTTCTGGAATGGCCAAGATTGCTTTTCATCCGTGGTGAAACACGCAGCCTTGTTTGTGCTACCTGGCCTTGGGGAGCATGAAAACATCAGACTTTGCTCTGAGGCGTAAATATAAATTCAGTAGAAGGTGCACTAAACCTAGCCTAAGCTCATGCCATATTGTCTAAATCTTTTTATCACTTAGGATAAATGTACTGATCCTTTTTTCCTCCCCTAGCCTGAGTTCTGGTTGGGCAGGACAAAAGCAGGCTGTGACAGCCTGCAGCGCCAAGAACCTCATCACCAATGGCTGTCCATCATTGGGACAGCAGCTGAAAAATATTGCACATTCAAATTGAGCTATCGAACGCCATTTGGTCATGTAAATTATGATTGGGGTTACTGGTAGGATGTTTCAAAGGGTACTTGGGTTTGAGGATCCCCCCTCTTCTCAAACCCCAGAGCCTTGTTTCTGTTGACCCCAATCTTGCAAGAAACCGCTTTTCAACATGGACAGAGTCAACAAAATTCTTGTCTTTCTCTCGCTATATCTACAGAGTCATATCGTACCTGTTCAATGTGACTCGATAATCGGCTACACGGTCACAGATGGAACAAGTATCTCCACCCTCTTGACACCCAGATGACATTAAGTAACCAAAAGCATCGCAGCCGAAACGTTCAGCTGCCCGAGTCCAGCATCTTTCCGTACGACTCATACCTTCTCTGGTGACACCGATACGTACGCCCACTGCGACTGGTACCGCCGAGCCGCGCAGTAGTTTCGAATGGCGAGTCGGCACTTACTGCGAAGGGACTACGGCCCTGTTTACCCACTGGACAGAAGGCGGCTCTGGCTATTCATCCTCGATGATTTGGTAATAACCCATGGACCGCGGCTTATGTATACCAGCCAGGTACAGACTAACATGCTGTGGTAGCAACGGCGATTGCGTGGCTGTCAAGTTGTACGATAACCCTGACGATTTGGAGGACCTTTGATGGCTGGTCAGCTGCGATGACTCCATTGGTGTTTCATCCGGTTTCAGCACATTATTCGTCGACGATCCGACAGACTGTGAGTATTGCAATATACTGGGATATGTGGACAGTGAACTGACCTTTGTGGAAATGTAGGGGACACCACGACCGAAAGCACGACAACTACGAGCGAGTCTACGAGCGAGTCATTGACCACTGTAACCGATAGTGAATCGTCAACGGAGACTGAGACCACTTCATCCGCCACGTTTCCGTCAAGTACATCGGAACCAGAAGAAGCAGAGAGTCCCACTGATGAAGGGACCAAAGGCGGTGGTGGGCCGAGTGGAGGTGTTATCGCTGGTGCTGTAGTTGGCTCGATCGCAGGCGTAGCACTTATTGTCGGTGTCATCATCTTGGCTTTCAAGATGGGAAGAAGAAGCCGAGGTGATGACGAAGGGCCGGGTGCCGGGTTCAGAGATTCATTGAGGTCTATACCGATGCCGACCTCGGGGTCCCATCAACCTGAGCCGAAGCCGACTGTCCCAGTCATCCAGCCGGTATTTGTGGAAGAAAGCCAGCCTTACCGCAATAACAGTGAGAATTAGTCGCAAGTTTACGATCTAATACAGGAGAGGGAATCAGGATTGGAAGGAAGATCGGGCTGACAAAGTGTAGAACGCGATGTTTGCTAGAATATTACTAGCCTAGACATTCAATGTATTGTGATTTGACCTAAGTCGCTCTGACAGCCGCCTGGAAGCTATGCTATACTCGAGAGTCGGGTATGAATCTATACTCTTTCCTTCACCGCCGAGCTATTGATACTTTCGCGTGCAGGGGTATCTCATCTTGTCAAATGGTGTATTCTCGAAGAGTCTAAGATTGTCAATAAGAAGAGAGAGGGCGGCACCATGAGCGTCTTTGCCGTCATTCGGGGACTGAATGGTGACAAGTGCCGATGAGATGGTATAGAGAGGTTCATCTCGAAGGTCATTGGCGCCGAGCTCAATGTCGTTGGCTGGGCAAGCAATACATGCCTTGTGGCCTCTGTCATGGTTGGAACCCCAAACTGAAGTTTGGCCAGGCAGCAGGCGAAGTACGACAGGTTGCAGCGGGTTGGAGAGAGAAAACACAGAACATGTCGATGGTAAGGATATTAAATTGAATTAAACTAAAATGTGTGGGTATAAAACTACTAAGCAACAATTTTCTCACTCGAGTCCCAACGCCAAAGAGGAGTTCATAGTCCGTAAGCAAATCAGGAAGTGTGGTAACGACCTTAGATAGCGGTATCATAAGTCGGGAGAGCGTCATATAAGTCCTGTCCTGCCTGAACTTGTTCCTATTCCCTAATTAGTTGAAACTTCTTCCCAGATTCTTCGTAAAACTCACATAAGTCGGGACACGGTTGATGCCCGTCTCGTGATGTCCATCCACAGCAATCTGCAATGGAAGTCGTAGGGTGAAGCTGGAGCCATGCGCTCTCGAAGCTAAAACAACCTCTAGCATGTAGGTCCGGCTGATGAGGCAGGAGTAAAAGGTCGGAAGCAAGATCTTGTTATCAGGGCTCGGCAGCTCGATCGAAACAGGCAAAGTTGCTGTATGTCGAGGGGCTTCCACCTTGATGATATCACTACTCTTGGAACCTCGTCTGGAAGCTGTACGGGGAGGCTCCTCGCCCATGGTAGAGTTCTCTGAGCCTCTGCGCGAGCTCGGGGCTGACATTGAAGCTGATGTCTGTTCCCAGTGAGGCGCCGGAGACTTGGTGACCGTTGCACTCTCATCGAGAACAAAGCTTAAGATGGGATTCGGCATGACGCTGGGGAAGTTGTGTTGATCTGGTAGAAAGCTCAGATGGCCTGTAGAGTAGTATGTCGATGCTTTGATAGTAGCTGACTTTGCGTACATCTCGGGTGGAGTCGCTTTCTTAGAGGTTGGCCAGAACTCGAGATCGATATTGAGTGAGCATTCTGACGGTTGAAGCTTGTCGGCTGAGATGATGACGGGATCTGGTTGGCGAGTGGTTGCTCTGACGTAGCCTAGCTTGGAGGAAAGAATGTCTTTTCGGATTGACTTCTCTTGAGTCATGGTGAACCGTGGGTTTCCTGGTAGGATATGCAGAGGAGGCTGCTCTGGAAGATAAGGCATGACTTTCACGGGATGAGTTCTTTCGAGAACCATTGATTTGCCCTTATCGGTCTTGAGAAGTGCTCGTGCATCGACACCGTAGTTGATAGCAACGGTATGGACAGCCATGTCATCATGCTCCCATGATCCAATAGTCGGCGGTAACTGCAGATGCCGTTCCCGAATGATTGGATTTCGATGCTTGCAAGCTGCGCTGGGTAGTTGGTATGGGATCACGAAAGAGAAAGGGACTTCGTAGGTTTGACCAGCCTGAAGCACTCCATCGGCCGGCAGAGCACTTTCTGGGATTGGCATTCGAAGCTGAAGAAACTTGTGTCCTGATTTAGGCATAGTGCCCTGGTGAAACATCTGAACCAATGTTGTTTCAGAGCCTGTGAAGATTATCTCGAACGCATCGACGGTTAGATCCGTGCTTGGCGAGAATGACACAGTGCCAGTGATGGTTGAGCCGGAGGTGTAGATCTTGGCCTCGAAATGTCGATCGATAGTGATTTCGAGAGGACATTCTGACTTTCTCCGGGTGGGAACCCAGCTTCCTCTACGCTTTGGTTCAACTTGGATGGTGTTGGCGGGCGTAGTGTTGAACAAAACCTGCGCAACCGACATTTTGATCGTGTTACTCGAGGGATTGTTAGCGCTGACAGTGAGAAAACTGGATAATCTCAGTCATGAGCTGAGATAAGGATGAAAGTTTGAGATGAAGATGAAAGAAGACAAAGGTGTCGTCCCCCCGATACTTGAACTGACCTTTCAGTGCCGCCACAAGACGAGTTGGGAGTGCCAACACATGACCCTTTATCTCAGCCAAGGCTCTGGTCTGCGGTGATTGGCCATCATGGCCGACACGACGCCCTTGTAGCGCATTTGGCCGCCTGCAATTGGCTAACAAAAGCCGACCCCAGACTTGGAGCCAAGACCTCCGATTCCCGCACGACTTCACGCCCTGGGACTGACATTTGCCAATTTCTCATCAGACTCATCGAGACAAATGATCAGCAGCTTACCAATCGCAATCCATCACATCTCAATGCTGACCTGCCAAGTCGTCGCATGTTGCTACTCCCATTCTACGACATTTACTAGCACATTCGTGGGGGAATCGCTATCTCCTCGGGCTGTCACACTTCCACGAGAGCCAAGAACTAGCAGTAAGCCACCTATCACTGAGTGAGGGGTACCGCCATGATCACAGGGAACAAATCAGCCTATAGTTATCTCGAGCCAAGATACGCAGGTATTTTTCGCAAAGCACCGCGCTCAAAGATAAGGCTTCGGGATGGCTGTGCCGCGCTATTCCAAGAAATGCTTCTCTGATGATGTTACCACCGGCTATACGGCGTGCGACGCGCCCTGCCTGCCGTTGGGGGAGGTTATTGATTGGGTTTAGTGGCATGATCTACCCCAGACTCTTGCAGTTTTCGCTTCAAGTGGTGGATGGTGACAGACGGTTAGGGCGGTAACTTACAGTACGTTTTTGGTGGTGGTGACCGGTAATCGGCGGGGAAAAGTGAGAACAAAGTGAGAGCACAAACAATGGCGCAGGGATTGGTCAAGGGTTTTGGACAAGCGTGCCGAGAATTTGGGCTTGAGTCGGAGATGCTCTCATTTGTCACATGCGTTAAGTTTATACTTGGCAGCCACAGCCGCCGACGTTGCACTTGGTTCAATTATTAATGAGATTGAGTAAACGGCGTTGAGGCTCTGAGGAGGCCATTGAGTAGATTTGAGCGAAAACAAGCCTCTATTTCGCAGAAGCACGCGACATCGCAGTACATCACCATCAATTAAAAAAGTCTTCACCCATGGGGCTCCTTCGGAAAATGAGAGCAGATCCACAAGCTTCCCCAAATACAGTGGAACAATATATTTACTCTCATCTCGTGAAGTGGGCTGGCAATTGCCGATGAGCTTGTTCTCACTCAGCCGCATCTCAGCGTAGGTAGTCATTCAATTGGATCGAGAATTTTCCATGGCTCCATTTCCCCAACGTTGATCAGGAACTTTTCCAGGTCTCCTCAATTATATGGAGATGAAAGAGAAAATGAGAGCATAACTTCCGTTCAAGATCCACCGACTCCATCGTCAACTTCCGACCGATATTGACAGATGGATCTGACGTGACGTGCTTGGCCAATGCGGGGTCTTATCGCCACGAGGTCAGCTCCGATAATCCACCGTTTGACGGATAATGAGACCACAGTCTCGGTAATTAGTTTTGGTGTTTTCTGAACTTTTGCAAATAGTTCATATTCGACATGACAAACATTACCAGTCCTATCGATATCGGGAAATGTTCGTTGAGGCATCGCGTCGTGATGGCGCCGATGACGCGCCTGCGGGCAGATGAAAATCACGCACCGTTGGATATGATGAGGGAGTATTATGCGCAGAGAGCATCAGTTCCTGGCACGCTTCTCATTACGGAAGCGACATTTGTGTCAGCGAAATCACGAGGGCGTGATGAGAATGCTCCGGGGATATTCACGCAGGAGCAGGTCGAAGCATGGCGACATGTAACGGACGAGGTTCACAGCAAAGGGTCCTTCATCTTCATGCAGCTATGGCACGTCGGTAGAGCAGCTCGTCAACATGCGCTGGACAAGGCTGGCCTGGAAATGGTCAGCAGTAGCGATGTCCCCATCGACAAAGAGTATCCGACACCACGGCCCATGACTACTGAGGAAATCTGGGAGTGCATTGCCTCTTTCGCCAGTGCCGCTAGAAATGCCATCAACGCGGGTTTTGACGGTGTCGAGATTCACGCTGCAAATGGATACCTCATCGACCAATTCACGCAAGATACATGTAACAGACGAACAGATGGATGGGGCGGCAGTATCGAGAATCGGTCACGATTCTGTCTCGAGATCGCGAAAGCTGTTTCACAAGAGATAGGCCCAGACCGGACAGCTATTCGACTGTCACCCTTCAGTACGTTCCAAGGCATGCGAATGCAGGATCCCGAGCCGCAGTTCACCCACCTGATCTCCGAGCTGAAACCCTTGGGGCTCGCGTACCTCCATCTCATTGAACCCCGTATCGCCGGAAACGTGGACAGGGAGACTGATGACATGGAGAGCCTTGACTTTGCGCTTGAGGCATGGGGTTGGGTCGGACCAGTCATTTTGGCTGGTGGTTACACAGCGGAAAAGGCAAACAGAGCCTTGGAAACAAGCTTCAAAGACCGGCCTGTTGGGTTTGCGTTTGGGAGACACTTTATTTCTAATCCGGACTTGCCGCTTAGGCTCGCGAGGAATATTCCCTTGGCGCCGTATCATAGGAATACATTTTACAAGGTAAAGAGCGCGGATGGGTACACGGATTATCCTTTCAGCGAAGGACGGTAGAGTAAACGACAGTATATTGATACGACAGTTTCATTATTTCGATTGTTGACGCATGGAAGATGCTGGATCCTACGCAATAAGCAATGTTAGGCTGCTGCATGAGTCCATGGCCGGGGTGGCATAAGATGAGCTGGGACGAGACGAGAATGGGTATGAAGGTGAAAGAGGCAGTGTATTAGTTGCAACTTCTGAAACATCGGAATGTTCTTTGTGAGTTTAAAGAAACACATGCACGACCTTGTTTTCTGTGTAAGTCTTATGGCATCCATGAAGATGAAAGCCGTTTCAGTGCCGATAGTGGGGCGGTGCAACTAACGTCGACCAAATTCACGAAGCCAAACATTGACGTCTGCAACAAAGTGAGTGCGCACACAGAAAAACAAACAACAAAACCAAGTGAAACAATCTTTACGTGGCCGCCCTTGTTTCGTCTTCCTGCATCCTCAAACAAGATTGGGTTCCCGCCGTTGACGCCTGAAGAGTAGCACACGTGGCATATCACATGACTCCGCAACCGCAATCTCATCTACCGTTACCGCTTTAAAATTGCCCAGCATTCGTTTGTGCCCGCACTTCACCATAAGCGACAGCATATCCTCTCCTCTTTCACCTCACTCCTCACTCACAAATCTTCCCGGAATCTTCGGCAATGCAGGGCATGTCGTCGTCGTCCGCCGACAATGCTTCCTGATGCGACAATCGACAGTGCAGCTGACAAGCTTGCCAAGTTCCGCAACAACAACGCCCTCAATGATATTCTCGACCAGTACGCTGTTCTTATCGAAGACTATAAGCGTCTTAAAAGCGATTATGAAGAGGAGCGTGAGGGCAGAGAGCGCTACAAGCAGCTCGCAAGAGGTCAAGAGCGTAACCCCTTTGCTCTCGTAGTCGTCGACGGAGATGGTTACATCTTTGACGAACGCTTCGTCAAAGACGGTGAAGAAGGCGGCAGCAGAGCCGCCAAGCAACTCAACGACACTATCAAAGATAGTCTACGCCGCAAAGGTCTCGAATCCTGCGAGGTCATGGTCCGCGTCTACGCCAACCTCACAGGCCTATCAAAAGCGCTCTGCAAGAACGGCCTCGCCGGCGCAGAGAAGCGCTCCTTCTCATCCTTCACAGCCGGGTTCAACCGCTCATACGGCCTCGCCGACTTCATCGACGCGGGCGAGTTAAAAGAAAACGCCGACTTTAAAGTCAAGGCCATTCTGCGCCTGTACGCCGACAACGCCCAGTGCAAGCATATTTACTTCGCGGCCTGCCACGACGTGGGCTACGTATCCGACCTTATCCCCTTTAGGGGCAACCGTGAAAGATTCACGCTTATTCGAACGCCGAGTGTGTTGTTTCATAAGGAGTTTGACAGACTCGGTATGAATGTTGAGGAACTCCCTGGCGTGTTCCGCCATGTGCCACTCACATACGCTTATTCTACTACGCAAACAAAGGCGGCTCTTGCGTCGTCCAACAATATGGGCAAAGTTGTCAGCGCACCTTACACAAATTCTACGATCAAAGGAAACTCGAATGATGGGAACTCGGTCTGCAACTTTTATGTGCAGGGAAATTGCCGATATGGCAGCGGCTGCAAGTTCTCTCACGGCGACAGTAAAACATCCAGTCAGAATAGCACACCTTCGCCATCAACCTACGGCACAAGCACAAAGAACCTGACAGGCGATTGGCGACGCGGCTCCAGTATCACCAAGAGCAACATTGAGTCTCTACCTCGAAAGGAGGACATCCCAGATGGATGTGTTGCCATCAATGCTGTCGAGGACCGTCTCGACGCTTACTTACCCCCGCCTGATCCCGATGCTGCAAGACGTCTCAAGCTGCTATCGCAGGAAAAGAGATTCTGCAATAATGCACAGCTTTATAATTCATGCGAGAGCGACAACTGTGGATATGAGCATGCACCAATTGATAAGGACCTGCTCCCAGCGCTTGAACATCTCTCACGTTCTGTACCTTGTACCCGTGGGGGAGCTTGTCGCAGAGCAAACTGTGTTTATGGACATGTATGCCAACGGGCAGATTGCCGCAATCGAGCTGGAGGAAAAAGCTATTGTCGTTTCCGCCCACGAGTTTGCACCGCAGATTACTCCCCAGTCGATTATGTTGAGGCTGTTGACCAGGCTATGATGTCCCCATCCCTACACTCCGAAGACATTGACGGGCGTAACGCCGAGAATGGAGGAACAAATCTATGGGGAGATCAGTAAACAACAACAAACTACAACGGTATACCTGATACAATGGGTATACACATTAACGCATTTTGGTGAAAGGGGCTATGGTTCTATCTCGAGGGCCTCATTATAGAATGGCTGAGGCTCGAGGGCGCTCGTTATCTTGCGGAATTGCCTTCGCTTGTACAATATGGCGAATACGGAATGCTGAAGGCTTTTAATGTTCATTCAACTGGACAGATCAAGGGGATAATTCGGATGGGCCGTATTCAAGAAAATCGAGTTTGGACATCTTGTGAAAGGGCACTAGAATACGGTACTTGCACAAATATAAATACAAGGATACCATGGCGGTCAAGTCTGACTCGAGGTTGTGACAACGCGACGGTGTTTGGTCTAAAATGGTCATAAAAAATGCCAGTATTTAGGTGAGTTTTCGTGTAACTTGGTGCACTCTTTTTGTTTGGATCGTAGGTGAAACTTCAACATGAGAGTTTACAAGACTCAATGATAATGAATGCAGAGAAGATGCGAGGTCCTGGACGAATGAGATCCACGTTTTATTATGCTAAATAGTTTTGGATCTTTATTCGATTATCATGTCGGATGATCATGTCTCTCTTCTCGAGCCCAATGTACCAACACGGATGCCCAACACGACGAGCTTGTCGAGCATGAGATGCCTTCCAGTTACAGTGGACTTGTTGTCTGGGTGATCCAGGAGACTTCTCTCCGCTTCGTATGGAGATGGAAAGTGAGATGTGCGTGACTTGGAAGTGGACAGCACCAAAGAATGGAAGTCACTTCTCATACATATTTCCATGGAAATTTCACAGTAGCTTCCTTTTGAGGGGTTATGATGAGGCTTAGAGCCCAGTCAGACTTCAGATCACCTGAATCTGTTGAAGGAGCACAAAGTATTGATTGACTGTGTGAAGCCTCGTCAATAACCAACATCATGATAAAATGAACACTCTTTGTGAGCTTACCTCAGCACTCAAGCAATCTCTCAAGCTGGAGACAGAAATGGATCGTTTGTTATGGCTCTCGAATGGATTTGGTCCTTCCTCCACGTTACGGCAGCGGTTAGCACTGGTTTCCCTCACTGAAGTACGACGCGTCATCATCACGGCTACGGTCCTTCCTCAAAGTTGGTCAAAGCAGTGACGGGTTAACTGAACTTCGTCTCGAGCTCCCAGACTTGACAACTTCATCATCCCTGCACACATGGAAATCCTTCTGCTTCATCCACAGCCATCCCATCCATCGCCAAACTCAAGTTCACAAGCTTTGGTGAGTGACAGCGCCTTCACTTCCTCCACTGCAACCAAGAGCAAGCAGATACGGCTGACTTGAACAGTGCCCCTATGAGCCTCCAGTGCCATCGAAGCAAAGTCCCGGCATATCGAGTCCGAAGCCTAACGATCGACCGACCGGGCACGGACGAGCAGATGAGCCAACGATCGAACGAAACGAATTTAGTACTCATCTCGACCGAATCGGATAAATCGAACAGTCGACTGCAGGGCCTCACCCCACAAAGAGGAACGGCCTAGGCGTCGCGAATGGCAATTATGCAGCGCGCCGGTGTCACGATGCCTGATAGCCCTGAAAGCGTGGGCGAGTGGGACAACGTTATTTTTGAAGGATCCTGCGCTTGGTTATCAATGTTGACATTATGCAGTGCTTGTCCACGACCCCTGACGCGTCCCATGCAAACTTGCAAACGGCCAGAAGAGTCTCTTTAGCACTGAACGCTGGACTCGGTCGGGGGCTCGTCATCGACCTAACGCGTATCAGTTCCTAGCTAACAGGTTCTTGATCAGAAGAGTCCCATTGGCATAGCGTCCAGGCTCGGTTAGGAGGGCTTGTCCCTGTTGCTACGATGCTTGTCGTCGGCCCAACGCGTATCAATTCCATAAGGTTCTTGGTCAGAAGAGTCTCATAAGGCATAGCGCCAGGCTCGGTTGGGATGGGTTCGTCCCTATAGCAATCCGATGCTTCCTTTAGCATTCGTTAAAGAATGGGGAAGATGCTGACCCTCCATTTTTAATGTGAGAGGAGAGGTAGGCGGCGAAGTCGGACTCTACAACCTCCTCGTGGTGCCGCCTGGGAACCCGGTCAATACCGGAGCCAGTGCAGAGACGCAACCTCCCTCATTTCTCTTTCACGGCGGCTGATTGATAGCACAGGGATGACTCGGACGAAGGGGTTCGAGGGTCGTCGTCAGAACGTACGGGTAAGATTTCCCCATCCCTTCGCAAGACCTAAGGCCGCAGGCTGACAGATAGTTCATGAGACACGTTATCACAACGAGCATGATGCTGAGGTGTTGTGCTCCGTGATCGTATCGGAAGATGTCAAGGTCCCCATAGTCCAGACTCCGGCTAGAATGTTCTATTTTTTAAACACCATCCGGCAGAATGATCGTCTTTTTGCTAGAAGTGATACTGTTGTGAATAGTGATTTAGTACTTGTCTCTGTTCAAGGGAGGGTTTTACTTCGCAATCTTGATCATGCTAAACAGCCACGCATCAGCACAAGACTACGGCAATCGGACAGACGATGCTTTCGGACAGACGAATTGTCAATACTTATTTCAACGATATTATGAGCCTCATCAAATACATTTCATGTTGACAGTTGGTAGCCTGGCAAGACTAATCATTCTGCTGATAGTGGAAAGGCTCTATCTCAAATCGAGGGCTCAAAGTTCGTCCCACCCGAGAAGTCCGATTTCGCAGTAATGCGGATGATGCTGAACACGGCAATGACGATATCCAGAACTAGTCCGGCTGTTATGGATAACGTCGTTTAAATACCGCACAAGGCAAACCGATGCATCGCCATATTTATTTGGTGTGTCCCGTCCTGGCTTTACAAACTCCCAGTCATCCAGTGCGCCAGAATAATTGAGCCAGTCGATTTCCAGGAACTTCCTGTCTCTTGCGTAGAATGCGTTGAGCGATGCCCAGTGATCTCCTTTTTCGTCAAAAGCTGGCGCGTTCTTTTTTCTTTTGAGGTTATGATCAATAATCCACAGCTTTTGGATGTTCTTCAGCTCTAAAGCATTTCCAATCAACTGAATGATTGCTGGAACGTCCGAACTATGTAATAGGTCCCACCACTCTGGGTCATATTCAACTGCAATGTGCTGGAGTCTCTGAAAAACTGGCTGTTTGGCACCTTTCGTTTGACGTGACCCAAAAGAGTACTGAATCACACCGTCGAGTTTAACGGGTTGGAAAACAAACAGATCTCTGCGTGGAAAGACTGTCAAATAATTTAGGGAGCCTCCCTCGAAGTATCCTGTGGAGGGCATCCGAAACACTTTGTTCCAAGGATGTTCAGCCCAAACTCTAGAGGACCTTTGCGCGTACAGCCACCATTCATCACCCGACCACTGATAATGGCTGAAGTGCTTTTGAATGGCAAGTCGCGACTCTTTGCAGGTATTCCACATTGCACCGTCGATGAGATACGTGGACATGTTCTCGTTCTTGCGGTCCTTGTCCAGGTTGGCGAAGTATTTATCGGGCGATGGCTCCAAGAGTATACCACTGAAGAGGTTGCCATGCATGAGAGAACGGCCCTCAGCCATGCCTTTCTTGTCCTCATCGCGGTGCCCAAATATGTGAACATCCGGATGATTATCTCGAAGGACGAGCGCCCAGATTATGTCTCGGATCTCCCTGGGAAGATCAGAAAAATTCGCCATGATCGGTAAATGATGAGAAGTGAGATTTGTAAAGGTGTTTTCTGGGAGTGGAGTGCGGTCTGGAGTGTTTGTTGTGGCAATTGTCGATTGCACTGCTCTTGGAGAATTTCTGTATACGAGAGACTTTTTAGAAAATGGAATCTGGCCAGAATATTGGTGAGAGCGAGGATTCTTATGATAAGGACAAAGGCAATTATACTTTACGGTCTGTGTCATCTGCTACCTACATATGCTTAAGCTTTCATTGCTAAGTGTGTGATTCGCGGTTAAGATTTGTGGCTCGCCAAAGAGTCATCATCTAGGTTTCCCTCTTATCAGCTTTATTATGTAGGGATTGGTCAGTCATTATGGTTTAATGTCTAAGTTTTGAGCTAGATGTGATATTTGTAGTTCAGACTTGGGGCTGAGAGCTTATTCCAGCCGACAGGACTTAAGGGACTTGTGACTTGGTTCTTAGAGCTACCTTACCATGCAAAATTTAATTATTTCACGGTCTACCTGCACAAGATGTTGCATTCCAAATTTGACTGCAATTTTTAAGATGTATATATCAAGAACCCCGAGTATCATGTATATCATAATCATTTATATTATACGTACAGTAACGTAAGGAGTTCATATTTACTGTACTCAGCCACGTTGCATCTGGTTGAACCTATAACTCTTCCCATCCTAGGATCCCAATAGCACAATAAGGGTCCTGATAATTATCATAAGTTAGAAATGGCTGATCGTAGAGGTCCGACTCCAAGTCGTGAAGGAAAAATATCGAAGAACTAAAGCCGTCATCCGATATGTCTTCCACAGGTTTGATGTATTCCCATTCCTTCTCCAGGTCGTGCCAGTTATTGCAATCCACCTCCACGAACCTCCTGTCGCTGGCATAGAAGGCATTGATGTCGTGGTAATTCTCTGCCTCTTCTCTGAGTGCTGGAGCGTCTTTCTTTCGCTTAAGGGAGGTGTCAATAAACCAAATTTTCCAGACACCATCCCACGCCTCGAATGCAGCCTGCTTAATCGCCCATATCTCATCACTCAGGCAGCCGCCATGGACTATCTCACACGCCCACTTTGGATTGTACTCTATTGCGACATGCCTCACCCCTCTGAAGCCCTCCGCACTAGTCGCCATCGAAGCTTCATATCCAATAAAGGACCAATCGACAGTTTTCAAGTCATCGGACTGAAGGACGAACAGGTCCCGGTGGGGAAAGACTGTCATCAGCTCAAGAGGGGTGCCGGCAAAGCAGCCTGTTGTGGCTTTTCTGAAGACTTTTTTGCTCTCATCGTATCTTGGACCAGTGTGTTCATCATAACGCTTCCGCTTTGACTGTTCAAATCGCTTCTCCATGATGAGCCGTGATTCTTGGCAGGCTGTCCATAAGCCTCCATCGATCAGGTATGTTGAGATGTTTTCGTCGCTGCGGCTTTGGTTCAAGTTCTCAAAGTATCGGCGCCATGAAGGTTCAGCCCATGTATCGCTTACAACGTTACCGGATCTTAGAAAGCGGCTACCTTTTGCAAATCGTTTTGATGTGTCGTACTGTCCGAAAATATGTACTCCTGGGCGATCATCCCGAATGGCCATGCTCCAAATGTGGTCTCGGAGTTCTCTGGGAAGCTCGGAGAATCTCTTAAACTCAGCCATGTTTGAGTATTTGATAGATCTGTGGGCCCGGTATAGAAGTGATTGGTTACGGGGTGCAAGTTGTGCGTTGTCGTGAGTGATCCGAGATTCAGGGTGGTTCGTGCTTCTTGCTTCGATGGTGTTAATGTGAACAATGGACTTACAGATTGATTCCGTGATCTTCAGAGACACCAGCTATTTATATCGGTTTGCATTGCGGTCTGAGTCATGGCTCTTGTTTATTTGACTTTGTGCTCAGAAATTTTATTTGCAGTTCAGCCACCAAGATGAAAGTTTATTCCTTGCCAAAGTGTCATTACTGGACTTTATTCTTCCATTTGAATCCACGGGTATCTGAGCCGTTCTCCGTAGCCGGATATGGAGTGTTCGTATCTTTGGACTATTGTCGAGATGGATTCGCTGCGCCAAAACCCAACAGCAACTCCAGTGTAAGCCCAGATGGAGGGCAGTTATTCGCGAAGAACAATCCAATTAGTGCGTCTTGTGGTCGGAGTTGGGTATCTTTTCTAATCTCTCAACTACAAGTCTGAAGTGCAGATCAAAAGTCCAGCTAAAAGTTAGGCACCTTTTCGTTATCGCTTCATCGCCACTTGTAACAATCTAGTGACAAAGCACCACGGGCGAGATTACAGCGACAAGAACCTAGTCTAATGGGACAGAAGCTTACTTGTAGTTGGTCTCGTCCCGTCCCAATCAGCAATTGGGCTACTATACTAGCTCAGACAGTCGACATTGGAGGCTCATGGAAACAAGGGAGAGATAGAGCCCTCTATCTAAAGAGGTCAAGGAATTAGGTCTCAAAAGAAGAATAGTTTTGAGCCTACAGCTATCTGAATAACTTTACCGAACATCCAAGCCATATTCAATATCAAGTCCCCGTAAGATTCTCCCCTCTATTCTCATAGGTCATCCCAGCCAAGAAGTTTAACCTCGCAGTTGAATCTCGCATCTTCTGCTTCTCCATACTGACCATAGACATGGTAATCGGAAACACAATCAGCTGCTTTCCTGTCCAAACGCTCCGCAAGGCTGATTGAAGACTCGTATTCACCAGTAAATCCGCATTTTCTTTCAAGTGGCTTGATATATCGCCAGTGTTTCAGACCTTGTCTTTTCCAATCGACTTCTACAAACCTTCTGTCGCAAGTATAGAAGACTCTGTTGCCGCTATTGATTTCATTCTTGTCGATGTCTTCTCTGATTTTGAGGTTATGGTCGATTATCCATAACTGGGCTCGGATGTCTCGAAAGGCGTCGCACAACAGGTAGAGATAATCATCAGACTGACGGATTCCCCACTGGCCATCCAATTCGATCCCAATATGAATTCCGAACCGGAATCCTCTGGGCTGCAGCTGGTTTCGGATGTCACGAGCCACCTGTGACCAGTCGATGTCCTCGATCTTGCTGGGCTGAATCACAAAGAGATCTGCGTGGGGCTGAACCAGAAGTCGCTGTGAAGTGCTGAAAGAGATACTCGCGGGCACATGTTCCTGCCACGGGGAGTACAGATATCTCTGCTTTGCTTGCATTTCAAGGATTTTCTTCGTTCCCCGCGTGGCCTTCTCCATGACGCCCCGTGACTCTTTACAGGCAGTCCATAATCCTACGTCCGCCATGTATCTAGAGGCATTCGAGTTGCCTGGGCTTCCGTCAAGAGCAGGGAAGCATTTGCTCGGTAGTGGTGCATCGAGCAGGTGCCTGGGCGGTCGAATGCCCGAGGTCGTGGCGCCGGAAGTTTCGCCATCTCGCTTAGGTTCGGGAGTCCGAAGTTCAAATATCTGGACGCCGCACAGGTTGCGGTGACTAGCATAGTCCCATATCATATCCCTTAGCTCTTTGGGCAGGTCGGCAAAACGCCTGAAGCTGGCCATCATGAATGGATTCGCACAAATGTTGAAGTGGAAAGGTGGTCCACGTGAAAGCTGAGGATATGAGAAAGTGAAAAAATTAAAAGAGCAAAGAAAATAGAATGGGACTTCAAGAGGGCACCAAAATTATATATTATTTTCCTCCAACTTTGTTTCTGAGTTTCGCAAAATTGTCGGTGCGCCAGTTAATGACAGAACGAAAGTTTATGATATTTCCCAGAAGGCAAAAACCACAAGTAATCTCGAGGTAGATAAAGTTTAGAGTATGGCAAAACACCTCGAGGTATTTTAAGTATGACTTCGTTCAATTAAAGCGTATTCCTGCTTGAAACACACCGCAGAGCGACAGACAGTACAAATGGGCTTTAACTTCTTCCTTTTAACCTCAAGCTGCTCTTTAGTTCTTATGAAATTCCAGCTCTTCAGCAATGTGTTTCTCTTGGCTTCACCCAACTAACATACGGTATCTGTTTTCTCAACCACCAGTCGTAGGGTACAGAGAAGATTGCTCGCGTTCCGCCAGTAGTTACCATACACAAGACTATCCATGCCTGGCTCCGCCAATCTTGTAGTCTGTCAGAAACGGTGCTATGTAGGCAAATATTTATTTCTAGGGTGCGGAAGCATGTGATTGATAATTGGCGCAATCGTGACTCGCTCCATCGAAGATCATGAGTTCCAAGGCGGTTCAGAACTAAGGCTCGATTTCAGCCCACGCTACCTATTTATGGTTTACCGCAATATTAGGAATGCTTGGTTCTTTTGATCTTCGCTAAGGCGTCAAATCAGAAACGACTTGGGCAATCTAGACCAACGCCGTGTCTTGGCTGATCGGTCGCTGCAGGGTCCGGTCGCGATAGTTTCACGCTATCCAAGCCACAAACCTCAGCCCTGGGAGGGCTGAAAACATTTGGGATCAAGAGGCGCTTTAAAGGCCATTGTTTGCCCCTTTCTCCAAATTTGTTGTTGCACAAACTGTATCTTTCCCAAGATCTTTGAAGTAGGCATCGTCAGAAGCACCATAAAGCAAGAAAAATGCACAAGTTTGTGTTGTTGTGCGCGCTCTTTAGCCAAACATTAGCGACGTGCTATTACCCCAATGGTATCAACGCAGCAAAAGACTACAAGTACGAACCATGCGGCAACTCAACCACGACGTACTCTACATGCTGCTACTTTGGGGAGGGCGACAAATGCTTGGCAAACGGCTTGTGCAACCAGCCAGGAAAATACGACTATCGCGCTGCTTGTCAGAACAAAGACTGGTCCAATTGCCCAGAGGTTTGCATGGACAGTAAGTCACCTGCAAACCGCCCAACAGAAATGGTACCTAACATCAGATAGCGGAATCTGGCACTTGGTTTCCACTGCAGACGTGCGGAAAGAATAAATACTGCTGCCCTCCAGCAGACGGAAGCGATTGTTGCGACAGCGGCGCTCAGATCTATACCCTCAAGGCACCCGATCCCAAATCAAGCACCAAGACGAGCGATGCCACGAGTACTTTCCAAAGCGTAATTCGCACAACCATTATACAGACTCCGACCTCAACAGCAAATCGAGGGGACAGCTCGGTCAAAAAGTCGTCTACGCCTGCGATTGTCGGAGGTACAGTCGGCGGTGTTTCGTTCATCGGGTTCTTGTTCCTTGGAGTCTTCTGTGTTTACAAGCGACGCGATCGCCCTTCTACACCGCACGCGACTGCAGTGACTCCAGAGAAGAAGGATGATACTTCAAGTGGTAAAGGCAACGCCGCGGTCGAGGTCTTGCCTCAGATCGGCGTTGCGGAAGCTGAAGGGACAGAGGGTAATAGGTACACTGAAGTTGACTCACGAGCTGTCAATGGTACCCGTCCTCCACTCGCGTACCCTGAGGAGGATGGAATGCCACAGCCCGCCGATGTTACACTTCCTCAGCAGCCATATCCTGAGAACGATAGTATGCCACGAGCTGGAAGACCAGGGCAGGGTCTTCGGGGACAGGCAATGAGAAGGGGAGGAAATGCTTCAACGGAGGCAGACTCTAACCCAATCTTGCATGCTGATTCGAATCCTATTTTACATGCCGACTCCAACCCCATCTTCCATGCGGATTCAAATCCGATTTTACAGGCTGATTCCAACCCGATTAGCGAAGCGCCGGATGATGCTTGGGTCAGGCCCCGTATTGTGACCATTACGAAAAGCGCGCGGCATGAACTCCCATAGCATTTTCCGTGATAGCTTAAAGAAGAGGAATCACATTTTGTTTCAGTAGTGACTGATGTTAAGCTTTGTGTGCATATCACGGCGACCCCATTCGCTGTCTCGGCGACATTTCGCCACGGTGGCGAACATCTAGGCTAGCAAGGACTCTGATTTTAACAAGCGGGTTTAGCTCAGTTGGGAGAGCGTCAGACTGAAGTCAAACTTCAATCATCATACGATATCTGAAGGTCATGTGTTCGATCCACATAAACCGCATAACTTTTGCTATTTCTACCTAAAGTCTATTGCCTTTCTTTTCCAATGGCTGGCTTGTAATGACGTCGTGTACTTTTTTGATTGATGGGTTTACTGAATTGACTTTTACTTCTGATGATCATATCCCAATAACTGGAAACCCCTCCCTCCTCTGCTCTCAACAACATCTTGATTTGACCGCGTCCCATCTTCTCAAGTACCGACGAACAGCTCTATAAATGGATCGATGTTTACGGAAGGTGACATTTCAGTAACATGGGGATGATGGATGGACTCGGGGTTACCAGATTCAGTTATGATGATCTTGGCGCGCACAGCTACAGGCGTACCAATCAGGGCAAACCATTCGAGTGATCAACTCTCCAGACTGCCGCATCTAATACGAGTATAATCACAGTGGTTCGGAGAAATTATGTAGCTGATTGATGTCCATCACTTAAACTCGGGCTTTTAACATGCATGACGAGGACACGGCAATGATCCGCCGTGGCTTTAGCATGATGGCTTAAGCACAGAACTTTGTACCCATAAGAACGCACGATTGAGACCAGAGGAAAACCCTACCTCCCCATCAGCCCTTGTCATCCAAAATGTCCTTCCTCAAACAGCTATGCGCAGGTCTCGCCTTCGCAGTGCCGTGGGTCCTGGCCCAAAAAGACAACCTTGGACTTGATAATGGCTACATCGACATCGAGACCAACAACTTCAAAGCCCGCATCGTTCGCGACGCTCAAGTCCTGGTATCATTAGTCTCAGAGCATGACACCTTTGACTTCTTGCCATCTGATCGAGTTGATGTCCGCGCCCAGAATGGACAGTATCACTGGGGTGACATTACGTATAGATATCGCAAACAAGGTGTCTCAGCATGGACAGACGGTGATTCTGCTCAAAAGCGACAGCCTGTGAAAAACATCAGCACGGGGACTGCTCTTGCAACATCAAATCTTCGTCCGACACTGCCCGATAGCCCTCTCAACATCACTCGCGAATGGCTTGATTATCAAGATGACCTGGGTCTACGCTTCACCATCACTAACGATGGGAATGACACTATTGAGCTCGGCAGCGTGGGGTTCCCAACTGAGTTCAACAGTATCTTCACCGGCAGGACAGCCAAAGAGATGCAAGCCAAATGCTCTCTCGCAGATCCCTACATCGGCATGGATGCTGGCCACATCCGCGTCGCGCCAGTAAAAGGCACTGGCAATGGCCTCATTGTCACGCCGTTGAATGGAACGGAGACACCAATGGAGGCTTATCGGGATCTGAAAGAACCTTGGTTTGAGTCAACTGGTTATGCAAGCCAGACCTTCGAAGGGTTCTACGAGTGGCAGGTCCTCACTAAGGCGTGGGCAGACAATGAATGGAAGGACCAACAGCCCTGGAACACACCGACTTCCAAGATGTTGAAGCCTGGCGATTCGTTCAAGTTTGGTGTCCGGTTCACTATATCCGAATCTATTCGCGACTTTGACAACGCCATCAAAGACACTGGAACACCTGTTGTAGTCGGTGTCCCTGGATACACTATCCCCCGGGACCTCCCTGCCTCACTCTACCCTCTCAGCGATATTGGAATTGCTTTAATCGATGTCTCACCGGAAGGCGCATTTGCGATCAAGAAAGTCGGGGAACATTATGAGCTAATCCCCTCATCATCTGCTTGGGGACGAGTTCGTGTCAACATCAAGTATAATGATGGCAAGGTGCAGACTGTCCACTATTTCGTTACGAAACCAACATCAGAGACACTGAATGACCTTGGGAACTTCTTGACAACAGAGGCTTGGTTCAATGATTCATCAGACCCTTTCAAGAGATCTCCATCGGTCATGACCTACGACTATGAGAAGCGCAAAATCGTCGAACAGGATCCACGAGTCTGGATTGCAGGCCTCAGTGATGAAGGTGGCACCGGTGCTTATGTCGCAGCCATGCTCAAGCAGGTGGTTCAGCCAAATGCTGAAGAGATAGCCAAGCTGGATAAGTTCGTTCAGACCACCATTTGGGGTGGAATCCAAGAGGAAAACTACGGAGTGTACAAGTCACTTTTTTATTATGACTCTAAACTAAACTACACTTATGATGCGGATAGTGACTGGACTTCCTGGACGTCATGGGACAAGGGAGCTGCGGAGAGTGTCGACCGTGCATACAATTATGTTCACGTCGTGGTGGCTTACTGGTCCATGTATCGTGTCGCACGAGCATATCCCGAGCTAACAACCAAACCTTGGAGCTGGTACTTGGATCAGGCTCAAAAGACCATTATGCGGATGTACCAGAGAGATGTGTCGTACCGAGAAGTTGGTCTAATGGGCGAGACGGTGTTTGGGGAGGTTCTGACGGACCTGAGGCGCGAGGTCAATGGCACTCTAGCACAAGCTGTCGAGGACGCAATGATGGAACGTGCTAAAATCTGGGATGCGCAAGATATTCCTTATGGAAGCGAGATGGCGTGGGACTCCACGGGCCAAGAGGGCGTTTACTACTGGACAAGGTGAGATCAAAATCTGATGTGTTGTGCTGCCCTTTGCTGACTCTATAGACACTTTGGCTTCAGCGAGTCAGCTCAAAAGACAGTCAACAGTGTATTAGGCTACACGCCGAACATACCTCACTGGGGCTGGAACGGCAATGCCCGCCGATACTGGGACTTCATTTATGGAGGAAAGCTTCAGCGCATCGAGAGACAGATCCACCACTACGGCTCTGGTCTGAACTCCCAGGTCCTGCTCTCAGCATTTCGCCATAACCCCTCTGATCCTTATCTTCTCCGTGTTGGATATGCCGGGTCATATGCGCCGCTCACCAACATCAATCAAGATGGCTTTCCCAGCGCTGCGTTCCACTCACGACCAGATACTCTTAAGTGGGATGGTATCACTGGTGATTACGGTGGTGGCCTCATTGGTACAGTACTGAGCTCTGGCATGTACGTCGTTGATGACAAGCAGCTTGGTATGCTTGCCTTTGGGGGTAAAATCTCCAAGACTAGAGAACAGTATCATGTTGAACCGAAGGATGCTGTAAGAAAGAGGATATTCATTGGGCCTTTCAACGTTATGGTTACTATTGATATGGGATCTATTAGTAGCTTTACATTCACCCCGGGGAAGGGTATTGTCTACGTTAAGCTGACGCAGCGGGAGGGCTCCCCAAAGGTAGACAAAACCGTGGTGTGGATTGAATCGACTGACGGAAAGGAATGGGAACTCCTCGGGGCATGGAATCCAGGCAATTCCATCGGAAGGACTGTTGCCATTGAAAAGGGGCGAGGAGGATGGATCGTGCCACTGGATCACTTAGTGACCCTAACCTTTACCAACAAACTGCCACTGCCACTGCCGGGAACTGTTTGATGTACCTACCTAGGTACTTAGGGTTCTCTCGGCCTCTCCGAGATGGCTGCTTCATTTCAAGATACTCCGCGAGCATCTCGAGCGAACTTTATCGGCGGGGCTGTTACTATTGAGAAGGAATGAGGAGGATGGATCGTGCCCCTCGATCGTGATATCACTCTATCTTCTGGCAAGAAACTTACACTTCCGTGAACTCTTTGGTGTCATAAACCCTATCAATCAACAGTGAGCAACACCAAGTTCTGCGTAGTGAATATGAGCTCTCAGCGATAGGTGTCAGCTGAAATAGTGAATAACACATTTGGATCTTACCGTGAATGTTTTCTCCAAGGAACAGGGAATCAGTACTCGATGTCTTCCTCAGTGACGATCAGAACAACTATCATTACTGCATTATAAAACCTCGTATGGCGACCTTGCTCTTTGACTTGGGACAAACTGAACAATTCATTCACACAAAAGCTCTTCCTGTTCAAACAATTCATTTACACAAAAGCTCTTCCTGCTCAAACAGATCACTTCTGGCAAACATGACTGATTCCAAAACCATATATGGAAGCTGGCTGGAGCAGCAAGATGCTATCGCGTCTAGGGAAGGTTTACAGTCACAACAACTAAAAGAACAACAAGCTGGCTGGGTTTGGACCTGTTGCAGTTGTCGGACATCAAGCATTGAAGTTTCTGTAACCCAGTGCACTAAATTCAGCACGTTGAGATGCCGACATTGCGAGGTGGAAGGCAAGCCGTCAGAGAACGGCACTCAGGTCAGTATCGGTGGTGAGACCACGGTGGACACGGCCGATATATCCAGCCACAACACAAAGATATGATATCTGCTATCATAGTTGGGGGGAGGGCCTTGATTACAGTGATATCCAAATAAAGTGGTATACTCTTTCTTATAAAATGCCTTCCTAGATATTATGTGTTTATCATGTCGTTGTACAACACCGCGTGTCGACATATATCGTCTAATGTAACCATAATAAGAATTAGCTGTGCTACTTGTATAACCGTAGAGTTACGCAACTGAAAGCTCTCCTTGTTTCTGCCTAATATGCGGTGTCGCCTTGAAAGTGGCCTAGATATCTATAGAAGGCTAATTCTCTGGATTTCGAGCATAACTAACTCTTGCGCGGGTTGATGAATTTGACTTTGCATTGGCTAGCAAAGAATCGCAGCAGCCGCTGGCATGGCTTCGGCATGCAAGACGCAAGTTGACCGAACTGGTGGTGTGCTTAGAGACAACCATCGACTGCTGGGATAACTTCACTTATCCAGACCATATGCAAACACGCTATGGACGTCAATCAATGGTGTCTATTGAGCAGACTTTCTCGGAGGTTAGGAACTGCTTGAAGGAGCTATATAACATCCGCACGCTTTGTGACGAGCATGAAAGAACAGTAAGGCAGTCCTAATGACAAAGGACGACACTCACACCAACACAGCTAAACCTTCACAACATCGATGAACAATACCGAATTTCTCGGATGCAGGCTGAGGTCGCTGAAAGTACGCAAGTTCTTAGCTGTTTTCTACTCTACGTATGTTTCTTTGGAGACGATGGGCGTGCAGATGTGCTGATTCGACTTGACAGGTCGTGTCGCCCATTACCCTGGCGGCGGCAATACTCTCTATGCAGGAGGAAGCAATCCCCGACTTCCTGGGGCCTACCAAGCTCTCGTTCTTTCTGTTGACGCCCATGCTGATACTGCTTGTTTCCTTGGTTGCGCGGCTGGTTCAGCATTGGGACAAGGTTCAATTGTACATGTCCCACCCAGGCAATTGGGTTCAAGCTCGCAAACGAAATGTCAATGCTGGGATCGTCTAGCAACTTTTGAGAGGGTTCTGTTTTTTGGTATACTGTCTTTCCTTTATATATCGCTTTTCGTAACTCCATTTCCCTCAACTCCTTGCGCTGCAACAACCGGTCGCGTCCAATCAAGCTGTAACTCATTCATTGACACATCCCACAGAATCTTTTGCTCATCCTTTACCACCACGAAACCCGCCTTCTTATAGAGATACAAAGAAGCTTCCTGGGTACTCGATGTGAAAAGCGTAACCTTGTCAAATTTTTGCTGCTCTGTAAACTCCATCGCCGCCGCCAGCAAGCGCTTCCCAACTCCTAGGCCACGAGCACGCTCATCAACGATGAAGCCGCGAATTTGTGCCGTGTTGGGCTGTTGAAGGTGCTCTGCGTCGATCAAGATGGTCCCCACGATCTTTTGAGTAAAGTCGACGGAATTGTCAGAGGGCGCTGATTGAACTGCTGCGAAGATTTGGTTGCGAGGATTGGTGAGTCTTTGGATGAGGTCGGCCCAGCTTTTGGCGAGGGAGGTTTCGAACGCAAGACCCCAAGAGTTGTATGGGTGATAGTAGGCGATGTGCATCTCGAGACATCTGGCTAGCAAACCAGGACGATACCCTGCCTCAACGGTAATGCTTGACTCTGGGACTGTCATGGTTTTCACTTGGTAGGGCTTGGTCGTAGGGAGTAAGATGGGCAAAACGTTGGGGCACTGCCCGTATCTTAACAGTGGGAGATGTGAGGCTGAGGGGTCAGGTCAATTGACACACGTCACTTGTTAGGTAGTGGTTACAAGTCTTGGCACGCCTTTGTGGTCAATCTTGTCGATTGCTTGTCAAAGTGCGGGGTATGAATGACTTGAACGTCAATTGATGGCAATTGATGAGCAATTCCTTTTGTACACCAACGCTCCAATTGGATGGCAAAGATGCCAATAGCAACAGCCAACCTTGACATCTATGACAATAAACCAGAATTATCGTCTTTGCCCTGCATCGCCCCCGCAAGTATCGATGTTTTGTGATTGTCAACCCCCCTCCCAGGCCTCCTTAGGGTAAATGGCAGTAGGTTTCACAATCCCCCAGAAAACCCAACTTTCGACAATCCAAGGTAACAAATCTGTCCGGCAGTCTGACCTTCCTAATCCAGGCACAAAACGTAGGGGGCTGAATCCTCTTCCAGATTTCATAAACCGGCGGAGGATGGTCCACAATCGCAGAGAGTTGGTTGAATCCTTCTGTCAGTAGACAAAGCTGGGGTACATTGCAGTGCATGTCCAGCGATCCCCTGCTGATTAACACTGGATTACAGTGCCTTATCTCCAGCGAGATTTAACATACGCAGCCTTTGGAGTGCTAAGCGCTTCCGTTAAATGAAGGAGCATTATTATAATTAATACCACAGTAAAATCTAGAAATGATCAAGTATAACAAGCCAGTTTATATTTAATGGCAACGCTAGTGCAAGTGCCCGCCTAAATTCATCAACTATTTATTTTTCATTCACCTAAGCTTCCTAAACGATGAGCTTGGTGAGGAGCTTGCCCTGGTTGACACCGCTGAACAGCTTCATCCAAACCTCGGGCTGCTGCTCAATGGGCGCCTCAATGACTGTCTCGGCAGCCTCGAGCTTGATACGTCCATCGGCAGTGGCGCCAATAAGCTCGCCTAGGATAGCGGGCACCTTGTCCATATAATCGAGCATAATAAAGCCGCGGATGTTGATCCTGCAGGAAATAAGCTCGAACCAGTTCTTGAGAGCCATGGGTTCGTCAGAGTTATATCCACTGACAGCACCGCAGACAGCGATGTGGCCGTGCTTCTTGACGCGGGTCAGCATGGCGTCGAGAATGTCACCACCGACGTTGTCAAAGTACACATCGACCTCGTTGGGGGTAGCAGCCTTGAGGTCCTCAAGGAATGTAGGGCTCTTGTAGTTGAGGCACTCGTGGGCACCGATGCTCTTCACCCACTTGCACTTCTCGTCAGAACCAGTGATACCAATGACTCGCTTAGCGCCCAGGATCTTGGAGGCGATCTGGACAGCCATAGAGCCAGTAGCGCCAGCAGCGGCTGAGATGACAATAGTGTGCTCGGGCTTAGCCTCACCGGCATAGTACAAGCCGGTATACGCGGCCAGACCAGAGGCGCCAAACGCACCGAGGAAGTGCGTGGTGGGCAGGCCGTTGGGCAGGGGCGCGAGGGCCTGGGAGTTTTCGGCTTCCAGGATCACATATTCGCTCCAGGTGCCCAGGTGGAAATCCATGCAGAGATCGCCGACCTTGAACTTGTCCGACTTGGACTCGACCACCTCGGCGATGATACCAGAGCGCATGGGCGAGCCGAGGGGCACTGTAGGCACGTAGAAGCGCTCAGGCGCGACGGTGCTCTGAATAAAATTCCTTAGGCCAGTGTCGTTGGAGAAGTACTGGACTTTGGCGAGGATCTGGCCATCCTTCAGCTCAGGCAGTGTGACGGTCTGCAGCTTCCAGGTAGCGTCTGGGCCGGACAGGACAGGCTCCCCTGTAGGCTTGTTGGCGAGGACCCATTGCTTGGTAGTGTAGGAAGATGTCATGATGATGTGTGTAGAAAGGTTAAAAAAGGAAAAAGAAAAGAATTGTTTTGTTTCTGCTGACGGTTTGGTGGAGATAGTTAATATGCTGGTATGACTTTTACGAAAAACGTTGCTTTTTAAACCTGGTTCCGTCCAGTCAAATACAGCCAAACCATACTTTATAAGGACGACGCGAGTTTGCCGTGATTAAAAAAGCACTGTCGCTGTACGGTCTTGGCCTAAACCTTTACGGTGGCGGTCTCCGGGGGGCATGAGGGTTGCATTTCCGACCAAGCGTTCTAGCAGGGAGGGACCCTTGAGACCTCCTTTCATGCGCGACGGACGGGCACATTGAGTAAGGACACCGACAACCTGGCTTGTGGGCAGCAGCCATAACGTGGCGTGGCAAGGTAAGAAAATTGGGGGGACATGGAAGAGATGTGACATGATGTGACAGAAGGGTTACGGTATCATCCAGAAGCACGTCAACGTTTCGATCGATATTTCCGAAACTCAAATTGATTATCAACTCAGAATGTGGTATAAACGTTGTGTGACCGTTAGACTTGTGCCAAACCATCGACGGGCAGCGCGGGAAGCTTATCTTGCAGTCCTGTTTCTTGTTTCCCCTAGTGTCGCGTCAGTGCGGCCTTTTCTCTCTTTCGTCGGCGAACTGCGCTCTTCTTGTGCAAGATCGTCACCTAACCCAGGGGCACAAAACATGATCCGTTTGGACAGTCAGCAGATTATTTCCTACAGTACTCTGTAGGCTAACGTTCTCCGAAAGGGATATTTTCAGGAACGCCACGCTAAAATCTCGTTTTTGTGCTCTTATGTGGGCTATATATGGGGATTGATGGAGACGCTTGAGGGCGGATTGTTCACCAAGTGGTCAAGGAACGAGACGGGACGGGCCCCCAGAAATACTCCGTTGTTTCTAATTCTTGGCGAGTAATTTCATTTCAACCATTTCTTCAGTCTCTCTCTCTTTAGTCTCTATCATCTCGGGAGGGCCGTTTTTTTGCTTTTCTCCGCATTGTCTGTTCTCAAGCCCTCGGATGATCTTAGCCCTATAAGACTTTGTTTTATAATCGTTTGGTCACCTGCTCAAGACAAGACGGTGAGCTTGTTCTTCAGCCCTGACACTCAGACACTCACACTGTCTTTTTCGCTCTGGAAGCACTAGAAACCCGGCACTTTCCCGGCTTTTCATTCGACCCGTTTACGATGCTACGGCTGCGAGAGTCGAGTCAAGAATGTGTCTTCGGTAGTGGAGTAGTCTGTAATCAAAATGTTTCATGCGGCAACTTCGGTTGGTTCGCCTGTTCCTGCACCATTATTCTGGATGCCAAGAGGTTATTTTACGTATCGTCTTTTTCTTCCATTGGATCGTATGTGAGCCTCTCACGTGAGGTTCGGATATACAGCACCAACCGAAGCTACCAACCCCCCCTGAGTGTATCATAACCCAGAGTTGAGGCTCCTCCCCCCCATTGCCGCGCCAAGTCCCGTTCGCCACGGATCCGTCATCCGCGCTGGCTAAAGGACCCTGTCAAGGATCTCCTTGCCTCATCACTTCTTCTTTCCAAGGCCGTTGCCCCCCCAAGCATCCCAGGGTTACCCTCATGCCCAGCGGAGCCTCTGCACTCGAATAGGCAAAGAGACCACAGCCAAGTGCACACTCGTAGGTCTTGTCTCAGTCATCTGTAACAAACCATCCTCATTTGGGCCAAGTTTCCGTTGAAGAACGCCCCGGCTAATGCAGGTCCTTTTTTCCCAAGCCGTTCCCTTGGAGTAAAGTGATCGACATGACCTGCTTATGGTTCCCGTACATATAAGGAAGAATGGGTTCCTTTTTGGCTCCTCCCTGTATTGTGAAATTTCTCTTGTTCGGCGTATTTGTTTCGCTTTGAGTGCTTCCTTTCCCATCATGTCGGCGGAAGCAGTAGAGGTGATATCGACACCACAGGTTTACATGCCCATATTGGGTTATGTCAAAGCCGAACTTGCCATCAATTGCTTGATTGTGCTGTTGGTTCTTATCGTCGTCACTCTGCGGGTCATTGGGAGACTTATGGGACCTGGACTTGGATGGGATGATGGATTCGTTATTTTCGCAACGGTTGGTGACTATCTCTGGCTGAGGTTGGCCATTACTGACTGTGATTGCAGCCGCTGGGCGTAGCAATGTTGTGTTGTCAAGGACTTTTTGCACCGGTTGGAAATGGATACGAGTTAGCGAAACACCCTGAGCGTGCGTCCCCTCACCAGCTGTCGACTGTCATCGCCCTCTATGCTAGTACAGTTTACTAACTCCTTGGTCCAGTCGCCGCGAATATTCCTTTCATTCTCAAGTTGACATTCTGCATGCAAGCCATTTATGTCACCCTTCTCGCCTCCGTCAAAGCGAGCATGCTGGCCTTCTTCATCCGAGTCTTCCCCACGAGCTTCATGCAAAAGTCATCCAAGGCCGCCCTCGTCTTTGTCGGCATGTGGCTCATCGCCTATCTCTGCTCTTGTGTCTTCCTGTGCAACCCAGTGTCTGCTCAGTGGACTGGTCTAGGAAAGTGCGGAGCGTACATCCCCATGATCCAGTCCTTGATCGCTACCAACGCTATTGGAGATTTGATCATCATGGCGCTTCCTATGCATAGCGTTTGGAACTTGAAGACACGTCGTGCGGAGAAGATTGGTATCACCTCTTGTTTCGCGTTGGGTCTTGCGTAGGTCTCTTTACTCTTGATGTAAGAATTGTATACTGACTCGAACAGTTGCGTTGTCTGCGCCGTCTTCCGACTCATCTACATCTCAACCGTCGATCTCAACAACAACGTCACAGGAACCATGCCCACCACCATCTTCCTCTTCATCCTCGAGCCTAACCTGGCCATTCTCTGCGTCAGCATTCCCATGCTCCGACCTTTCTACGCCAAGTACAAGAAGCGAATGGGGGGATCTCGATTGGATGAATATTCTACCGAGCGTTCAACAGGATTCAGGGATGCCAGCCGATCAGGGGCCGCCAGCACCCAGCCCGAGATTTCTCGAGATCCAAATTTGTCGACCTGGGAGATGGACGATTACCGGCCAACAAATGATAAGCTTCAGCATGGTTATGCCGTCGCAGGATTCCCTGATGAGTCAGGGTCGGAGAAGAACTTGACTGTTGGATCTTCTGAGATGAAGAACAACGAGATCAGTGTTGAGACTCGATGGACTGTCACTCACTCCCGAAAGTAGAGTAATCATATCATATTAGTGTATATAGCAAGCAAAGCTCTGCAACTATCTTGAAAATAATATCTTTTACAACCGACTGGATACACGAATCTCGAATCACTCCAGAATCAGGCCAAAGCTCTGTAGTGAGATGGTATCGTTCAGTCGTAAATCGGTTTTGCCTTGCGCGAAACATGTCAAACAGCTTGAATCCTCGACCCGGATAAACATGTTCAGAATACCTTACCTTATGATAAACTTGGCATGCTCTGTGGCCAGGCTCTTTCTCGTCCGAGCCAAGCCTTCTCGCCCTCTTACGCTTCTAGGGGAGGAAAGAAGGCTTAGGATCTTGATCCTAAGTGACAAAAAGACTTGGGTAACTTAGCCTAAGTTTAGGATGACTTTAGAATAAACTTAGGATACCCTTTGCTAAGTTTATTTTTGACATCTTATATTGAGGTTTGATGTTTTCTTACTTCCCGAGGCGCTTCAAGACCTCGTCGGCAGATAATTGAATGAAGATCCTAATAGAAGTCGGGGTTAGTCCTGTGGCGATAGTACGATTCCTCCCAAAAGAGGGTCTCGACAACACTGGCCCCTATCCCATCGCAGACTAGGAACATCCGATGCCATGTAACCTCAACGGTAACAAACAACCGAGATAAAACAACCCGTAAACCAAGTTATATTTACAAGTTTCACGAAGGTGGACTAATTGCAAGGCAAGAGATGAAGCGGTGAAAAAACGACTGGTGCAATTTCTAGCATAATAACCGACACGCTCCCATCCCAGGATATATAACTCCGTATTATAGACATCAAACATCATACCCACTTGGGGTGGAAAAGAGACCTCGGATCGACCTTTGTTTCAGATCTGCCTCCGCAACGTCCTCAGCTGCAGCTAGGTTTAGGCAGTATTTATCCTTTGCGATGGATTTGTATCGTTTTAGGATATCGGTTGATTCCAATTGCTTCTGGTCCATGTACTGGTAGTGTGCGGCTAAAGCGTCGCCTTGGATGACAACAGCTGGTAGAGTGTTAGTTATGAAGCATGATGGGATTTTGATGGAGGACTTACGACGTCGAAGCTTCTTGGGGAGATCAAGAACAATCATGTCCTCGTCACCCCGTCCCTGGGGCCAGTTCTCGGGATCTGTGTCGAGGATGTCATCGCTGTAGATGCACATGAAGTTGATTCGAATTCGATCCTCGTACATGGTCCAAGTTTTCTCGAATCTGTAAAGGTCCAATTGCTTCTTCTCGATGTTCTCAAACAGAGACATATGCATTTGGGAAGCGATAGCCCAGTTGCGATAGCTATCGCCCCAAATGTCGTACTTGAGTTCAGCGGCAGGAGTCTGATCAAGCATCGAATCGTCAGGGACTCGCAGCCATCGATGATGAGGCCAGGTAGGAGGTTCATTCTTGAGTTCCCACTTGTACTTCTTGGGTCCATCCCATGAAGGATGTCGTGATGGTCTCCAGTAGTCAGTGGCGTTTGTGACGCTGAATGGTTCAAAGGCCTCTGGGAAGTATGGATGAATGGCACCCATGCGCATATGGAAGAAACCAAGAGGGGGGTTGTTGATAATGTTGCCAGAGACAACAAAGTCCTTGGGGTTTTGGACTTTACGTGTGACAAGACTGGGGATAGCGTCGTCGTCAATCCAGACCTGCGAGACAGATGATTAGTGTTTAGCGAACCAAGACATTAATATTGCACGTACGACGTCGTCATCAATCTTGACGTAATACTTTCCACGTTCTAATTTCTTCCAGATATTCTTGTATGTGTATGT